GGAATTTCAACCAAAGCCTGGAGCGGGTGACCTTGCCATCGAGCCTTCAAAGCTTGAATTTTGTCTCAACATTCAACCAAAGCCTAGGGCGAGTGATCTTGCCATCGAGTCTTCAGAGCTTGAGTTTTGAGGCGAGATTCAACGAAAACCTGGAGCGAGTGACCTTGCCGTCAAGCCTTCAGAGCTTGACTTGTGGCTGGAGATTCAACCAAAGCCTGGAGCGGGTGACCTTGCCATCGAGTCTTCAAAGCTTGAGTTTTGTCCGTGATTTTAGCCAAAGCCTGGAGCGGGTGACCTTGCCATCGAGCCTTCAAAGCTTTAGTTTTTGCCATGATTTTAACCAAAGCCTGGAGCGGGTGATCTTGCCATCGAGTCTTCGAAGCTTGAGCTATGGCAATGTTTTTAACCATAGCCTGGAGCAGGTGACCTTGCCATCGAGTCTTCAAAGCTTGACCTTTGGCTATAGATTCAACCAAAGCCTGGAGCGGGTGACCTTGCCATCGAGTCTTCAAAGCTTGAGTTTTGGCCGTGATTTCAACCAAAACCTGGAGCGGGTGACCTTGCCATCGAGTCTTCAAAGCTTTACTGCTTCCCATCCGTTGGGCGTGATATCTGTCAGTTGTGCAGGCTGTGCTTAGTTTCTATGACGCGTCCCCCAATAGGTCTCAATGCAAAAGAGGCGACCATTCTGTGATGGTAGAGGACCTGAACCTTTTTCTTTGCAGGCAGTCTATTGGTGAATACCCGCATCCGTGGGATGCAGATAGCTAAAAGGGTAAATCTTGGTTTTGTATACAAGATATTACAAGGTGAGCCGCTCTATTTTTGTTTGTTGGTTTAAAACTCCATCTTTAGTTATATCCACCATGAACCCAAGTTTTTGTAGTCAAATACCAGCTTTGCTTTCTTGGAGTCCCAAAAATTGGCATTCGAAGCGGACCCTATTAATAAAATTAAAACCTTAAAAATGAAAGCACGAATATAAAAAATTAAAAAGAATCGGACGGACCCTAATAAGAAACACCCCAGGGTTAACTAGTTTTTATTATTAGGGAACAAAACCCACAAATGATAGCTCTATTTTTAGATTGGTTTTCTAAAGGGGATCAATTACAAGTCAAATTGGCCAATCTGAAATTTTCCGAAATTAGAGATGGACCCTAGTTTTTAATATTTGGGGTATGTTTAGCAATAGGGGGAAAGGATTACCAGGTATTACAAGGTGGGCCCCCCTAGTTATTTCTGTCGGTTTATAACTCCATCGTTATATCCACCATGAACCCTAGTTCTTGTGGTTGACCAACTTAGCTATCTTGGAGTCCCACATTGAGCCGACAAGACATTGTGGATATCTCCGGTGACCGGATCGCTAGGACATGTTTGCTGCCACAAATGGAAAATGAATATGAATTGCTCACCGGTAATCAAACATGGCTAGCTGGGAAACCCCCATTTTTTTCCCCATGCAGGTGGCTGGGAAAATCATCGTTGGAAAATCCTGATTTTCCTGCCATGCTTTTGTTCTTTGGTGACGGCCGTGGTTGAAGTTCCCCACAACATGCAAAACCGCTGGGTTCTTTAAGGTTTTGTCGAAAACTTCCCCCATGGACAATCCAAATCTGTAAGGAATATGTGTGTTTTTGCTTGACTGCTTCAGCAAATCCAAGTAATTGTATAGTACGTGTGGCATGGTGAAATCTTGGATTCTACACCCATGCGGATGGCCATCAAAACACGCCCGTCCGGACTTACCCATAGCACGAATGGTGAGCTTTGCGGTCCGTTTTGGTTGACCACCACAGCACAGTGCCCTTGATGACTTTTCGAAGATTTCAAGGAAATGATTCAGTCATAGTAACAAACACATGGGTACAAATAGATACAAGTAGTATGTTTTAATATGTTTTGGTGATGTCAAATGATTTGAGGTTTTCTAAGTTTCACTGGATGTATAGCATGTGTCAGCCACTCGTTTCTCAAAATTGGTGCCCTCCCCCAACATGTTGCCAGAATAGACCAGATCAATAACGATACGAAATTAAGTCATCATTCCAAATTTCGGTTGGAGAGAAAAAATACAGAAGCCCTTGAATTTGGAGACAAACAAGCATGGTTTTTTGCAGTCTTAACCCTAAAACCAATCCATGGAATCCCACAAGAATTGCTGAAAGGGCGCGATGCTGTGTAAAGAATTTTCAAACATGATGAAGAAAACCTGGATACTCAGTCAACCTTGGTTTGATACTCTAGTCTCTAGTACTATTATCTTTAGCTTTCAATGGTACATCTAATTTCTGACGATGTCCCGTGCACAACATGGCTACGTGGATCCGTCACCTACTGGCAAAGGTCCAGCAGATGAAACTGATGAGGTCGATCTTCAGGTGCTGTGCTTGACTGGAGAAGGAGTGACACTAAGCGTCCCTTGCTCTATGCTTGGATATGAGCTGCACAGATTGGTGTCAGAGAAGCTTCCACGCAAGCCAGGCCCAAAGCTCGCCATGCATCATGTCAATGCAAAGCTGACGCTGAATCAAACCTTGGCAGGGCAAAGAATTGTTGGGACATCTGCAATGCTGTCCTGCACTTACACACCGACAAATGTATACACTGCATGGCGTTATGTCTGTGGGCTCCCAACTAGTGAGGGAGAGTTTGCGCTGGAAGGTGTTACGCAACTTGAGGCAACGACAGGTGGAGAGTATTTACATTATCTTCCTCGCAGCCTTGCAAAATTGACTTTTGGTGAAAATTTCAACCAAAGCCTGGAGAGGGTGACCTTGCCATCGAGCCTTCAAAGCTTGAGTTTTTGCCATGATTTTAACCAAAGCCTGGAGAGGGTGATCTTGCCATCGAGTCTTCGAAGCTTGAGTTTTGGCAATGTTTTTAACCAAAGCCTGGAGCAGGTGACCTTGCCATCGAGTCTTCAAAGCTTGACCTTTGGCTATAGATTCAACCAAAGCCTGGAGCGGGTGACCTTGCCATCGAGTCTTCAAAGCTTGAGTCTTGGCAATGATTTTAAACAAAGCCTGGAGCGGGTGACTTGCCATCGAGCCTTCAAAGCTTGAGTTTTGGCTGGGATTTCAATCAAAGCCTGGAGCGGGTGACCTTGCCATCGAGCCTTCAAAGCTTGAGTTTTGGCTGGGAATTCAACCAAAGCCTGGAGCAGGTGATCTTGCCATCGAGTCTTCGAAACTTGAGATTTGGAAGGAGATTAAACCAAAGCCTGGAGCAGGTGACCTTGCCATCGAGCCTTCAAAGATTGAGTTTTGGTGATGATTTTTACCAAAGCCTGGAGCGGGTGACCTTGCCATCGAGCCTTCAAAGCTTGAGCCTTGGCCGGTATTTCAACCAAAGCCTGGAGCGGGTGACCTTGCCATCGGGTCTTCAAAGCTTGAGTTTTTGCGGGACATTTAACCAAAGCCTGGAGCGGGTGACCTTGCCATCGAGCCTTCAAAGCTTGAGTTTTGGCCGTGATTTTAACCAAAGCCTGGAGCGGGTGACCTTGCCATCGAGCCTTCAAAGTCTGAGTTTTGGCCGTGACTTCAACCAAAGCTTGGAGCGGGTGACCTTGCCATCGAGTCTTCGAACCTTGAGTTTTGGCGGGACATTCAACCAAAGCCTGGAGCGGGTGACCTTGCCATCGAGCCTTCAAACCTTGAGTTTTGGCTATGTTTTTAACCAAAGCCTGGAGCGGGTGACCTTGCCATCCAGCCTTCAAAGCTTGAGCCTTGGCCGGTATTTCAACCAAAGCCTGGAGCAGGTGACCTTGCCATCGAGTCTTCAAAGCTTCAGCTTTGGCTATAGATTCAACCAAAGCCTGGAGCGGGTGACCTTGCCATCGAGTCTTCAAAGCTTGAGTCTTGGCAATGATTTTAACCAAAGCCTGGAGCGGGTGACCTTGCCATCGAGCCTTCAAAGCTTGAGTTTTGGTGAGAAGTTTAACCAAAGCCTGGAGCGGGTGACCTTGCCATCGAGTCTTCAAAGCTTTACTGCTTCCCATCGGTTGGGCATTATATCTGTCAGTTGTGCAGGCTGTGCTTAGTTTCTATGAAGCGTGCCCCAATAGGTCTTAGTGACCTTAATGCAAAAGAGGCTTGAGGCGACCATTCTGTGATGGTAGAGGACCAGAATCGGTGAATACCCACATTGCAAAAAGGGTGAGTCTTGCTTTGTATACAAGGTATTACAAGGTGGGCCCCCTAGTTATGTTTGTTGGTTTATAACTCCATCTTTAGTTATTTCCACCATGAATCTAGTTCTTGTAGTTATAAAGCAACTTAGCTATCTTGGAGACTGAGGATATCTCCTGTGAATACCAGATCGCTAGGATATGTTTGTTGCCACAAATGGGAAATGAATATGAATTACTTTCCGGTAATCAAACATGGCTATAGCTGGGAAACCCGGAAATTAAATGGAGGTGTATAGCTGGGAACATCATCTACAAATGGTTGATTTTCCAGCCTGCCATGTGTGACTACCAGTTTTTGTTCTCTGGGTTTCCGCGTTTGGCCGTGGTTGAAGTTTGCCAGGACACAATAAAACGCAAAGTTCAGCTACCTACATTGGAAGTACCTACGATAAGGCCTATGTAAGGGGATGTATCCACCAAATATATCCAAATATGATTTTTGTAGTGTTCTATATGGTACAGTACTTCCAATTTAAGTACCTAAAATGGCCATTGATGTTATATGTGAACCTGCACACTTAAACAGCCAGCTCTACTGTGGATAGAAGAAATCCTGCACCAGTTGATTTAATGGTTTAATAGGGTTTCGACATGTTTCAACCATCCAAGGTGGTGCAGGATTTCTTCCATCCACAGTAGGGATTCACCAATTCCACATTTGGAATTATGGTAATTGTAGCTATAGTTCATGGTCTATGGTATGTCTATCGTAGATGTACGGTAGATGTATGAGGGTTTCCGAACATGGTGGATTCCCAAGTCACCAGCTGTTCTAATGTTCTATGTCTATCTCAACCTGGCGGAGGTTCCGCCTGCCTCAGCCTTGCCACCGATCGTGCCTTGCCAGCGGGCGCGGATGTTTTTTTTGTTGGGGCGGCTGGGAAGAATGGAACCGGAAGTGGCCCAGAAAAGATGGGATTTCATCTAGAGAAATTGGGATTTAAGCCAACAAGAAATGGAATTGCATCCAAAGTTGATCAAAGTTGTGTTTTTCACCATCAAACACATGGGTTTTTCATCGCCAACGACTGTTCAAAATGAAGTTCACCTTTTGAACAGTTGCGAGTTATCCAATAACAAGTGCTGGATAATACTATCATATCAGTGATTGGTGGTGTATTTTCTTCAGCCCAGGCCATGGCCAGAAAGCGACAGCGTTGCGAAAAACACCCATAGAATGTTCCCTCTGGTAAACGTACAAAGAAAACATGGGAAAATCACCATTTTTGAGAGGTAATTCAACGAACTCAGATGCAAATTGCAAGAAGCAATGATAGTTTACCAGAGGCTCAAAACGGTTTACTTGGAGGTTTCCTATGATGATACCCCAAGTGATCATCCACCATTTTTTCCGCTCCTGGAAGGCTGATAAAAAAGTGGGTGAAGTGATGTAAGACATGGCAGTTGAATAAGAATGAACATTGCCAACCAAATACGTTGCTGTGAAAGCCAAGGTATCGTTGTTTTTCCATTTTCAGAATGGGTTGGATTCCCTTACTGGCAAGTGTGTGTGTGTGTGCTACACCGTGCCCTGAAAAATATATTTGAAATTAAAGACCTTCCATGACAAATTTCAGGGCCCTTTGATTTCTGGATTTGAAATCAATGCTAGTAATGACAATCCTCAGGTCTTATGCGTTCGGTAATCGGACTAGTGTTGTTTCTTCTTAGTGTACCATCATACAAGGTTGCCCCCCCCGGTGCAAGTTGGTTTACCCAATTCATAGTATCTCCCATCCAGCATAGTTGAGCTAGTGAACTGAACTAATTAAACTAAGTCTGGGGCATCACCTTATACCAGAAGATGCCGAACTGAGCTCCCAGTTGCCAACAGCTCCGGCCGAATCCTTCCAAGCCACAAAGCTATAGGATCCAGATCGGCACCAAGGTCGGTGGCAGCCAACATACAAAAGAAGAGCGCATGGAAAAAATACTTACAGAATACTCTTGGTAGAGGGAAACTACTAATTTCATATTATAATCCATATCAGGGAAAATAGAACTTATGTTCCTGTGATGTCCTTCTTTTCCTCGTTTTTGCCATGGTGAAGCAACTAATCGGCTCCCCCATGCTTGCATTAAGTCACGTTTTCTTTGTTTAATCAAGTTTTGTTGCTTAAATTCCCTCTCATTGGTTCAATTCCAATTTGCGCTTGTTAAAACCTTTTTTTGTTGAAAAAAGAAGTTGTTCTGAAGTTATTTCCATAGTTACGTTTTGAAAGCATTCACAGTGTTCATTCGAAGGAAAGTTGCATCATAGATCCCAGGTATGGCGGCTATAATCCAATGGTTATACCGCTATAAACCCCAACTGCACCCCAAAGTAGCTGGTTTCAGCCCAAAAAGGAATCCCAGATGTTAAGTGATTTTCTATTTCACACATCGAAGGTCCATGTTCTTCTTGTGTTGAATCATTAAATCCATATGGGTAAATTATAACGATCTCACTGCGACCTCACTGGAATCATGGTTAGTGAGGGAAATCATCCCCAAATGGCCTTAATTCAGGTTAGTGAAATATTATAATTTACCCAGATCCATATGGTTGCTGAGGAGTTGGCACGTGGTGACATCTGCTCGATTGATGGACTGAAGGTGCCCTTTGAGCACCCGCAAGTGGTTCCGCCGTGTAGCTTCCCGACGATAGGAAAATGTTCCCTTGGTGGAAACAAACATCAAACATTTGGGAAATGTTGAAAAATGATGATTTAACCATCAAACATTGCGGAAAAGTGATAGTTAACGATCAAACATGGGGGAGAATGACGATTTCACCAACTAAAAATAGGGGATTTGACCATCAAACATGGTGCAACATGATGCAAAATGCGGATTTATTCACCGAAAATTAGGATTCATAGTTGGCTTATTTGATTTATGATAGCTGAGTTAGCTTTATTTTGGGCTAACTGCTGGATTTATGGTGGATAGCTACCCTGCAGTAAAGATGTTTTTTTTACGGAAAATGGCCCATTTGGCCATTTGGTTCCATGATTTACCTTGCAAACATAGGGGAGTTCCATAGCTATGTGAGTTCACCAGGGGTAACCAGCCCGACTTTTGGAGTTATGTTGGAGAAATCTACTTGCGGCCCTTCCTGTAGGTTAGCCACTGATGTGTCATCGTTGGTACAGTGGAGAGGTCTGCCCTACATCCGGCCATCATCAGCCAACTACAGGATGGGGCTCGTGAAATGTTTGTTGGTTTATAAAGCCCATCTAAATGCAATTATAGTTATGATAGATATGATGTAAACCATAGTGAATATGGTGTAAATTGTAGTTACGTCGTTATACACTATAGTTGCTACCATATCCACTGTTGTTATGATAGTTATAAACCAACTTAGGTAATTATGGGGCCCCATCCTGTAAGGGTTATTTTATGCAGGGTATCCAAGATTAGCCTTGGCATACGAGGAGGGGGAGGTTGTGGAAGGCTCATGAGTTTTTGTACCATCCCAGTATTGAGGGTCGGACCGCTACCATGATTCTTCCTTTGTTGGTTGATTCCCTACTTTACTAACATCAAGAAACTGGTTGGTGGTTTTGAACATGTTTGTTATTCCATATATTGAGAATAATCATCCCAACTCAACTGACTATTTTTTCAGAGGGGTTCAAACCACCAACCAGGAAATATATATATATAGTATTATACACACGCACATCGTGAATTTGCTGATGCTGATCGTTTCTTATTTCCCAACTAATCCGCTTGGGGAATCTACTGGTAATATTTCTACTGGTTGGGCACATCTTAAGCAAATCCAAGTACTGGTTGGTTAAATCCACCTGTGCCATGGTCACAACTTGGGATATACATTCATATTGGGGACCATTCATCCATTAGGGATTTGTGTACCCATTGCAGGGATTCCCATTGTGGATGGATGCACCGTATATCACCATGTACCATGTTTTGACCATGACACATATGGTATGGGTGAAAAGCAGATGTCTCTTTCCCTAAGGCATCACCTCAGACTGTACTTGGGCTTGGTTTTCAAGTTTCAAACGGCTTCTGAGGCAGTAATTGAAGCACTAGGGTTCGTGAAATCCCGAGTTTTAATGGATCTCGTATCCATTCGCATTAGATTTTTCCCGGAAAATATCTGATGTTTATCGGTTAAATCCTCAATTTTTGTTTCTTCCTTCACTGATTTCTCCCAGTTTTGACCAATTGTTTAACCATAAAATATCCTCAATTTTGCCAAAACCATTCATTTGGACAATATCCCCATTTTTTTAACATGCAGGTTTTGACCAATCATCCCAATTTTGGATGATCAATTCCTGTGAATTGCTGTCTACCGCTAGCGCTTCCAGTCGCGCCAGTCCAGGCCACTGAACTGAATGGCTTGCAATGCACGTGACCTGGAAGCTGTTCAGATGGCCATCGCAAAACGGGCTGCGGGGTGCAGGGTAAGGTCTATACAGAATGTCGTTGTGGAACAGCCATGTGGGTTTGTCTGAAAATTGTTTTTGGCCCTAAAGCCAATGGTTTATGATCATTATCCCTATTCAATGGCTATAATTGGGAATATACCCTATTTTCCATGGATAGAAACAACCTATTGTCGTTCAAAACCCTTGTTGGTTGATGATTATATATAGAGGATTATACTACCCTTTGCATATTGGGGGTGATAATCATCCAAGAACGGGGAATCCCATTCTTAACCAACCAGTATTTCATGGAATGATAGAGGGATTTATTTCACACTGCTCATGTGGTTTTGTCTAAAAATAGTGTAGCCATGTGTAGCCCTGTGTAGCCAATGGTTAATGATCATGATCCCTATAGCCGTTAGCTATAACTGGGAATACGCGCATCCATTTTCAAACACGGGCCCCACATGGGTGTGTCTACTGATAGAATTGCAATGTTATTTTCGGAAAAAAATACGGAGGATGTTATATCCCCAATGTTATCCTCAAATGTAATAACCCCAATGATATTATCCTCAGGCTAACCCCAAATGTCTGTGAAACCGCCATATGGGCCACACGGCAATATGGGGATGGATCAAAATCCTGGACCCTCCCCGGTTTTTTTATCGAGCTGGTGGATACTAAATTAACTGTGGAAAATCACCATTTTTCATGGGAAAATTCACTATACATGGTGATTTTCCATAGTTATGTTAAATTACCAGAGGGTACCACATGTGGCAAGATAGATTTCGATCCGCCATATGAATGTGGTAAACCCAGAATTGGATCGTAAAAAAACTATCCCCAACAGAGGTTGATGGTTTGGTTTACTATATCAAATATACGGGTGTCTTGAAAACTCTATGTTTTTGCATGGTTCCCGAAAGTATTTCTCAAGGTGGTCTAGAAATCAATGTTCTATATATGGAGTGTTTTAAAGCAGACGTCACAAGAACCACCAGAATTCGCTGATGGGCGTGATACCATTTTGCGACCATGGGTAGCGAGGGGGTGTTATAACAATCGACACTGGATGTTTTGATCAGTCGTGTTGCTCAACTATCGATAAAAGGGGTCTTAGTCTTCAACGACCAGTTGCTGTGATCACCCAAGGTCACATTTTGAAGATACTTTGGCTGACATCAGATCCTTAGGCTTTGTTGTATCCCCTAGTTTCAAGTCTCCAGAACAAACGGTACTGTATCTCCCAAACCCTATAAATATTATGTGTACGTCTACTGTCTACTTTGTATCTAGACGATGTCGCTAATATAATGTACATGCCAGGCGGCCAACCACATATAATATCAACTATCAAACAACCATGTTATAACATATAGCTTATATTCTCAATTTGAATCAGTGAAAATCCTATTTTTTGATGATTACTTCTTAAACCCCTGAAACTTAGATCCCCGAAAGGAAAAGAAAAAATGGTATTGGGTTGAAACTCCTGAATGCTACTCGTACCGCTGAATTTTACCGCTGAAATGTGGAATAGCCATTGATAGTAGCATATGTTGGGTATTCTTTCTTTTCTTAGATATCTAGTTATCCTAACATCCTAGTGTATTCAGTCTACTACAGATACTTAAGCGCCACTGATGGTGTTTAACTTTATCATACTATGTTTTATCCATTTAGTTAGATACGACAGTGTTTACGTAAGTATAGTTCCAATATGTTAGATATATCAAACATAGAAAACATAATAAGGTTGCTAGAGTATTTCTTACCGATATTACTATATGATGAATACTATAGTATGATTAAGTAACTATCGTTTAGTTTACGATACAGTTGCTACTGCTAATACTACATGACTAGAGTAGCATGTTTACTCTGCATGGAAAATAGTATACAGTGTACTATACTAAATAACATGTTTAGTTTGATATCCGCTACACTGTCTATATCAAACTCTATCAGTAATATCAGTAATAGTATCTGTAGTTGATATTAGACTAACCATGTTCATGTAGATAAATCATACATTATCATACTATATCAACTACACTTACAAATATATCATATTATATCAACTAGGACAGTTACTTTAGTTCTTCAGATATATATGTATATATACATATATATATATCATACTATTTAGAAAAACTATTTACATAGAGGTATAACTTAAATATATAGAATAGATCTATGATACCATAGGTACATGGATATATAGATATATAGATATATAGATATATAGATATATACATAGAATAGATTTACTTAGATACATAGGTACATAGATATACACCGTTTAGTAAATGGAAGATACATATACCTACGTATATACAATAAATATATCATAAATAAATTCTAGTAGTATATATATATAACTAGTATATAACTTAGATATACCCTCTGGTTATTTAACGTAGCCATGGAAAACCATCATTTTTAATAGGTAAATCATGGTAATTACTCCATAAATGTGTTATTTTCCATGGCTATGTTAAATAACCAGAGTGTATACCATTGAGTAGTAGTAGTAGTAGTAGTAGTAGTAGTAGTAGTAGTAGTAGTAGTAGTAGTAGTAGTAGTAGTATATAACTAGTATATAACTAGTATATAACTAGTATATAACTAGTATATAACTTAGATATATACCAAATATATTCCTATTTATCATATATATACAGGATACACACCATTGAGTAATGCTTCCAGCATTTTGCCCAGGTTGTTTCGTGAGGACACCGAGAGCGGCCGTTGGGAGGTGAAGCTGCCGGACGGCGAGGCCGGGGCTTCATCCCAGTTGGTAAGTGGGTTTTGGCACCCTAGTTATAAGTGGATTAACCCTACTTATTCATTTATAACCAGGTATAACCTACTAAGGGGGAGGAACCACCAACTATGGATTAATATGATGGTACCCTAAGAATGCAAATTATATGTGTATATATATATATCGGGGTTTCCATAAATGAGGGTACCCCCATAGCTGGACGGTTAGTGGAAAATCCCCATTGATCACCATAAAGTATCATTATTAACCACTATTTTCACCACTATTATAGCATTAATCCATTATATGGAGGTGTCCCGAAATGTTGGTACCCCCATAGTCGCTGGATGGTTAATGGAAAATCCCATCTATTAACGGATGGGAACTAGGGTCAGTGGGAATTTCAGGATCCTAAAATGGAGCTACGTTAGTACCATATTTTTGGCCATATTTTTTGGAGATATTCCATTAATTACATAGGCCTAAAAAATAGTCTTTGTATATGGTAGGGTACCTCCAATAAATCAGTTCCTGAAATGGCCATTGATAGGGGACCCCTATGACTTAGGAAGCCTCCGGATGGATTTCACCTGCAATGCTGAGAAATGTGGATTTCTCCAACGAAGATGGGGATTTGCTGGGTGAACTGGCAAACATCTGAGTAAACTATAACGACCTCACTGTTCTCCCGAGCCCTGGAATCATGGTTTATATATGTGGAATCATCCCAAAATGGCCGCAAGTTTCAGGTTAGTGAATTATTATAGTTTACCCAGATATATGATATTTTATTTGTTTATGTCTTTACTTCATTCATATAAATTTAATTTACCCAGAAACATGGTGGATTTTTCAGCAACAAAAAACCACCAAACATGTGGAAAAAATGAAGAGTCGAAACATGTAGCTGGTCCCAGACCCATCCGACAGTCGAGATCAGGCATGCAGAAAGATGATGATCACAACAATCCATTTTTTGATCCATGGGCAAATTACTCCGGCCCCAAAGGTGGACAAGCACGCAGTGTAGCACCTCTCACTGCATCCGCAGAAACCAAGTTTCAGGAGCAGGAAGCCAGGATCACCAAAGTGGAGGAAGCATTGGCACAATTGAGAACTGACACAGGAGCTGCCTTCCAGAAGGTTGAAGACAGGGAACAGATTGCCCAAGCGCAAATGCACGAAGCCATAGCCGCAGTGAAAAGTGACTTGGAAAATTCATTCCAAAGCGCCATCACACAGCAGTCTAATCAGCTCAATTCCACATTGAATGACCTCAAGGCACTGTTGATCGCAAAACCAAAACGGAGCCGAGAGAATGAGACAGGTGACAAGGAGGATTGACAAAGCCATTGCCACAGTGATCACCACCCGGTGATCTTGGGGGGTTTACTAACATGCCGAGTGATAACACTTGTCAGTATAGTAACTTTAAAGCGTCCATTTTGGACTGAGACATCATGTACTTGCAGGGTGTGGTATGCACGCTTAGCTTGTGACATCAATCCTTTTTTGTGTTTGCTCTCTCGCAGTTGCTTGACATCCCAAAAATATGCATTCAACTTAGGTCGCCTGGGGGTTTGCCTATCCAACAAGATCCTTTGCCGAAGTAAAAAGGACAAAATAATTCAATACATCAAAAGCTGCGTGGAGAAAAAAATGCTGGCCGTTTGGGCCCATCTAGATGACATCCTCTATCCGAGAGGATCAAAAAATACAATTTTGCATACTTGCATTTTTCCGACACCATTGCCAAGGTGTGGTCTTAGAAAAATAGAAGCTTGTGAAATCCAAAAGGCATTGACTTTGACGCCAAAAGATAGCCATAGGACTTGCCAAAAAAATGCACTTAATTTAGGCTTCCTGGGGGGTAGTCTACGCATGAACCTCCTTTGCCAAAGTACGGAGGAAATGATAATTCACTATGGAAAAATATGCATTGAGAAAAAACTGCAGGCCATTTTGGCCATCATCGCTGCCAATCCCCGCCAGAAGGGATTCAAAAAGCCAATTGCGTATATTTGCAAGATTCAGCGACCACTACCACTTCGTGGTATCAGAATCGGAGAAGCCAATAACCCAGGACCAAAAAACATGTCAAAAATTGAACATGCTAGATTTGCTACAGTCAATCCCACATCGTTACTGAATAAAGCCGATTCTTGGAACACACTTGTGCAAAATTATGGTACTCATGTCATTGCATGTGCTGAGAATAGTGGCACTGAACATGTCCAACATGTTATGACACCCTTTTTCCAAAAACTGGGAATGAAAACTATTTGGTCAGAGCCTGTCCCAAAACATAGACAAAAACCGGCAGAACGACCTAAAGAAGGCCCAGCTATGAGAGGGAAGGCAGGTGGCACATCTTTGCATTCAAAATGGCCCATCCGCCCAGGAATTGGAGTCATAAAAAACCAGGAGTTTGCCAGAGATAGAATAGTACATGCGATCATAAAGTTGGGGGCCATCCATGCGCAAATTGTAGGAATTTATGGAGTCACTTCCTCTGCAAAGGGGCATAAAGAGATGAACCAAAAAATCTTCAATGAAGCAATACGCGTGACTGAGGCGATTGCACTTCCCACGATACTCATCGGGGACTTTAATGTTGATGTCATTACAAATGTACACTTCCAGCCACTTCTACAAAAGGGTTTTTTACCATTGCAATCCCTTTACCAAAAGTTGTATGGAGTATCCATGCCTAAAACCTGTAAAGGGGCAACCGTCCCGGACACTGCAATTTTACACCCCATCCTGGCCTCACGAGTAACCAAGATTGAGGTGATTAAAGATAACCTTTTTGATAGCCATCAACCTGTTATCTTCGATCTAAAGATCCCATGGACTCCACTTACTACCCCAAAACTAAGACTTCCTGAGACTTGGGTAAAACTGCCCATTGATGCAGATGATCTTAACAAAGTGGTAGATAATGCAGTCTCCTACCTTGGAGAACCAAGCGACCTCACCCAATGGGCCGAACTTGTCGAATGCACAGTGGACATGGCGATTCAAGCGGAAGCTGCACTATCCAAAAACGAGGGACGCCTCACTAAATTACCCAAAAAAATTCGAGGAAGATGCACCCCTAAGAAGATAATCCAATCCCCTGTCATAACCCCATGTAAAATAGCCAGACAAGGAGACTTCAATCCAGACCAAGAATGCTACACTTTTGCCAGCAAAAAGATTGTGACCCAAATCCGAAGGTTACAGTCATTGCGACGCAGAATCAAAAAATTACAAAGCTATGATGAAGTTTGGGAAAGAACATGGCAAACCTTGTGGGAAGAATGGAATGCAATCACGCAGTATGTTCATAATGAACAAAAATTTCCGGTTTGGACCCAGCACATTCCAGAGCTTTTTCCATACCCAGCACAACTCCCAACCGAGGAGTGGCTATATGACGCAGAACAAATTCTGAAGCATGAGTTGAACCATCAGCTATACCAAGAAGAAAAAATAAGACAAAATAAACAAAAAATGCAGCATATCATAGACTGCCAAGACGGCTCAAAAAGAAGAGCATTTGCCGCAGTACGCAAAAATATTACACCTCCCTTGAGCCAGCTACAGAGGGAGGAAACGGCATCTGCCATTGTTGTGCCACTTGATGGACTGACACGATATGAGTGCTATGTTGATGAACCAAGACGTTTTTCCTTATTTGACCCACTCCACATAGGAGAGCAGATGGCCAGAATCGAGGAAATTACAAGTGACATGCTCATCATTAAACTTGATGACCAGTCAGCCCAACTTCCAGAGGAGATACAAATTGCTCAAACCATCACCACCTTCCAAACCAAAGAGGTTTTCCAAGCTTTGACACAGTACTGGACCCAATTTTGGCAGCGAGGGCCGGTAGAAAATGATTCCCCAATTAATCCGGATGGCCCATGTTTAAACCTTTTCAGGAATTTACCACAACTCTTTGCGGAAGAAGAGCAAGAGATGCAGGCATGGAAACTAGCGATTTCTTCCACAAAAACATTTTCGGCACCTGGCTGTGACGGAATTTCTATCCAAGAGTTGAGAATGCTGCCTGATAAACTACTTAAATTCCTGATTAAGATAGTCTCTGAACTGGATGCGTTTCCAGATTGGATAATGTGGGCCAGAACCATCCCTCTCCCAAAAAATGACCAGTTTGTCCCTTGGGCCACCAGGCCAATCACAATTTTGCCAACCATCTATAGGCTCTGGGGTAAAGTCTGTACCAAAGCCATCCTACAGCGCCTTGCCACAGCGGCACCCAGCGCCATCACAGGCATGATTCCAAAACGAGGGGCAATGGACGCAAGTTATAACTTACAGGCCATGTTAGAGAGGTTGAGGCACCAAAAAACTGAGGTTTCCGGCCTCACACTTGACCTGAAAAAATGTTTTAACCTGGTAGACAGAGCCAAAGCAAAGACCACCCTAAAAAAGTATGATATCCCCGATCAATGGATTGATAAATGGTTCCACTCTTTGACAAACATGAAGCGTTTTTGGCAAATAGGTGACACAGCTTCAGATCTCATTCAGGCAGATACTGGGATCCCGGAAGGTGACCCATGGAGCGTTGTGATCATGATCTTAATTGCAATTGAATGGTATGAGGGTTTGGGATTTCAACAACAAGAAGACGGAGCAACTGCATACGCTGACAACTGGACATGTTGGCGTCGCTCAGATCAAAGCACCGACCAGATGATCCAGCATACTCTCAATACCACAAAAGCATTTGGCTTACAGATAGATTGGGAAAAAACTTGGGTTTGGTCCACAAAACCTGATGGACATAACAATCTTGAAGCGGCCATTGTGGAACATATACCTGATGCCAAACCAACCGTTAAAAGTTGTGCCAAAGACCTTGGATGCCATGTAACATATCATGGTAACCCACGCCTGGGTAGTATCCATGAGAGAATCCAAAAAGCAAAAGATAGACTCGACGGTATCCGACAAAAACCATGGGATCATCTCTTGAAAATTCACATCATCTTAACTAGCGTATTGCCAGTGGTGTTTTATGGGGCTGAGCTAATCTATCTTGGTGAACACCATTTGGATTCCCTTCGCACCCATTTGGCAAATGCAATTGTAGGTGAAAAAATTCGAAGTATGAACCCAGCGTTATTTCTCCACTGTGCCACCACTAGACCACTTGACCCTCTATTAGTCCTTATCCTACAGGCCATTAAAGCTGCCATGAAGTTCCTGCGCCATGCCAGAGCAGAGGAAAGATCATGGTTTATGCAAATCCTGTCAAAGCCGCTCAAAAATACCCATGCGGTATGGGGACCAGCATCCGCATTACGAGAGTATTTGCTCAAGCTGGGATGGACATGTTGTAAAAGTGGATATATCCAAGTGACCAACAATCGAAAGTTGAATTTGCAAACAACTTCTTTTGCAGTCATACGTAAATATGCAGAGATTGCTTGGAAGGAGCACCTTCTTCTGTTCCTTACTGACCGTCATAGGCTTTTCAACCGTAGGCCTATTGATAACTTTGGAACTGAAATCGCCCTTAAAAAATTCCCTATAAAACACCAACTCCTGATACTACGTGAAATTGCATCCGCATTTCAAACAAAAGCACAGCAGAGCACATGGGACCAACAGACGTCCTCCACATGTGACTGGTGTGGCACTCACCAGGACAGTAGGTATCATCGCCTTGTTGAATGCGAAGCATTTGTGGAGGCACGCGAGCCCCACACAAAAGCTATCCAATACTTGCAAGAAGAAGGTCTTGAGCTATGTGATTTACCGGTTATCCACCAGCACCCGCACGCAGAATACAGACAGATGATCTTAGATGCCTTGCCTGAGCCAACCATAGATCAAAATACGGTAACCTCACTGCAGTGTGGTAGGGACATGGATTCCTTGCATTTTTACACGGATGGTAGCTGTCGGCATCCAACTTGTAAACACTTGTGTTTTGCCTCATACAGTATTGTAGTCGATGTGCTCAGGCATGATGTTGACCGAAGAGTTCTTGCTGCAGCTTTTCCATATACGCAATCCCTTGCATCCTTCCAACCGATTGCATGTGGTAGACTAAATGGATTCCAGAGTATCCACAGGGCTGAACTTGTTGCTGTAGTTATCCTTTGTGAATACTTTACTGAGTTCACAGCCTTTACTGACAGTGCAGACGTTATTCATAAGGTTGCTCTATGTAGACGTACAACAGAGGCGAAAGAACTTGCAGGATTTGCAGATTTTGATCTCTTGATCAGACTGCATGCAACACTGACCCCAGAAAAACAAATCCTGAAAACAAAAGCACATAGAGAAATTGCTGAAATTCAGGACCTCAATGAGCGTTATCAAGCAATGGGAAATGCAGCAGTGGATTTCCATGCAAAGCAGACTTGCGAAAAGTTTTTGCCGGAAATTTTTCATGAACTTGAAATGCAATATGTGGACACAAAGAGTGACATTGATAAATTACAGGACGTTTTTGCGTTGATACTTGACTTGCAAGTTGCGAGAGCCCGAGCGGAGGAAGATCAGAGAGTTGGACAACATATAGGTGATGAAACTGGTGGGGTGTTCCCAAAACAACCTGAATCTACGTTGATCAACTGGAGCATTGCAAACAAATGGACCTTGGAAGATCAATGGAACACGCACTGGATACAATTTAGCGCGTGGGGTCCACAGGTCATGCAGGCGGTAGCTAGCTGGCTCACCTCTTGTGAATGGCCTGTTGAGGAGGAAACATCAGAGGAAGACATCGGGATATCGTGGGCAGAAGTGGCGATATAGCGTTGGCCCTACACCACGGGCAATGGCTACCAGTTCGCCGAGAAAGAAGGGGCTTACAGTATGTTGTCCAGGCGACCACAGACATGGAACTGGAAATGATTGACACTAACCTTGCTGAACAAGCAAAGATGGCATACTCAGTTGTTCAACATTTCTGGACATTGATCCCGCAACATGTGATGCCTGAACATGTTTCCATAGGGAAGGTGAAGGCGTTGTATGTACAAGGCTTTGTAAACTGGAGCACTGGAATACGCAGAAGGCCTTATTATCCCAAACAATCGGAAGTGTTTTTTCTTTTGGCGACTTTTCTGCAACGGAGTGAACGTACGTTGCAAGGGTTACCTCAAGTCGGATGGGAAACATTTCATCAATGGGATTCTGAGCTTGCAATCAAAGAGAAGGACTGGAAAGAACGGGAGAAAATTGCAAAGAAAGCGCAACTGGAGGTACGACGGCAGCGGCAGTAGAAATGTTTCACTAAGGACAATGACTTCCTAATAAGGGAAGACATGCCAGAGACAGTCCGCGGGTCACCCCTTGGGCCTTGGCTGGGGGGGGGCCCTTCATCGAAGGTAACCGGCCGCAAGTTTCAGGTTAGTGAATTATTATAGTTTACCCAGATATATGATATTTTATTTGTTTATGTCTTTACTTCATTCATATAAATTTAATTTACCCCGAAACATGGTGGATTTTTCAGCAACAAAAAACCACCAAACATGTGGAAAGAATGAAGAGTCGAAACATGTGGATTTAACTGGCAACGATGGTGAGTTGAACAACCAAAAATGATGTATTTTTTCCCAAGGAAAATGGGAAAATTGAATGATTTAAGCAAGAAAACAAATTGGGGTTTACCAAGCAGCAATAAGACTTGAAGAAACAACGACTGTGACTTAAGAATCAAATAATATGCATTCTAACAACCAAAACATGTGGGTATAATTGCCAAATGCGGACTCATTAGATTTGATAGGGGTCTTTTGAAATTAATTACTATCAATGATATGGAAATTGAATTGAAAAATCATAGTTGTTATAATGGTACAGTTCAACATGTATCTTAAAATGTTCTGATGTTTCATCATAGTTGTTAAATCAGCAATATCATGTTTACTTATTTCTGGCTGATTAATTGTTATCGCGGCGCTTTATCAGGATGGATTTTCATGTCAGGACCTGGCATCGCTATGGGTGTTCTCATCTGAGAGATGGCATGGAATGGTCATATCTGGGAGGGTTGACCATTAAGATACTTGGGTTTTTGAAAGCACCTAAAATTTCATGGATATGGAACTGCGGGAAATTTAGACCTAGAATGGGAGTCTTACCTTCTGCCAAAATTGGTTTTAAAGGGGAAAAACGAATTTTTATTTAGTATGATTCATTGTGTGGTTGCCACTAAATGTGTGTTTATACTCATCAAAATACATGGTTTACCAACAAAAATGTGGAAAGAGTTTGATCACCAAAGTGAGAGCTAAGCAGTTTTTTGAATGGGGGATTTTTCAGCAGTAGATTGGGATTGCTGGATGCCCAGGAAGAACATCAGGACGGACGATAGACTGTTGACAGCAACGCGGAGCACCACACAGTGGGGAAAAAAGATCAACTGTCTGGAGTCCCGGCACGACGCCTACATGGGACTGCCAGCTGACAATAAGCGCCACAAAGAGCAGTGCGAGACGGTGACGGAGTGGATGACTGAGTGCTGGCAAGTCTGTGTCAGGTGACGGCAGGCCCACCGTGTCACCGTGGTTTGTTTGGTGCCAGTGGGCAGCCAGGCACAGGGATGCAGTTCCACAACGGGCCGATTGATGTTCATTTTTTGATCTCAAAGGGATCAATTAAAAGTCAAATTGTCCAAACTGATTTTTTCCAAAATTAGAGATGGACCCAAGATTTTATTATTTGGGGGGGGGGTTACTGTAGCAATTAATAGGGACACGGGATTATACACAAAGTGGCAGACAAAGCCAAGTTGAATCTGAAGGGCGAGATGATAAACACATGGTGCATTCATGATGAATTCGATCTTAACGATTATAGATTTGGATGGGTTGAGTCAGGATGCTTGAAGTCACTAAAGAAGGAGAATACAATACCATGGAAAATAAACAATTTAACAAGAGAAACAAAGTTTAAGCCAGCAAAATTTGGATTTCACTGGCAAACACAGTATGAACTACATAAAACCAGGAATTGCACAACAAGGGTTGGGATTTGGATTCAATCGGCCAATAATGTTTATGCTTGGAATCAAAAATGGAAGATCCTGAAAGAGCAGGTATGACTGGGTTGACTTCAGGAAAGGATAGATTTTCAGGCAGCCAAAGATAGGAGGTGTCTTTAACTTGCGTGTTTTCCAGAGGTTACAAACTAGGATCCTCCAACTGATCGGACACGGGAGGGTATCCCTTTAGATATCCCATGAAGTATCCCATTATGATCCGTTGTTGTCAATAACGAACGATCTGATTGCCCATGATTAACTCATCAAATCGTCCCATTCATCTCATCTTTCTCCAAGTAATCCCCTTGGACAGGTGAAAGCACTTAGACCTGCCCATTTGATCTTTCGCTCCATAGGCGCGGTGGGAGCAGTGGGCACAAAATCAGACGGTTGGCGGAGCATCAGTTCGGAATTGCTCAGTTGATTTATAAGTCAAATAAGTAGTACTTGTAACTAGGGTTCATGATATATATATATATATACATACATATGTACCCTCTGGTTATTTAACATAGCCATGGAAAATGGCCCATTTAAAGATGGTTTACCTATCAAAGATGGGGATTTTCCATGGATATGTTAAATAACCAGAGGGTAACATATGTATGTATAGTTCACTGGGTCTAACTTGAAACTGGGTTAGCCTTGTATGAAATCATACTCTAATTTTAATTAAGGTTTGTACGGGCATCTCTTTAAGATGCATCAGCTGTGTGTGACTTTCTGTTACGAATAGCTAGTCGCAAGGATTGTTTGTTGCTGGTTATCCATTTAGAAGGCATGTATCATCAGCTGTATGATGTATCCCAGTAATCAAGAATGGTAGTAATACTGTCACAGGGATAGCTGAATCACTAGCAGCAGAAAGCGCTTCTGGCGCTGGGTATCCTCCTGAAATCCTTCCCCTGAAATCGGTAGCTTGGCATTACGTCCCCATGTCATGGCTTTAGAACATATTAGAAGCATCTAGTATGGTACAACCCACCTCATCTTGATGCTAAATCACAACATCTCCCAACAGGTCTCACTACCCATAGGCCCATAGATATAGTTTTTTGTCCCCGTGGCATGGCTATGGGTCAAAACAAAACCATACCCTTCTGTTCACCTCCAAAATCCAGATAGCTGAGATTTATGGATGTCCATCTCCCCCAAAATCTATTGGAAATTATAGGTTTTGACCCATGCCCATATCAACAAGCAATCCAACTATTGATAGTTGGTTTTATACATTTAGTGCATAAAATCCAATTATATCCCAGTTAAAACATTGGGATATAATTTGTGTATACAAAAAATCCAATTATATCCAATTATATTTAGTTATAAAATCCAATTATATCCCAGTTGTTTATGTTTCTGCCTTTTTCCCGAGAGCGCCTGCGAAGGGTTCTTCGTAAAAAAAGCAGCCGTTATACTACATCTTCACACCTTCACATCTGCTGATCTACATCTTCACACCTTCACATCTGCTGATCTACATCTTCACTCCTTCACATCTGCTGATCTACATCTTCACACCTTCACACCTGCAGATCTAGATCTTCACACCCTCACACCTGCAGATCTAGATCTTCACACCCTCACATCTGCAGATCTAGATCTTCACAGCTTCACATCTGCAGATCTAGATTTTCACACCTTCACATCTGCAGATCTACATCTTCACACCTTCACATCTGCTGATCTAGATCTTCACACCCTCACATCTGCAGATCTAGATCTTCACACCCTCACACCTGCAGATCTAGATCTTCACATCCTCACACCTGCAGATCTAGATCTTCACACCCTCACATCTGCAGATCTACATCTTCACACCTTCACACCTGCAGATCTAGATCTTCACACCCTCACATCTGCAGATCTAGATCTTCACACCTTCACAGCGCATCTACTCTCGCTCTTCTTCTATTTCTCTCTTAAGGCGGGGGCGGTGCCGCCGGAGCGCCACGAAACGCAACCCTTTCGCACGAAATGGACGTTGGACGTCCAAAACCTAGATAAAATTGCGATTTTGAAGCGTCCCGCGCAACCTTTTCGCACGAAATGGACGTTGGACGTCCAAAACCTAGGTAAAATTGCGATTTTGAAGCGTCGCGCGCAACCCTTTCGCACGAAATGGACGTTGGACGTCAAAAACTGAGGAAAAATTGCGACTTTGAAGCGTCCCGCGCAACCCTTTCGCACGAAATGGACGTTGGACGTCAAAAACTGCGGAAAAATTGCGACTTTGAGGTGTCCCGCGCAACCCTTTCGCACGAAATGGACGTTGGACGTCAAAACTGAGGAAAAATTGCGACTTTGAAGCGTCCCGCGCAACCCTTTCGCACGAAATGGACGTTGGACGTCAAAAACTGAGGAAAAATTGCGACTTTGAGTTGTCAATCGCAACCCTTACGCACGAAATGGACGTTGGACGTCAAAAACTGCGGAAAAATTGCGACTTTGAGTTGTCAATCGCAACCCTTACGCACGAAATGGACGTTGGACGTCAAAAACTGAGGAAAAATTGCGACTTTGAGTTGTCAATCGCAACCCTTTCGCACGAAATGGACGTTGGACGTCAAAAACTGAGGAAAAACTGCGATTTTACTTGGTCAATCGTAACCCTTTCGCACGAAATGGACGTTGGACGTCAAAAACTGAGGAAAAATTGCGATTTTTCTTAGTCAATCGCAACGCTTTCGTCTGTGTAAAAGTGTCTGTGTGTAAAAGCCTCTGTGTGTAAAAGCCTCTGTGTGTAAAAGTGTCTGTGTGTAAAAGCCACCCCCCCCCCCCACGGCGAGCCACCGGCGCAGCCGCAGCTGTGTGGAAAAGCGGTGGTGGTGGCAAAGGTTTTGTGTAACAGCGTCTGTGTGTAAAAGGGTCTGTGTGTAAAGCGTCTGTGTCAAAAGCGTCTGTTTCAAAGTGTCGTGTAAGTTTCTGTTGTGGATGTAAAAGCGTCTGTGTGTAAAAAGCCTCTGTGTAAAAGCCCGCTGTGTAAAAAGCCTAGGGGGACAAGCGGCTGTGTTGTGGAAAGGTTTTGTTGTTTGTGTATAATCTTCTTTTTGGTAAAAGTCTTCTTGGGTAAAAGCGGTCTGTGTGTAACAGGAGCTGTGTGTAACGCTCTGTGGGGGAAAGTGTTTGTTGTAAAAGCGGGCTTTGTGTAAAAGCGTTTGTGTACTTCTGTGTGTAAAAGCTTCTGTGTGTAAAAGCGTCTGTGTGTAAAGGAGTCTGTGTGTAAAATCGTCTGTGTGTGAAAGAGTCTGTGTTTAAAATCGTCTGTGTGTAAAAGCGTCTGTGTGTAAAAGCGTCTGTGTGTAAAAGCGTCTGTGTAAAAGCGTCTGTGTGTAAAAGTGTCTGTGTGTAAAAGCCTCTTTGTGTAAAAGTTTCTGTGTGTAAAAGTGTCTGTGTGTAAAAGTTTCCGTGTGTAAAAGCCTCTCTGTGTAAAGGAGTCTGTGTGTAAAAGTGTCTGTGTGTAAAAGCGTCTGTGTGTAAAAGCGTTTGTGTGTAAAGGAGTCTCTTTGTAAAGGCTTCTGTGTGTAAAAGCCTCTGTGTGTGAAAGTGTTTGTGTGTAAAAGCGTCTGTGTGCAAAAATCCCTGTGCAAGCATCTGTGTGTAAAAGCCTCTGTGTGTGTGTAAAAGAAAAGCGTGTGTGTGTGTGCGTGTGTGTGTAAAAGCTTCTGTTGGTAAAAGTGTCTGTGTGTAAAAGTCTCTATGTAAAAGCTTCTGTGTGTAAAAGCGTCTGTGTGTAAAGGAGTCTGTGTGTAAAAGCTTCTGTGTAAGAGCGTCTGTGTGTAAAAGCTTCTGTGTGTAACAGCTTCTTTGTGTAAAAGTGTCTGTGTGTAAAAGTGTCTGTGTGTAAAATGGTCTGTGCGTAAAAGCGTCTGTGAGTAAAAGCGTCTGTGTGTAAAAGCGTCTGTGTGTAAAAGCGTCTGTGTGTAAAAGCGCCTGTGTGTAAAAGCTTCTGTGTGTAAAAGTGTCTGTGTAAAAGTGTTTGTGTGCAAAAGCGTCTGTGTGTAAAAGCGTCTGTGTGTAAAAGCCTCTGCGTAGTAGCCTCTGTGTGTGAAGGGTGTGTGTGTAAGTGTGTGTGTGTGTAAAAGCGTCTGTGTGCAAAAAGCGTCTGCGTGTAAAAGCGTCTGTGTGTAAAATTGTCTGTGTGTAAAAGGGTCTGTGTGTAAAAGCTTCTGTGTGTAAAAGCGTCTGTGTGTAAAATCGTCTGTGTGTAAAAGCGTCTGTGTGTAAAAGCGTCTGTGTGTAAAAGCGCCTGTGTGTAAAAGCTTCTGTGTGTAAAAGCGCCTGTGTGTAAAAGCTTCTGTGTGTAAAAGCCTCTGTGTGTAAAAGTGTCTGTGTGTAAAAGCGTCTGTGTGTAAAAGGGTCTGTGTGTAAAAGCGTCTGTGTGTAAAAGCGTCTGTGTGTAAAATCGTCTGTGTGTAAAAGCGTCTGTGTGTAAAGGAGTCTGTGTGTAAAGGAGTCTGTGTGTAAAAGTTTCCGTGTGTAAAAGCCTCTGTGTGTAAAAGTGTCTGTGTGCAAAAGTCTCTGTGTAAAAGTGTCTGTGTGTAAAAGCGTTTGTGTGTAAAAACGTCTGTGTGTAAGAGTGTCTGTGTGTAAAAGCGTCTGTGTGTAAAGGAGTCTGTGTGTACAAGCTTCTGTGTGTAAAAGCGTCTTTGTGTAAAAGCGTTTGTGTGTAAACGCGTCTGTGTGTAAAAGTCTCTGTGTAAGCGTCTGTGTGTAAAAGCCTCTGTGTGTGAAAGTGTGTGTGTGTGTACAAGAAAAGCGTGTGTGCGTGTGTGTGTGTGTATGTGTGTGGGTGTAAAAGCTTCTGTGTGTAAAAGTCTCTGTGTAAGCGTCTGTGTGTAAAAGCCTCTGTGTGTGAAAGTGTGTGTGTGTGTAAAATAAAAGCGTGTGTGTGTGTGTGTTTGTGTGTAAAAGCTTCTGTGGGTAAAAGTGTCTGTGTGTAAAAGTGTTTGTGTGTAAAAGCGTCTGTGTCTAAAAGCCTCTGTGTGTAAAAGCATCTGCGTGTAAAAGCGTTTGTGTGTAAAAGCCTCTGTGTATGACACAGGTTATTTCATTTTATTATGGAAAATCCCACATGAATGGCCCAAAAAAGCTCGGCACCATGATGCCGTGCATGACACATGTTATTTCATTTTATTATGGAAAATCCCACATAAATGTCCCAAAAAGATCGGTACCATGATGCTGTAAATCACACATGTGACAAGACTTCACTAGTGAAATGTCTGCAAATGTTTGCACAAAAAAAGGTCCAATACCATAATGCAGTAAATGACACGCGTTGTCTCATTTTATTCTGGGAATATCCCACAGAAACTATCAAACAAGCTCGGTACCATGATGCCGTGTATGACACATGTCATTTCATTTTAGTATGGAAAATCCCACATAAATGGCCCAAAAAAGCTCGGTATCATGATGCTGCGTATGACACATGTTATTTCATTTTATTATGGAAAATCCCACATAATTGGCCCAAAAAAGATCGGTACCATGATGCTGTAAATGACACATGTGACAATACTTCACTAGTGAAATGTCTGCAAACGTTTGCAACAGAGCTCGCTGCCATCATGTGCTTGATGTCAAAAACAGAACAGTTTGAGTTCAGGACTATAAAATGTCATATAGAGACACTCTTCAAAAGCTTCTGTGTGTAAAAGCTTCTGTGTATGAAAGTGTGTGTGTGTGTAAAAGCATCTGCGTGTAAAAGCCTCTGTGTGTAAAAGCGTCTGTGTGTAAAAGGGTCTGTGTGTAAAAGGGTCTGTGTGTAAAAGCGTTTGTGTGTAAAAGTGTCTGTGTGTAAAAGCTTCTGTGTGTAAAAGCATCTGCGTGCAAAAGTTTCTGCGTGTAAAAGCGTCTGTGTGTAAAAGGGTCTGTGTGTAAAAGGGTCTGTGTGTAAAAGCGTTTGTGTGTAAAAGTGTCTGTGTGTAAAAGCTTCTGTGTGTAAAAGCATCTGCGTGTAAAAGCTTCTGTGTGTAAAAGCGTCTGCGTGTAAAAGTGTCTGTGTGTAAAAGCGTCTGTGTGTAAAAGTCTCTGTGTGTAAACGCGTCTGTGAAAGTGTTTGTGTGTAAAAGCGCCTGTGTGTAATTTCACAACCTTCCCCTCCATAGCTCATATCAAATTCACCAAGCATTCACCGACTATTTTTTACGACTACCATACTCAGAGCTGCTTGAAGGACGTGTTTTTCGCTCTCGGGCCAACCGTCGTCTAGTTTTGTAAACACCCCCCATATTTTTTCGTGGCGTCACCGACTCCGGAGGTCCCATCGAAGACGATGGCAGTTTGACATTGATCAGCATGGCAAGTGACCATCAAACCATCCATCGAGTGCACCTTGGTGGGCGTGCCTCACGTTGGGTGGCCCCCCAAGCCAGGAAAAACCATAGCAAATTTGTGATTTCACCAGGAAAAGTGCGGAAATTCATGAGATTTATAGCTGATTTATGATTGTTAAGTTGGATTATAACTCCGATAGCTAGGGTTTATGGTAATTCGAACTCTAGCTAAAGGAGTTGATAAACCAACTTATCACTAGGGGGACCACGTTGCAATGTATGGTAAGTTAATTGAGAACATGATGGTTAATCAGTGGATTCAGGGGTATCATATTTTCAGACAAACCAATCTGAAATCCTGGTATAGCAACCGCCAACAACCAGACCTGAACTCAAAATATATCCAACAAAACACTTTTAACTCCCCCAAGAAAACATTAAGAAAGAAGAAAACCAATTACCATCGCAAGGAAATCATATTTTTGTACACTTTCAAAATCGTTGCTACATGTTTTTGGGCACCCTCTCCCATGGTATTTGGGCAGCTGATGATCCAATCTCATCCTGCAAGGCGGGTCAACATGGCCACATGCCGTTGATCAATTGCATAGCGTTTTTGTATAGATGGCCGTTGAAAAATCCTTATTTAGCCAACTATAAAATTGTGATTTTCCATAGTTTTTTGTATGTTTACCAGAGGGTAAAATGATTTATAATGATTTAAACATCGTGTTTTTCCAGTTCGCAAAATGTAAACGTTTACCAGAGGGTATGTCATCCATAGACCCTCAAAATGAGCCATCTTTAGTGGAAACCAATCTTCCCCCTGCAGGGTCGTCATGTTAATTTACTGGAGGATAATATCCCCCTCAATACTTTTTATCAATAACCCTCCACTTATTGGATGTTGGTTATGTTTGTTTACCAGAGGATATATGAATTATATCACAATACCCCGATTATATATCCCATATATCCCATCAATATCCCCAGTTATTGGTGATCAATATCCCCAGTATATCACCATTGATCATTATTGACCACCATGAATTATCATTATTAACCATTATTCATCATTATTAGCCATTATAGATTTCCAATTGCCCTCTGGTAAACTAACATAGCTACTGAAAATAACCATAGAAGTTGTTGATTTACCTATTGAAAATGGTGCATTTTTCCATGGTCATGTAAACGTTTACCAGAGTGTACCAGTATAGACTTACCATTATTATCATTATCATTAACCATGATTAATCATTATATATGAGCCATGATAATTGCTAATCATTATTAATTATTATATATTAGCCAGATTATATATTTTATTAACCATTAATCATTATAGATTTCCAATTACCATATCAATAATTGTTAACAATGATTAGTTGGAAATCCATATGATATATACCAAATTTTAAATTAGATATAAAACCATTGTATATTATTATTATTAACCATTTCCAATTATCACTAGATAACCATTATAGATTATTATTAAGCCATTGTTAATCATTATAGATTTTCCATTATTCCTATTAGTAACCACTATTAACCATTATTAACCATTATTAATCATTATATTAGTCATTATCTAGTTATGGTTATACCATCTCAATCTGTGGCTTCAGTGAAGTCGTTGCCCAGGCTGGACTCTGTGAGGGATTTGATCCGCACAGGTGGGACACCAGAGGTGTTTTTCCATGGGAAAACGGTGAACGAAACCATGGGAAAACCATAGAAAACCATAGAAAAATGGTGATTTTACTCGGAAAAATGGAGATAAATAGTTGATTTATCTGATTTAACAATACAAACTATAGGAAAATGATGATTTAACCCAGAAAATGGTGATATAGCGGTATCTTACATGTGGATTTAGTGGGATTTACATCTGATTAACCATTGTCTGATCTTCCTTGGAGGATCATCCCGCGACTAGTTAGTAAGTTTCCATTCAGTGGCGCTATCCCATGTGTACATAGGTGAACTACCCTCTGGTAATTTGTTACATAGGGAACTGGAAAAGCACCTAATTTTTAATGGGTAAATCAACTATTTCGACTGGGCCATGTTCAATAACTATGTAACAGTTTACCAGAGGGTAAGTTATGATCACCAGTTACGATTCGTGGATGATGATCCTCCAAGTCGTTTTTTACGCGTGGCTGCCGTTGGTTGTATAACCAGTCTACTAGGGATTTTTTATCCCTTCCCCCGTAAGTGTAAACACCTTCCAGAAACCATGCTGGAATGCTTTGAATCTATTCATCTGTGGGAAAATGGATGATTAAAGCAGCAAATATGGGGATATAGTGGAGATACAATGGGAATACAATGGTTCAAGTTCAATGGAAGACCAACTCCACGCTTCATCTGCCCTTGCGACTCATCTGTGATTGGCACCAAGGTTTAGTGGCCCAACATGACGTAGTTATCCGCAACCCAAAAAGATGCAAAAAAATATCAAAAAATGTATGACTGATTGGTGGTTTGGAACATGACCTTTATTTTTCCATATATTGGGAATAATCATCCCAACTGACTAATATTTTTCAGAGGGGTTGAAACCACCAACCAGATGATTTGCTAAGGTGTGCTACCCTTTTTAAGGTAGATTGTACTTTTCATTTTTTTGTGGTTGCTATACATTGAGTATATACGATTTCGTTTTTGTATGCAATTCTAGTGCTTGCAAGTCTAGGATGTCATTCACCTGAAAGAAACCATTTTCAGAAAGCAAACAACAGCACCAGAATGTGGAGTCAAACAATGTTATATAAACAGAACAGTGAAATGTGAACCAACTAAACCAACTTAGCTACCCTCTGGCAATCAAACGTAGCACTTGAAAAATTGCTTTAAATGAGGGTGTCTAGTGGGAAAATCATCTATAAATAGTGGACTTTCCAGCCAGCCATGTTTGATTACCAGAGGCTAACTAATGTGAAATATAAACCAACTTCGCGAACAAACTCATGAGGTTGTTGGGCTTGCTCCCTGCAAGGCCTAGAAACTTTCCATGCAGCGGGGTATCCTTAGGAGACGTCCCGGACTTTTTGAGGCTAGATCACTCATGAAGATTTGGGGTAACCAACAAAAACCACAGATGAAACCAAATCTGAGTGCTAAGTAATAAGCATTGGGATTTAACCCAAATGATACCAGAAATGTCATCGAAGTGCAGATCTGACCCAGCAGAACATGTGGATGTTGACCAAAGCAACAGAAATTTCTGAAAAAAATCACCGATTTCGGCTTTATTTGAGCAGCAAAATAGGGATTTGAACACATTTTAATCCACAAAAAGTTGGTAAAATCACCACTAGAGCTTAAGATTTCACCACTAAAAATGGATCCTGTTCAACGCTAACAATGAACATTTCACCAAAAAAATATGTTGATTTCAATACCAAACATGAAGATTTCACCACTTAGCTAATATAAATCAGATAGATCAACTCGTCCCATGAAATATTCCATTAATATTAGCTATAATCCCAACAAATCCCCATTCTTGTTGGTTAAATCACAATATTCCTATGGTTTTGTTGCTTAAATCACAGTTTTTTGTTGAGTAAGTCCCACATCAGAAATCAAATATTTTTCTTGGTTAAGTCACCATTTTCCACTATACTAGGTCAATCTTAGGTGGGTACTTTAATCCTTTAGTCTTTTGATATCAATGGGATTATCTACTCACCAGCTAAGAATTTGTCATTTTTTGCAGGTTATTTCAGATTGGCCATGGATATAACGACCAAAAAATAAGGATTCATACTGATTAATAGTAGTTAACCACCATTTTCCATTATATATCAGCTATAAAGCTCCATACTTGGTGGCTCATCCCACTTAGTAAGTGGGTTTATAACCCCAGTCATAAATGGGATAAGTAGGGATAATCCACTTATAACTGGCGTTATAACCCACTTACTAAATGGGATGAGCCACCAAGTAAATCACCATATTTCACGGTGAACTTCAGGCAGCGAAGCCTTGGCCCTGCTGGCTTCGGTGGTGTCGCCCATGGGCGGGCGCAAGGCGCAAGGTGAAGAGGCAGGAAGATGACGTGGGGGATCTCCGCGCCACCCGTTAACGTTAACGGTTAGCCATAGGAAAACCATAGGAAAATGGTGGTTTCACCAAGCAAAATGGGGATTTCTTAGGGATTGATAGCTGATATAGCTGATATATGATAGCTAAGATGGTTTAGTTCACTAGTATAACTGAACATCTGGGCGACCTCGGGCGATGAAATCATCTGAGACCAGCATTGCAATCACAGGCCATGGTAATGTGGATGTAATGAGGATTCAATGGGAATAATGAAATATATGGGCTATAATGGAATATATAATTATATAACAGTTAAAAATTTGGATATTAACAATTATGGGGATAATCACTGTAATATAACAAAGAATAAACCATACTAGATCAACCAGCTGAATGGGTTCGGTTTCCGGAAATTAGGGTATAAGCATCAAAACTTGTGGCATCCACTGTGATATGTAGTGGAAATCATTTGTTAGGCATCGAAACGGGAAAATGTGCCGAAAATTGGGGTTGAAGCTACAAAAGATGCGACGATACTGGGATATTTACTGGATTATATTGCTGAAACATGTTACCTGGGTGAATTACGGCATTTGACTGTGAACATGTTTTGTTTGGTGCGGATAGTCCTGACATTGTGGGCTATGTGATGACAGTGAACGTGTTTATATGTTCTACGTTTGATACCCTGTGGTAAACCAACATAACTATGGAACATCTCCATTTTTCATGGGTAAATCAAGGAACTAAATGGCCATCTATACAATAGCAAACTGTAACAAATTACCAGAGGGTAAGCCATTGTTAATGGCTACTAATGGTTATCAACCAGTTTATCCATATCTATCATAAATCAGCTATAAAACCACATATCTATAAATCAGCTATAAATGGTTATTAATTATTATTAATGGTTATAAATCAGCTATAAACCATCACTCAATTTGTGACACGGAGACCTTCCATCGCGCCTATCCCCAGGGCCGAATCTGGCTAAAACTGGCGAAGCAAGCGGAGAACCGCGTGCGCGGCACGCTGGAAGATCTGCAGAAAAACATGGCCCGGGAGCCCAGGCGAACACAGCAGGGTGAACTAACCCAGGCGAAGCAACTGGGATGAAGGTTCCTCCCCCTATAGGGGCACCCCATCCATTTCAATAGGACTTTCCCTTGTAAACCATCCAGCTATGGGGGTACCCCCATTTATGGAAACCCCTGTACATACACTTCACTATATATCCCTGGATATTCATTGGTTACAAATTTCTGTCCAGGGCAGATTTTGGTTCCATTTCTGTCCATGTTCTTTAGATTTGTCCATTTCAAAAGGAAAAAATATATGTGTAACCAATGAATATCCAGGGATAATGGGATATATATATATATATATACATACATACATTTTACATTATTAGGGTACTATAATATTAATCCATAGTTGGTGGTTCCTGCCCCTTAGTAGATTATAACCCTGGTTCTAAATGAAGAAGTAGGGTTAATCCACTTATAACTAGTGTAGTTACCAACTGGGATGAAGCATCAAATATCCATGTCTTATCAAATCCCAAATCCATGATTGGAACACTAAGAGCACTAATCAATAGTATTTTGGATTACCTACAGGATGGGGCCCCCAAGATTGCGTTCAGTTGCCGAACATAAGTGGCTGAATTCTATGGTTTATGGTCGATATAGCCATAGATAGCTATAGTTCATAGGGTTTATAGACCAACAAACATGACTGGGGGGTACCATCCTGTATGCTCCAAATGGATAAGTGATGACTATCCAACTATCCAGGACAGTGGGTTTGTCATGTTCCTTAACAAGTCTACTTGTTGTTTACCATTGTTTACCCTTGAAAGATGTGTGGCATTTGTATGTTAAGTCATCATTTTGATAAAATGCAACGTGACTGGTATGCTCCAAATGGTTTTTGTTTTGTGTGAAGAAACTGGATCCGCAACGGAGAGGGAATGCTGAACACAGCAAACCACTTGTGGCTCTGTTGAGTTAGTAAACTAAACATGATTGAAAAAATGCACAGACCAGTTGAGGCAAAAGTCTAATTCCCTGTTTGTTGATCTATCTATTTTGCTCATACTTTCGCTTTTATCCACAATTCTTATAGATATGGAGGTCTCCTAAAATGAGGGTACCCCCAAATCATCCATTTCAATAGGATTTTCCATTATAAACCATCGATTTTGGGGATCCTCCATTTATGGAAACCACCATATTGCAGAACAAATGTTTATAAACCCACATCACGCAAATGGGTGTGTCCAAAAACAGAGTACCCCAAAGTCGCATGATTGAAGTTCATTGTCCTCCATTTTTGGACAACTCATCTCTAGATATGTTTCCTTTTAGGTTTCTTATTTTATCCTCTTATAGTCTTATATTACATGATATGTCATTGTACCCTTATCATGTAATTATAATTATATCATGATTATGTTTCCTTTTCTTACATTGTACCACTTATTATATCAATATTGTTATCGTCCCTTTTAACGGATTCAATGACCACGGCGCTGCTTAGCATCTAAAATTTGGATCCATGGGACTGAAAAAACATGAGAAATTCTATACCATTCATCAGGATGTAGATGTTCATAGGGATACATATGAATATGGTTTAACCATGGTTTATGGTATATAGATATGATATATCTATATAATTCCAAAACTTGGTCCATCTTAGATGGGTAGCAACTAATCCTTTAGTCTTTTGGTATCAATGCGATTCTCTACGTTCAACAGCTAAGAATTTGTCATTTTTGGAGGGTATCTAAGATTGGCCATGGATATAAAGACCGAAAATGAGGATTCATACTGATTAATAGTAGTTAATCTACCTAATTTTGAATGGGTTTTGATGGAAAACATAGGGATTGAACTACTTGGTGGCTCATCCCACTGATCGTAACTAGGTTAGCTCACCCTAGTTGTAAGTAGATTAACCTTACATATCTTACTAACAAAACCAGGGATATAACCCACTTAGGATTCGTGGGATGAGCCATCAAGTAAGATATTCAAATCCTACGTTTTCACAGTAAAATCCAAAGTTCAAGTGCTTGATCACCATTTGTTGTTGGTTAAATCACCAATTTTCTGGATGAAATCCTCTTTTTTCTGGTCCCAAATCTGGCAAAACCTCCGTTTTGACATTTTGCTGGCTAAAAAAGCTTCATGTTGAATCATTGTTCACGGTGATTTTGCTAAAAACATCTTAAAACCTGCTATTTTCACCCACGTTTCATGCTTCAGTCACTTCAATGTGGACATTTTTCAGGGACCCGTCCCGTTGGTCGCGTCGTACCGTTGACCGCAACGCCGTTGACCGAGGAGCAGGTGGACGGCATCGATGCCTCGCGCTACGGCCCCAAGGCCGCCGCGGAGATCCGGCTCGCGCGGAAGGAGCCAGCCGGTGCACCGGAACTGCCAGGGCGGCGGGCTCGTCCCCAAGAAATACTGGTTGGTGGTTTGGAACGGTTAATAATGGTGAATATTAGTGGTTAATGATGGTTAATAATAGTGGGTTAGAACTGGTAAACTAACATGGTAAATTGGTAAATCTATCGTTTTATTAATGGTTAATAACCATGGTTTATTAATTGGGTTATTAATGATTAATGGTTATAATGGGTTTATCCATGGTTATCTGGTTGGTGGTTTGGAACCATGGAAATAGATGGGTCTTTCCTAAATCACCATAAATGGGTGGTATAAACCATCAAACATGTAGTGGTTTATTACTGTGGTTTATTACTGTTTTACCCACATTAATAGCCTTCATTGAAGTTGTAACATTATCTGATTGGTGGTCTGGAACATGAATTTTATTTTTCCATATATTGGGAATAATCATCATCCCAACTGACTTTCAGATTTTTCAAGATGGTTGAAACCACCAACCAGGATGGGTCGTTCCTAAAATGATCCCGAAAACATCCGAAAACCCATAGGTTTCAGACAAGCCCATATATGATTGATATCTCGGGGACATACACACACACATATATATATATACATACACATGATTAGATGATTCAGTCCATCTATATAAATGGGGATACATTGTCACATGGCTTTGCTGAGTCGATGATGTTCTAGTTTCAATGGAAAACCCACTACACGAATCCAAGAGAACCAGCATAAAATCGGGGGTATTTGAAGCTATGGTGGTGTCCATCCGAAATTGGGAGCTAGTTGGAGCTCGAGTTTCCCATGCGAAAATGATGAAAATGACTGAACATTAGTGTATTTTCACGGGGGTTGAAGCCATCAACCAAATTACCACTGATATTTGATGGTGTCCCCCCAGTTGCGTTTGTTGGTTTAGAAACCATAGTAACTAGTTAGATATAACTACCATAAACCCAAGTGAAATTGGACTTATAAGTTAACTTAGCGATTCCGAACTGGGGCACCACCTTGTATGCATATTACTGAACCACCACATGGCTTTGCAAATCCTTTTGCCGCAGGACCTTGTTCAGTTTGTTCAGAAGGCCGGATCGCCTCCTGTAGACTGGACGCTGAAAGTCTCAGCTGAGGGGATGAGACTGAATGAATGAGTGTAAATGACGTACCTTCCTGTAAATCAACGTCTGTTTGGTGGTTTGGAACATGAATTTTGTTTTTCCATATATCGGGAATGTCATCATCCCAACTGACTAATATTTTTCAGAGGGATTGAAACCACCAACCGGACATAAACTAACATAGATCTGAAATCACTATTTTCCACGAGTTTCGATGGCTAAATTGACCCATAAACATATCCCTCTGTTTGATAATGAAATCCCTATTTTCTGGCTGGTTAAATCTCGGTTTTGATGGCAAACTCCTCATGTTTGGATGGAAAAAATCTTATTTTTCCCTAGAAAAAAGAACAACATGTTTGACGCTTAAATCATCGTTTAATAAACTCAACCATTTATGGATGAATTTCCCCTAAAAACTTTCATCTGTAGGTCATTTTCCAATTGCCATGTTCGAATACCGATGGCAAATCCCTTTACTGTCCGATTATGGCAATCATATCCCCAAAACAAAAAACTATGGTTGTTGATTAAATCTCTGTTGTATAACCATTGTAAGAATATAATACGGAATGGATGGAGATTTCATGGGATTTAACTTAACTACATTTATATATATATATAGTTGTTCATTGTTGGTTAAATTTGTGATATCCATTTTAATGGGACTATTATTCCCAAATGTATCCCTATAATTCCTTATTGTTGTTGGTTAAACCTCTGAAACATGGCCGGCCCTCGCTCCGCCAGGCCCAGGAGCAGCTGGAGTCCAGTCTCGCGCGGCTGCGCATCGTGCTGCACCATTTGGCGCCTCGGGCGCTGGAAACACGCCGCGCTACGCGCAGGGCGTAGCAGGGGGAATCCTACTGTGGATGGAGGAAATCCTGCACCAGTTGATAGGTAGTTGTCCCATAATTTACCCTCTGGTAATTTAACATAGCTATTGAAAATGGCCATTTATAGTGAGTTTTCCCACTAAAAATGGTGATTTTCCATAGCTATGTTAAATTACCAGAGGGTATAGGCGTTCAACCATCCTTTTGGTGCAGGATTTACCATCCACAGTAGGACTTGATGGATTCATTGGGATGGTTTTGGCGAAAAGCTGGTGAAAACTGGCGAAGAAATCGATGGGCTTTTGCCGGTGATATATAATGGCTATAGATATATCACTATATCACTACTAGCTTGTGATGATGGCTATATATATATCACTATAGACTATAGCACCAAAAATATCTTGTGAATAGATATAGCCATTTTTTTCGCATCCAAGGAATCGTAAATGAGCAACGAATCAGATGAAAGAAGACAATTATATGTGGGATACACCCCAGTTTTTCAGGGAACTTTGTAATATGGGAATATGGCGTCTTCTAACTTTGAAAAATGGCGCAAACGTGAATATCAAATCGCCACAAACTGTATTTTATAAGTGGGGACTTAGTTTAGTGGGAGTAAATCAATGCCCAATGCCACATGTTCTTCGGATATGCTCAAGATTCAAGATCATATAGGTTCTAAGCACGTACTTGTAGATCTATGCACATCCATTCTTATGTATATCTACTCATACACATGTTCACTTGCATTGCATTGTATGAATACATACATCAATAGAGGAAGAGAGTAAATAAATATGATCAGATAGATATAGATCAATGTTTGTCAAACGGAATTCTCATTATATTGTCTGATATAATCCCGAGATATTCCGTTATAGATAATAGATTCCCCATAATTTATGATGTCTGATAATATAATAGATCAGATGATATGATGCTTTAAATCCCCATGAAAAATTGTCTGGTTTAACCCCCGATCAGCCGCCGTTTTGTTTTTTTTTCGCTTTCGTGGCGAGACCTCAACGGTACCATCTCAGAAGCCGGCGCATGGATGGACTGAAGCTGAGCTGCAATGATCAGGTGGGTTTCAGGTAGAAACCATGGTTTTTCCATGGGAAAATGGTGATCAAACCAACAAGAATGGAGATTTACTGGGATTTGTAGTTGATTTATGATAGCTAAGTTGGGTTTATAACTCCAATAGCTGGGGTTTATGATAGCTATAGCTGCAGTCAATGGATGGTGATGGCTCAAAATTGATGACCCGGTGGACCACAGATGTGGAAAATCCACCATTCATAGTTGGGGTTATTAAGGAATATAACCCTTATAACTATGGTTTTATGTCAATTACCCTCTGGTAAACTAACATAACTGTTGAAATCACCACTTTTAATAGGTAAATCAACGAACTAACTGGGCCATAGCTTCCATAGCTATGTAACAAATTACCAGAGGGCAACGATGTTTTTCATTGTCAGGATTGGGGAGATCATGCTGTCATAATTTCCGGATGTGAACATCGTTCTTATCTTTGTCATCCAGCACTGACTAGATGTACAGGTCAAGTTTATGAAAACCAAGAAAGAAAACAAAGACTTTAGTTGTTAGTATTAATCAAATAATTAGTGGAGTGACCATTTTTTGACCAATGATTGTGGTGACCAAATAGTCTATGGATGGAGATAGATAAATTTATATATATACATACACAGTCTGATGGACATAGTTCCTTCTTGAAGAGTATAAGCACCAGTACCATGAAAAACATTGCGTTTTAGTGGGATATTAACCAAACATTGAAATTAAAAAATTGGGTTTGGGAGACGATTTTAGGTGACTTAAGTGGGTTCTTCTCATTTTGTTCAAGGAAAATGCAAAGTTTTCTATGATAAAAAGGCGCGCAGTGGTCAGGTGACTTCTTTTGGATGCTTCCATTTGTGAGCCAACTTTAACCCACCCAAAGGACCAATCCACAACAGGTTTTGGAAACTGCTCCATCAGGAATATCCATGGTGTTTGATGTGTTTGGGGAATGGAAACAGTTTAGCCAACATTCATTCAGTTTTCCATGGTATACAGTGCCAAGACTGGAGGATATCCCAATCAAAGCTTTCCCCCGAGAAGTGCCAACCACTTATTGATCCATGTCACATGGTCGAGGAAGCAGAGTCCTTGCACGAGAAATACCGCGCAGCTTTTGAAAAATTGGAGGAGCTGTGGTGGGATCTCCTAAGCTCCTCATGCCGGTAGGTCCATGAACAGTTCCCCCAGGGGCTATGAAAATATGAAAAGATGAAGGGGGAAGGAAGTGGAATCTATGGGATCTATAGGGCTACGACCCAGCCACCCAGACTTCAATGAAGAGTAAGTTGTTTCGGTCCTTACAAAAGCTACTAAAAACTACAGTAGCCATGGATCGAGCCTTTGCAGGTCGACATGGGTTTGAAAATAGTTCCATGACTGAGTTCTCAGAGATGTGAATCGTGTCTTCTTGCTTTTTGTCCTGGTAAATGGTGTGTTGCTCAACAACTCCCCATAGAAGTCGGTACCCCCAGTTCTAAGTTGGTTTTTCAGCCCCATTACCTGTAGATATGTTTACCATAAACCGTCATAAACCCCAGTCATATGAGACGTTGCGAAGGGGTTCTTGAGAACCGTCATACAGGCGCTGTCACGAAGGTGCTATCAGGGCAGGCCACCAACTACCCTCTGGTAAACTAACATAACTATGGAAAATCACCATTTTTAATGGGTAAATCCACTATAAATGGCAAGTTTCAATAGCTATGTTAGTTTACCCTACATGAATGGAACTGCCAATACCCCTGCAATGACGCAGATCAAGAGTCCCCATTTTCTGCTGTCGGGGATCCCCAGTTGTCACCATGGCATCGCAGCGCTCCAGGAGGTGGTGGAGAAGGGGGATAGCTCCACCGTGCGGGGCAAGACGCGCTTGAGCAGCATCACGGTGAAGTTTCAGGGCCGAGGTTCCGATGCGGGGTGAGCTGTGAGTTGGTGATGTTTGTTGGTTAAACCCAGAGAAAAATCCCGTTGATAGTGAGATGGCTACCATAAATTATAGAATTCGCCTATACGAGAAGGAGTGGATCAGCCTTCCCCCGAGGTACCCATGCAAACCAAAAGCATGTGCCTGCAAAGTTTCACAATGACCGAATTCTTTTACAGGTGCAGCGTTGATTTTCCACAGGTTGAGATTCACGGCAGGGGCAGCAAGAAGGACAAGACTGCCCTACGCCTTTGCTTTGGCCAAGCTTTCAACTTGGATGAGGCCTATGAGTTCTTAGAGAACCTATCTTTGCCGGGTTCCAGAAGTGACAAAGGTATCTTCAGCCAACGCCCATGCAAGCACACTCAATACCTTGCTTGCCCGCGGCAAGACCAAAAGAGCAACGAGGACGTCCACATCCAGCAATTTAGGGAAAATTCTTGGGATTGGGAAATTCGTGGGAGTTCCTGGAATGCAAACCCAAGGACTTGGCGAAGGATGACGTAATAAAGGCCCCAATTCTAGTTCACTGGGTCTCTCAAGTGACAATCTCAACCACCATCGATTAGGCTTTTTGGAGCATCTATTGTTGGTCAGGTCAAAGGTCCGTTGGATCTCCAGAGAAATAAAAGGGGCCAAATGGTGCAACTGGGGAAGCCATGGGGAGTAGTCAATCCTATTTCAAACACCATACATGCGGCACAACATGAAGAAAAAATATCTGATTGGTGGTTTGGAACCATGGAATTTTATGACGTTCCATTCAGTTGGGAATGTCATACCCCAACTGACGAACTCATATTTTTCAGAGGGGTAGGTATACCACCAACCAGTATGAGAAATCAAGATGAATCACATAGATGGGCCATGGGATTAGTTGGTGATCGTAGCTCGGTGACGACAAGGTAATGTCAAGTTAGGTTTGATAATTCCCCCCCGATTAGAGAAGCTCCGTCTCTCACCCGATTTTGGGGCAATACTAATATCAAGTAGGTGTTGCCAGCCTGAAAATAATGGTGTGACCCCCCTTCCAATTAGATAAGCCCCTCTCCGACCCCCAGATTTTCAGTGTACTAGTTCCCCACCTGCCAGGTAAGGGTTGCTAGATTTTATCAGAGCTGTTCTCCTCCTCCTCCGCCTCCTCCGCCTCCTCCTCGCAGTCCAGATCCCAGTGGGCACAGCCGGACCTCCACCGCGAGCTCCAGATACCAGTAGGCACTGCCGGACATCAACCGCGAGTTGCAGATCGCAGTGGGCACTGCCGGACCTCAACCGCGACTTCCAGGTCGCAGTGGGCACTGCCGGACCTCAACCGCGAGCTCCAGATCCCAGTGAGCTCCAGATCCCAGTGGGCACTGCCGGACCTCAACCGCGACTTCCAGATCGCAGTGGGCACTGCCGGACCTCAACCGCGACTTCCAGATCGCAGTGGGCACTGCCGGACCTCAACGGGAAGAATGTCAGAAAAGATGTCAGATAGAATGTCAGAAAATATGCCATATAGAATGCCAGAAAGAATGTCAGAAGAATGTCAGAAGATATGCCAGACAGAATGTCAGAAGATATGCCAGAAAGAATGTCAGAAGATATGCCAGATAGAATGTCAGAAGATATGCCAGATAAAATGCCATGAGATATGCCACATAGAATGCCAGAAGATATGCCAGAATATGCCAGATAGAATGCCAGAAGATATACCAGATAGAATGCCAGAAGATATTCCAGATAGAATGCCAGAAGGTATGCCAAATAGAATGCCAGATAAAATGTCAGATAGAATGCCACAAAATATGCCAGATAGAATCCCAGAAGATTTGCCAGATAATATGCCAGAAGATATGCCAGATAGAATGCCAGAAGATTTGCCAGATAGAATGCCAGAAAATATGCCAGAAGATATGCCAGATAGATATGCCAGAAGATATGCCAGAAGATATGCCAGAAGATTTGCCAGAAGATATGTCAGAATATATGCCAGAAGATATGTCAGATAGAATGCCAGAAGATATGTCAGAATATATGCCAGAAGATATGCCAGATAGAATGCCAGAAGATATGTCAGAATATATGCCAGAAGATATGCCAGATAGAATGCCAAATAGAATGCCAGAAGATATGTCAGATAGAATGCCAGAAGATTTGCCAGTAAGAACATGTATAAATGTCATGGTGGGGATCAAACGAAGTAAAGTAATTCAGTAGTTTTCCTTTCTATTTTTCTTTGGGCCTACAATTGCCCAGATTGCTGACTGACCCTTCCCTATCCCCTCCCTTCTTTGATCTGAAGCAAACATCATCCATGAAATGAACAATCTCTTACTAGTCTGTGCAAAAAAATAATGATTATTTGCAAGCTCACAGAGGGTACCCCTCATGAGTGGTGCCCTCCCCCCAAATAAAAAGCCCTCCGCCTCCCAACTAATAAAACCAATCTCAGCCCCATGGGTTTATTGTTTATCGCAATTTTGGAGGCTCCAGACAAATACCCGTGCTGAACTTGTTTGAGGCACTTTCCTTAGAAAGGACTAAAGTAAGAAACGGTCTCATCTGAGCAAGAATTGATTTGGCCAGAATTTGGTAATTAATTACGTTCCTTTAAGAAGCAAGATAAGAAGACAAAAAGACACCCTAGGGGAAGTGATGATTTTGCCAGCTGAAGGGACGTGAGTAGCAGCTTCAAAGCCAGTTTGCTGGAGCACCTCGTTGGTCTCCATGGTAACATGCGGGAGTTTGTCCGCGTTTACGTGGGACTCCAGCAAAATGATCCACCATTGGACGATATTTCACAGGGACTAGTTGGTGATTCTGTTTTTGTTTGGTTTTTCAACCACAAAAATTGGATGATGATCCGAGCTGACGGATTTTCTTCAGGGGGTTGCGCAAAAAAAAATACACGGACGATGAAAATTTCCGGGTGGACAAAATGTGAGGCCCCCCAGTCACAAGTTGGTGTATAAACCCCATAAACTCCATAAACTGTAGCTATATCCCCTATAACCCCTTGTGAACGAAGATACCTATCTGGGGGGCCTCATCTTGTACGAGATATGGGCCGAGATGTTGAAGCCCTTTTAAGGGATCCTTTTGCATCTCCGGAGGATGGTAGATGGTGCCCTACAAGTTGGATTGAAAGCCAAATTAAATATAGCATAAACCATGATTGTAATGCTAAATATTAAGCCAAATAACTAGGCTGTATAGGCTATATACATAAATAAGCCAAATTAAATATAGCCTAGCTATAAAATGTAAACAAACTTGGCTAAGTATCGGTCACCCCCTTATATTGTAAGGCCGTTCTGTCATGGTCAGGATGGGATTGAAACCGAATATCATTGGAGTGTTTGGTGATTTCGGGTCTAGTCATTTTGACGTGGCGTTATGGCGTTGTGTGTGCCATGCAGAATCATTTCATGTTTGACCGTGTCAGCAGTTTCAATCAAGAGATTGTATATGGCTTATGGTATAGTCCAAAAATGATGGGTATACCACATAAAATGGCAAGGTTTATCAAGAAATGGTTGGATAACAACTGGCGATAATCAGATATAGTCCAATTCGCAATTGTATGTCCGTGCATACCAGGCCATGCGATAACCAGGCCATCCCATCTGACAAGCGACGCAGGTGAAAATCCGCCGCCCTCTGACAACCTCTATGTGAAGGGTCTGCCAGGCAGCTCCGCCTGTTGTGGTTCCAAAACCATGATTTCACCATCAAACATGGTGGAGAATGTAGATTTTACTACTCGTTGGTGGTTTGGAACATGTTTTATTCTTCCATATATTTGGAATAATCATCCCAACTGACTTTCATATTTTTTCGGAGGGATAGGTATACCACCCCCCAACCAGAGATTTGTTTGGTTTATGACAGCTAAGTTGATTCATACGTAGGTGAACTATGGTTAACTCAGAATCTATGGAATCTATAGTTAGTTTAGAGGGCTTGTAGCCCACATTTTACCAATGGTACAAGCAAGTGGTGGGTCAGAACACCAGAACACTGGCCCCTCAAAATGGATAGTTCCATCCAACAAAAGGGATGTTTCTGGGTCAGAGTGACTCAACCACGACTATATCATTTTCATTCATTTTCCCAATTGCTGGGCCCGTCCGTCCATCCCCACTTTTACAAATGTTACACGGTTGTTGTTCAAAAAATCTGCCAAGATGAAGAACGTAGTGTCCAACTAGAGATCGAAATCCTTTTTTTCTTACTTCAAGTCCCATCGTTGTAAGCTAAAATCCGTTAAATGGGCCTGGTCAAAACCAATGGTTTTCTGACTCGAAACTCTATCAACCGTGGTTTGATTGATTGTGTTGTTGGAGTTAGAATCACAGGATATTCCAGCATTAGGAAATGAAGCTCCTCAGCGCCATAGCTGTTCTTGCTTCAACGTTGAGGGAGGCCCAGAGATATAACATTTATCACGTGAAGGAAACTGAGCCCGTTGAAGAATCTGCAATTGCACCACTACTGCCCCTCAGAATTCCGATTGTCTTGTAACCTCATTGGGAGCTGGCGTCACAGGATTTATAGTTGGTAATTTGTTGCTGGCGGTGAGTTGGTGCCATTCAAGTAGACAACATGGCCAGACTGAGCGAAGTGGGAGTAGGAGACGTGGAGGTGGCGTGCTATCGAGGGCTGATGCCCGGTAGGCGGTTTCTTGTTTTCTATTCTTATGACGACGTGTGGCATGAAGCTATGATAGCCTTGATTGTAGGTGGCGAAGAGGCATATATCCTGGTTGGTGGTTTGGAACATTTTTTTATTTTTCCATATATTGGGAATAATAATCCCAACTGACGAACTCATATTTTTCAAGGTGGTAGGTATACCACCAGCCAGCAAGGATTTATGCAGTGAATACTTGGGCTGCGGGTAGCTGGACCGATCAAGCTGAAGGGTTTGGCGTCAAGTTCTGTGGCCCAACTGATTCCATTCTGTCGACAGGTTCGCCCATAAGGCCGACTTGTGGCGCAAGTTGCAAGTTCCAGTACGGTGGCTTCATACACTATTGTTATTGTAGTTGTAAACCAACTTAGCTAACGAACTGGGGCCCCTGTAGTTTGGGTTCCCGAAAATTCCTGCAGGATGGGTCACGGAAGCGGACCTTGAAAGCATCTTCACAGAGGTTGGCGATATCCAGTCGGAAAGCCCAGCCATAAGTTTTTCGCTGTTGATCAATGGGAATTTCAGGATCCTAAAATGGAGGTACTGTACCATATTTCTGGCCATATTTTCTGGGGATATTCCCTTACATAGGCCTAAAAAATATGCCTTATATATGGTGGGTACCTCCAATTTAGGATCCTGAAATAGCGATTGAGTTGAGGTGTTGAGGGAAGCCCAGCGGGGCATAACCATAAAAGCACCGATAGTTAGTTTATAATGTGGCTAAAGCAATGTCATAAACTAGCCATGACTCGGAATGGTAAACATACCACCTTTAAAAATGGTGATTTGGGGGATGGTTTATGACATTGTTTTACGCACATTCATGGTGATATTTATGATATGGTAAGGTATGGCTTGATAAAGTATGATATGATACGATAATCATTCATTATTCGCTGGTTCATCATGTTCCCTATGAGGGCCACCCCCCCATTTTCAGCAACCAGACCCAGCCATTACTGAAGGGCTGGTTACCCTCCATTACCAGCCCTGTTTTGTAGCTAGCTTCCTGAGTACGATATGCCGTTGAAAAAAAGTATCCATTATCGCAATTCCATCCCCATTACATCCCGACTACATACGATTATATTCCCATTATATTTCCATTACATCTCCATTATATTTAAATATATACATTTAAATATATGTATACATTTGTCTTTTTATATATTATTATTATTGTTATTATATAATAAATTTATTATATGTGTTATTACATATGATTATGTACATGTTTATACATGCATTATATATATATATATGTGTAAATATACGTATATATGTATGTATGCTATTGCATTTTACAATGCATTGGTATTTTTACATATATACTCAATATATCAGATGGTGAATATATTAGATGCGTCTAATATATGAATATAAAATCTATTTTATATAATGCATTATATGATGCATCTAATGCATTGGTATTTTATATATATATATATATTTAAAATGTCACCATCTAATATTCAATTCCCATCATCTCCACTGAATCGAATGCGCAGATCCCACTTGGACGATCCCAACTTTCGCGAGGAGTATGAAACTGAAAGCTGCCGACTGGGGCGCCATCGCCTTCATTAGGTGCCTGACTTGACGATCCGATGATCCGATGATCCGGTGCCAGAAAAATCATGTGCTAACTCGGTTTAAATGTGGTAACGTGGGCAGGAATGTGAACTTCACCAACATGTGGACTTCATCCGCAAAATGGGGACTTAACTAAACCAGGTGCTTCTGTAGTTTGCGGTTGTGTAGTTTAAGCTTAATCAAAACCATAAAAATGTGGTTTTTCACATGGTTTTTACCAAGAGAATATGAAGATCTGTAGTCAGAAACGCGATGGTTCTGAATGGTGAACCAGCTGGATGGATTGTTCAAAAACACCAGCTGGATGTGGGTTTTCTACATCAATTTTTACCATGGGTTTTAACATGGTTTTAACATCGTATGATTATATATATATATACATATACATATATATATACATATTTAGATATAAATATATATATATATACATATTCAGATATATATTTATATACATATATATATAGATACATATTTATACATGTATACATATTCATATATATATAAGGGGGTATTATAATGGGAATTTCACTGTGGCGCTGTTTATTTGTTGTGCGCGTCATCTGTTTGGTTTAAGTCCGATGTGCGTTGATGAGACTCACACTTCAATTTACAGAATATTGCCATGTTGTAACTCTATACAATCCATAATTTGTTGAACATGTTCCGGATGATTGTGTTTTATCGTGCTGTTTTTTGAAGACAGGTGCAATCCATTGTTTGTCACGTATTTCCCCATGTTGTAAACTTGTTTGATATCCCCACCGGTACAATTCCACATGTCTTCGTTTATTGTTGTGCGATGCGTTTGAAAAAGAAACAAATGAGCCATTGAAAATGCCCTCTGGTAAGCTGACATAACTATGGAAAATCACCATTTTTAATTGGTAAATCAACTACCAGTAGTACCGCACAAGGCGGTGGCGGAAGTTTCAAAAATAGGAAACCTATAGGAGAGGTTGGTTGTTGTGAATCAGGGATGGCAGAGCGAAGCCACTGATGGACTGAAAGGTGCTTGATCTCTCTCACTCTTTCAATCTCTTTCTCTGACTATCTACCTACCTACCTATCTATTTTCTATGTATCTATCTATCTATCGATCTATCTATCTATCTATCTCTCTCTCTCTCTCTTTCATCTAATTACCCTCTATCTATCTATCTATCTATCTACCTATCTATCTATCTATCTATTTATCTCTCTCTCTCTCTTTCATCTGTCTATCTATCTAGCTGTCTACCTGTCTATCTGTCTATCTGTCCAGCTGTCTATCTGTCTATCTATCTATCTATCTCTCTATCTGTCTATTTGTCTATCTGTCTATCTGTCTAGCTGTCTATCTGTCTATCTGTCTTTCTGTCTATCTGTCTATCTGTCTATCTGTCTACTGTCTGTCTATCTGTGGTGCAGTGTCATTCAGTGTATTGTAGTGTAGTGTAATGTAGTGTAGTGTAGTGGAGTGTAGTGGAATGTAGTGCAGTGTAGTGTAATGTTGTGTAGTGTAGTGTAATTTCGTGTAGTGGAGTGTGTTGTGTAGTTGTAGTTGTAGTGTAGTGTAGTGTAATGTAGTGAAGTGTAGTGGAAGGTAGTGTAGTGTAATGTAGTGTAGTGGAGTGTAGTGTAGGGTAATGTAGTGTAGTGTAGTGTAATTTAGTGTAGTGGAGTGTAGTGGAGTGTAGTTGTGTAGTTGTAGTTGTAGTGTTGTGGAGCGTAGTGTAGTGTAATGTAGTGTAGTGGAGTGTAGTGTAATTTAATGTAGTGTAGTGTAGTGTAGTGTAATGTAGTGTAGTGAAATTTAATGTAGTGGAGTGTAGTGGAGTGTAGTCTAGTTGTGTAGTTGTAGTTGTAGTGTTGTGGAGTGTAGTGTAGTGTAATGTAGTGTAGTATAGTGGAGTGTGGTGTAATGTAACGTAGTGTAGTGTAGTGAAGCGAAGCGGCGAAGCGACATCTGAACCTCCAAAAGTGGACCGATCCCCTAGTGTTTTGTACATTTTCACTTCGAAATGTGCTTCGCACCACAACGGCGTGCACTTTTTCGACATCTGAACCTCCAAAAGTGGCGCGAACATGTGGTGCTTTGTACATTTTGACTTCGAAATGTGCTTGGCGCCACAACGGCGTGCACTTTTTCGACATCTCAACTTCCAAAAGTGGTCCGAGACCGCCAGTTTTTAACACTTTTGACTTGGAAATGTGCTTCGCGCGACAACGGCGTGCACTTTTTCGACATCTCAACTTCCAAAAGTGGTCCGAAGCTGAGGTGTTTTGTGCATTTTGACTTGGAAATGTGCTTCGCGCCACAACGGCGTGCACTTTTTCGACATCGCAACTTCCAAGAGTGGTCCGAACCCCTGGTGTTTTGTACATTTTGACTTGGAAATGTGCTTCGCGCCACAACGGTGTGCAATTTTTCATCGCTCCTGTGACCAGCTGGCTCCGCACCCGCCGCTTTAGCGAGCCTACTTTTCGACCCTCCGGAGCCACAAATCATTGGAAAAACACAGTGTTTCGCGACTTTCCTACCTTTTCGCGCATCTGTATCTTCTGTCCTCTTACTCTTTCTCTTCTGATCTTCTCTCTTCTAATCTTCCTCTTCTCTCTGCCTCTCCCCTACTCTGCTTTTCATCTGTCCATATTGTCGGAAGTTTGACTTCTAAACTTCCTTCGATAAATGGCCATTTTCAATAGCTATGTTAGTTCCCAACGCCGCGGCGGCCACTTTGAGAGACGTGCCCCATTTGATGATGAGCATCGGTGCATCGCATCCTCGCGACTCTCTGCGTGGCCGCAAGTGGCGAATTCAACAAAAGGCACATTTACCAAGGCAGCATTTTACAAATGCCATGGGCACCAGCCAAGCCAGTCTGGTGCGGCGGTATCTCCGATTCTGCGAGTTGCTTTGGACTGAAATGGAGAGAGATCTGGGTCAGACCCCAAAGCGGGGGTGGAACTTTGGGAAAACGTTGGGCCCGATTTACTTGTTCGAGGAGAAGTTGGTGGGAAAGTCGCGCGGGAAGCAACGTATGGCGTTGACATCGCTGGAGGAAGAGATCGCAGTAGATGGCCACATGATGTTTCTTCCAGGGACTACAACTACGTATGCAGCAACAAGAGCATGTGGGTGGCCCCAGGTAACTGGTCACGAAACCCTTTTTTTTTTTTTTCTTTTTTAGGCTTTGGGCTGGGGGGAAGATGTTAAGGTCCCTGTGAACTTGCTCACGTCATGTATGCTTCGTGAACTTCGGGGTTTGGGTGGGGTGGGGGGGGTGTTAAGGTCCCTGTGAACTTGCTCACGTCATGTATGCTTCGTGAACTTCGGGGTTTGGGTGGGGTTGGGGGGATGTTAACGTTCCTGTGAAATTGCTCACGTCATGTATGCTTCGTGAACTTTGGGTTTGCCTGGCTTATACAAATATATATATATATATGCAAAAAAAAATACACAATTAAAATCACATTTAGATACATATAAATATATGTATAAACATGTGCATACATATACATTTATTTTCACTATTGTATACATACAAATGTACATATCATACATATCTGATTGTTTATATTTATACTAATTACTAATAAATATATGTCTGACTTACGTACACTCATGCACACACACACACATATATATATCACATGTATATATATATACATATTTACTCATGTTTAGACAACTTAAATTAACTTGTCGGGGAATGTTCCATTGCACTTTCTCAAACAATTGGCCAAAGCTTGCAACACTCGCTGATAATGGCGCAAAACAAGGCGCAAAGAACAAAAGGCGCCAGAAAACACCAGTTGCCCAAGGGCGGCGCGACCTGTTAGTTTACCAGAGGGTAGCCTTTTTGGGTGAGTCAAACCCTGACCTGGTTATTGGGGACTGAACTAAGCCATGGGGTTTCTGAATGGATTCTCCCCGAGCCAGGGTGTCAATAGATTTCAATGGTCTACAATAACTGGTTGGTGGTTTTTTTTTCAAAAATATATATGGGATAATCCTTCCCAACTGACTTTCATATTTTTCAGAGGGGTTGATAGGAAACCTGCATATGGGCGAATAAATATCACCATGATCGTTAGAGATCCCAGCTCTTGGGTTGCTTATCCCATATTACTTGACTTGTTTTTGAAATAACCCATTGCCATGGTCAAGTATACCACTAAATATTATAATATGTTCCATGGCTTGCTGGAAACCAACCGGTTGGAAACCGTGCTACATCGCGCTCTCCATCGCCCAGGCTGGCGAACAAGACCCAGGCGCAGCGGGCCATTGCGAAATACAACAACCGCGTGCCGCGGCTACTGGAGAAGTCACTTGGCGCTGTGCGAAGGAGGGATGGCCTACGTTAGGTTGTATCCCCTACAACCGGTTATCAAAGACTAATAATGATTGATGATGATAATGATGATGAGTATAGCTAGGTGGGGTTATAAACCAGCAAACATAACTAGGGGGCCCCACATTGCAGATAAGTCAACGAAAACGAAACCAGAGCAAACTGGTGAGTGAAGCAACAACTAATTGGGATATTCATTGGATTTATAGCTGATTCATGATAGCCAAATTGGTGTGTACAGCTAATGGAGTTCATAAACCAACAAACATAATTCAGGGGGACACCGCGATTTAGGGGAAAACAACTGGATGGATCATCAGCTGCAAGCTTTTGGGGTGCATAGTCGCATGCAGATTCATTTTTTTGCTTTAATGTGGGTAAAAACTATGCTAAAGACCATGACCCAAATCACCATTTTTATAGGTGGTATGTTTACCATTCCCAGTCATGGCTGGTTTATGACATTGTTTTGCCCTCATTACTGTAATTGGGACAACTTAGGCTAACCAGTTTAAACATGTTTTTTGCACGGTAACTCAGACGGCCGTTTTGATAAGAGGTTTTCTGTGCAAAATGGTGGGTCTTACAATGCTTAGAACAACATCAAAGGTGTTTTGAGTTGAGTCAGATTTTTCAAGAAAATGAATAAGTTCACCAACAAATATTACCATGTTCTTGGAGGAAAAGATCTAACAACAGCATGTTGTGTTTGACATGCAGGGAGATATCCAACCAAAATAGAGACTGGGATCTACATTGAGATCACCAACTAGAGAAAATACCAACCAAAACTAATTATCCACAATCGCAAAACGGGCAGAAACCTGAATTTAAAAATGTACCAGCAAAAAAAATAGATTCCAACCAAAGGGGCTGTAAATTTGACTATTAAATACGTTAAATAACAAACCGAAACAATGGGTATATAACTTGGTTCGCTTACTCATCAGTGAACCAACTGAATGGCCTGTCTAAATAGGATTTATAATCCCATAATATCCCAGTATACCATGATGTGTGTTGCTTAAGTCCCCCATTTTTATCATTATATTTATTTCTCATATCTAGTACATATATTTTTAACATATTAATCTATTTGGATGTTTGTTGTTTTTCACTTACATGTATGACGTTTTTTGGGACTTCATACTATGATAAAAAGGGTATAAAATTCATATATATATATATTCCCATGATGTTCCATTGTTCAGCTGCATTTTTTCCATTCATTCCTGCGCCTTGGCCCGCGTGTCCTGTCCGACCAGGAAGGCGGAGGAGGTTGATGCGAAACGCCTCAGCGCAGAGATTACGAAGGCCTGCAGTTCTTTCGCAAAGCGTTCAGAGTCTGTGATGGATGGTTTTTCGGCGTCAAAAACACGGTGAAGAATGGTTCATGGGAATGCTCATGGCAAAATCCCATAGACATGATTATAGAGCTTTATGGCCACAAGGTGGTGCCCGTGATGTTTGTCGGTTAATAAACCTGATGAAGTACTTCGATCTACCACAAAGCCAATCGAATTCACCTAGTGAACTAAACACACTTAGCCTGGTTGGTGGTTTGGATGTTTTTTCCATATAATGGGAATAATCATCCCAACTGACTAATATCTTTCAAAGGGGTTGAAATCAACAACCAGTAGCGATCGTAAAAGGGGGGCACCACCAGAAGTACTGAAAAAATCATCGGATGATGGTTTTAACCATCAAAAATGATTATTTTTCAGCGAGAGAAATGGTGCTATAATGATGATGTAATGGGGATATCGGATCAAAACGTATGTATTTCTATAAGTTTCCATTGTTTTGAAATGGTGTGATAGGATTATTGGGATTTAATGAGATTTGCTGGGTTTGCAGCAAGAACAGAGCGTTTAGTGGGATACCGTGGGATATACTGCATGGTTTTTTTTGTTCGTTAAGAATTGGGGGGGTGATACATTGTTTGTTTTGGATGTGTTGTTTCGTTGAAAATTGAGACAGGTACCCCATCGAAATAGGCTATTTATGATGGTTTAAGAAGCAGATAGGGATTCAATCACTAGAAGGGGCAATCCTGGGGTTTGCGACAGGATCCCTTTGGGGATAGCCTCCGGTAAATCAGTGGGGCCCTCGTGTTCGATAGCTAAGTTGGTTTATTTGCCGAGCGGTTAAGTAATATCGAACTAGTATTCATGGGGGGAACTGTTGCACCAACTTAGAGATTCCGAACTGGGGGCCCCACATTGTATGATCTGGGCCTTGGTCAAGTCTGTGGATTTGTTCTGATGTCTGGAAGCGAGCCATCAAACCTGGGAATACAGGATGGCCCCCCCCAGTTATGTTTCTTGGTTTATAAACCCCATTGACATCCATTAACCAGTGTGCGCCGCGCTCGAAGGACAAAAAAGCAAACCTTGTGCGGACTGTCCGAGCGATCAGCAGACCACACACACCAGATGGAGATCGCAGAGCCTTATACACAAATGGGTTTGCAACGGTGGCATCGCTGATGGCCGAGGAAGGAGTCACGAGGACCCTGATCACATGCTGCAGACAGTAGGGGCAGGAACACCATCTGATGATCGCAAGCACCCCATGCTCTTCGGAGCAGGTCCAAGGAGTTGTTGACTGTGCCCCAACAATGACAACCATCGTACGTCAAATGCCAAGTATCAAATGATGGTTCATGATAACTATTAATGATTTTGATTATGAAGTTGATTTTTACTATTATTGAAATCAATCATGTTTTATGCATGTCGCGGTAATATATGTGCAGATGTATCTCGGTCAATACCCATGGTCTAAAACATTGCCACAGATGGCAATGGTCATACCCGAAGTCTTAAGAGTAAAATACCCATTCTAAGGAATCCAGTTTATGATGGATGGCCATACCCTATTCATCCATATTTATGCCATTATCTTTTTGTATTCCATGATATTCCCATTATTTTCCATTGAATCACCATTTGGATATGTGGGTTGGTTAATTCCATGACATACGCTACTAAAATGCCATGCAATTTGTCGCCCATAAAGCATAGATGTCCTCTTTCCATTGGTTGGTTGATTCATAGAGGGGTTTGAAACCACCCCCTTAACAGCAGGTAAATGATGATAGATATATATATAGATGGCATACTAGATTATACTAGGTATAACAGCCCCTGGCCCCACTATTTTTACCAAAAGGATAGTATTTGCAATCTATCAATCTTTAGGGTTTGGTATAAATACCCATTTGAATAGATTTTATGAACATGGGATACCTAGTATTTTACCAAAAGGATACCAATAGATTATCCCATGTCCATAAAATCTATTCAATTCTCAGGTTTGGTGCCCCATCTCCGAAGGATCTCCCCTATTTTTCATGGTTAAATCCCAATGTTTGAACCCACATGTTTTGTCATGGTTCATCAGATAAAAGGCACTAGAATCCCAATAAATCCCATATAAACTCCAATATAATGCCACAGAGTCCAACAAAAATCCATAAATTGCCACAAAATGCTTCTCTGGTTGATGCTTATCCAGACGTTGACCCCTCCGCTGATCAGGGTATGCTTCGAGCCACTGTGGATCAACTGGCGAGAGGCGGGATCCGGTTAATGGTGAAGATGAGTGGTTAATGGTGTTCAATAATGCTGGTTTATAATGATTGTTAATAGTAATGGTTCATATCTGGTTGGTGGTTTGGAACATGAATTTTACTTTTCCATATATTGGGAATGTCATCATCCCAACTGAATCATATTTTTCAGAGGGGTTGAAACCACCAACCAGTCATTGTATCCGCACTATTCTCACATGTTTCTCGGCTCCAATAGATATCCCATATCCCCAGTAAAAATCGCCAATGCGTCCTCCATTTTTTGGCAAATCGGTGTGCTCATTAGAGCCCATGATGTTTATTGCTTTTAGCAGTGATGTTTTTTAAACCCATGATATTTGTTTACCCCATCATGGTTAGTCAGTAATCGTCGATGTTTTTTCTCGAATTACGACTTGTGGTGATTATCTGGTTGGTGGTTTGGAACATTTGTGATTTTTCCATATATTGGGAACAATAATCCCAACTGACGAACTCATATTTTTCAGAGGGGTTGAAACCACCAATTAGATATTACCCCATGGTTACTGGTAAAACTCTCTATTTCGGATGAGTACTATCCCCATTGTATCCATAATGCCCAAGGTGGTGCCCTCCCCAGTGATGTGAATGTTGTGAACTTCTAAACCAACTCAGCTAACAAACTGGGGCAGCACCTTGTATTGATGGTTACTGAGACATACTAAAACTATCTAAAACTGTCTGGTTGGTGGTTTCAAACATGTTTTTTCCACAATATATGGGATAATCCTTCCCATTGACGTTCATATTTTTCAAGATTGTTTTTTGCACCACCAACCAGCTGTGCTTTGTAGTGGCACTTTTGATACTTGACGGGTTGTGTGCGCGTTTGTAGTGGCACTTTCTTCATGGTTTATTTTGCACCTGTGTTGGGATGATGGAGGAAATTTTCCAATACTCTACGGTGCAACCCATGAGACCATCATGACATGGTTCCCGGCCGAAGTGGTTCCCCAGAGCCCCATTCTATCATAGGTTTCTGGCTCCAAAAGATTTAGAGCAGGAACAATGAAATGACATCTTGTAAAGCATAGCGCTACCCAAGATTTTCCGTGAATGAACCATGCTTCTTTGTAAATCCATTCACGAGGCTACCATGCTACTATGTGTGTTTTTTAGTTTGGTTCCTACCAACAAGCTTGTGGAAAGATGGGTAAAAAATAGTGGGGATACCATGATGTAACCTATACTAGGTCGTCGGTTTCAGACACAAAAAAGACCCTTTATATTTCTTGGGGTGATGAGCATGCAAACAATCAGCTCGAAGTTGATCTGAAACCTCGCTACCCTGTGGTAATCTTGTGGAAAACCATAATTTTAAGTAGCTAGATTCCAAGAATCATCTGGAAAGACGTCATTTTCCAAAGCCCTGATTGATTACCAAAGGCTAGTGATGCGGAATGTGGTCGTATGAGTTGACCAGCGGTGCTATCTACGCGGAGGCATCACGGTCATCGTCGATCTGCGAAAACCGCTGGGCTGCGTGCAACTTGGCGCTGGGTGTGGTTGAAAATGAGGTATACCTCAAGGTAAACTGTTGCATAGCTATTGAACATGGCCCATGTATGATGGTGATTTACCAAAGATGGTGATTCTCCATCGTTTTTGTATGTTTACCACAAATATACCCCAAAAAATCATCCTTTTAAATTGGAAAATGATCATAAACCACTGGATTTTGAGGTACCTTCTCAGACAAATCCATATATTTGGGAATCTAAGCAACAATCCTTGTGATCTGCCAGTAAATGCTGAGAAAACTGACTGGCGAATGTTGGCATACTGGATTTCCCTACCGAACAAAACAATCCTACAGTTATGGCCCTTTACCAGTTATAAGTACTTATAACCCCATTTATAGAGTGTATAACCCCATAGAAATAACCAATTATAACTCATAAACGGCCATAACTGTATGGATCCAAGTACCTTCGTAGGAAGTACACTGGGGTATGATTTAGGGGGTCAAGTACCCTCTCAGACAGTATTTGGATCCATAGGGAATTTATTTTTGCAACAAATCGCAGGTCAACCATTGGATTAGACAGTACTGGTCGGTTTCACTGCGCGTGTTTTTGTTGTGTTGGCCATAGGCCATTGTGTTTTGACCCACCCACAGTCACTTATCTATGGGCTAAGCGTGTGGTTTAAATGTTGGCTATGGTTGTGATGCAGCAAGAAACTGCTTTCTGATCGATTGCCCTCCAGTTTGCATCAAATGTTCGAAAAGAAAAAAACGATCCATTACCATTCTTTGTTAGTAGACACTCGCTGATGACGTTGTCATTGGTGACACAATTCCATATGCCAACCGTTGACCTTTGTGAGTTTAGGATGGAAGTGGTCGACATCGATTTCATGGGGGCCCCAATGAACTTGTGGGTTTTCAAGGGGCAAACGCCCTGCTGGTTTCATAGTTTTCACAAGCCACCGCTACTTTGCTTTCTGACCGTGGTAACAACTTATGGAGCTTTCCATAAATGTGGGCACACCTAAATCACCCATTTTAGATTGAGATTTTCCGCTAAAAACCAGCGATAAAGGGGCCCCATGACTGACTTGAAACCTCCATATGAGCCATAAACCATTCCGACCCACCCTTTGAAGATCACCATCCCACACAGTGGTGAATCCTTGGGGGGTTCCATAGTCATGGGGGATCCCCTGGCTATCGCTGGTGGGTCTATTTCATGGAAAATCCCAATCTAGAATGGATGATGACTAGGGGTAGCCCTATGACTTGTTGGAAACCTCCATTTCTTATTTGGGGATGGTCATCCAACCATTGATTTGATCCATTATCCCATGATTATCCATGATTCCCCCAGATTTTGCCATTTTCTTACTGAGTTCACTGCAATCGAGCTCGGTTCTGAGGTTCAATGACCACCTGGTGACCAAGTCCGTGGCAGAGGTTGGGGCCGGGACAGGAGATGGTCTGCAGGGATGTTTGTAGGGATAGGAAATAAACTGACCATTTCTGGATACCCTCCAGTAATCAAACGTGGCAAGCTGGAACATCCACCATTTATAAAGGATTATAAAACTGGTTGGTGGTTTGGAACCATGGAATTTTTATGACTTCCCATGCAGTTGGGAATGTCATGATCCCAACTGACTAACTCAGATTTTTCAGAGGGGTAGGTTGAAACCACCAACCAGAAAAGGATGTTCCATTGCCACGTATTGATGGTTGGTGGTTTGAAGCACGTTTTCCTACCCTGTTTGACATATGTGGGATGAGGATTCGCTGGACAGATCATGTGGTATCAAACCAATGTTTGAACCAACAATACGGAGGTGTCCTAAAATAGGGGTACCCCCAAATCATCCATTTTAATCGGATTTTCCATGAAATAAACCATCTAGCTATTGGGGTATCCCCGCAACAAGTAGTACTTGGATGTGCGCCTCGGAAATTGTAAGGCAGATATTCTGCAAGGTCGTGCTTATAAGTTTATGAAGCCCCACAAACCCGAAATATTGGAGTTATAGCCAAACTTCGCTATCTAGGGGGCATCACCTTGCAGATGATTTGGTGTTCATCAGGGTCCCTTGCGATCAATGTTTAAAAACTCTGTTACGACTGGGGAAGCTCTACCACGTTTCTATAGGTTTCTTATCAAGCGGCTAATTGGGATGTGCATCAAAGTAGGGATTAAAATGTCGTTGGTGCTTAATCTTTTTTTGCAAAAATATGGAGGATGTAATGGACAATGGAGAACAATGGGGAATTATGTTACCATTTCACGTCGGTAACAAATGCACAATGGATGATATACAAGCAACCATGGATGGCGTATAATGGAGCAAGCATGGCTACAACACATCTGCCTAGGGATTGGGCTATCCCAATCAGGAAAAACTTGCTCTGTGCATAGCTTCCAGTTGCTAAGCAGGATGCTTTTCAAAGCATGTGTAGCGTCTCATCCAACAAACAGTTGGTTCAATATCCATAATGATTCGTGAAGTAGCCTTAACTTTCCCAGTCTTTCAAAATGTATGGACATAGATTATTGACATTTCACAAAACCCAAAGGCATCTCCTCGATTCTCATGGCCGATGTGGTGGATGACCAACAGACCATCATCGACCCACGTGTCAGAGGGCTCCTCACGTAGTGATTTTATTGCCAGAGGGTAGTATGCCAAAATCCTCCCAGATTTACACTTGTATCCTCACTTGATGCAGTAGCGATGACCTTCTCATTTTTGCTGGGTATCTCACACATTTTGCTGGATACACCCACCAGTTTGGGTGGGTCAAAGTTCTTAACCCTACCATTTTTCCATATTTTTCCGCTGAAAATCCCACGGTTTGGCTTAAAACTGCCAGGATGGACAAGGCTTCGAGCTGGGGATTCGGGTCTCCTGGCGCGTGCGCTCCATTGGTGGCATCAAACTGCAGAACACCAACGAGTTGAAGGCGCGGTGGGAAACCCTGGCGGTTACCCTCTGGCTTGCGTTATTCTGTAGCTTGCAATGCTCAACCCACTCAGCGCACAGACCAGCACACCAGGAAGAACATTAAACGAAATGAGCAGTGCGGAGCAAGCTGATCTTGGGGGCGATACGCTGCCTGGATATGGTAAAGAGGAGACAGTCGTGGGTTCCCTCGACGGGCCAGAACAGCACGCCTCCCCTCAGCGCGCAATGATGTACGAAATAGCCGCACTTGGAACAGAGGTAGTAGACGCTGATGACGCTATGGCAAACGAAACAGCGGAACTGGGGCCCGTGGTACCTACAGGCCAACTTACGCCACGGAGTGGGGGCCTCCTCACTGGGAACGCCCTACAGAGCGCCCTCATGGGCCTACCTGGCGTGAAAAACACTTCTTGGCTTGATGTACCTCGCAAGACGAGCATTCTTGCTGCAGGAGGGGGCGAGGCAAGTGCTGTCACAATGTGGATCAGAGGCTCATGCCCTGCTGAAAAGGATCGCCTCAACACAGAGGTGCGCGCCCGCAGCATCCTGCACAACACCTTGTACCATGCCTGTAGAGCAGCAGACATCCTCCCTATTCTTTGTATGGGGAGAGTCTTGCCCCACAGAAGCGAGGGTAAGAGGAGAATCACTTGGTGTTCATGGGGATTTCATTGGGATTTCACCCTGGATTTTTCCGCAAGTGGAGGGCATCTTGACTTCATTTTCAGGTTTCCTAAGTCATGGGGGTACCCAATAGCTGGATGGTTTAGTTCATGGATCCGAAACGCTCTGGGGCCATTCTGAAATAAAATGGATGAGAACAGGGGGTACCCCCATTTCAAGAACTCCAGGAAAATACTCGAACTAAGTGGAGGTTATAGTGGGAAAGTCATCTTTAAAGGGGATGATGAGATAAACGAGATTCGATTAACATCAACGAGTTGAACGCGCGGATGCGAAATACTGGCTGTAGGAGAATCGCTGGGTGTACTTGGGATTTCACTAGCCCAAAAAACTGAAAAACTGATTTATTATAAAAAATGATGTTTATAAAACAAGCTGAAGGCGATCTAGAAACCCCTGGGTGTACCTGGGGATTTCATTGAATGCCAGGCTTAGTATTGGGATTCGAAGGAGGCTTAACTAACTCAAATTGGGATTTAATGCGGAATAAATGGCGATTTTGACTTGGAAATGTGCTTCGCGCCACAACTGCGTGCACTTTTTCAACATCTCAACTTCCAAAAGCGTTCCGAGACTGGCGTGCTTTGTACATTTTGACTTCGACATGCAAAGGCTTCCTAGGTCATGATTTTTTAGAGAGCATTTTGAGGGGCAATAGACAAGCTCTTTGAATTTTTGCGATTTGCTAAAACTGCTGTTGTGCGCCGGCCATCGTTTGTATCGCAGATGAGCCAAACAAGTTTCAACATTGACACATTTCAATTGATTTTTCAACAAGGATATTCTTCAGGGACGCCGGACTATTGCACATTTATGAGCGTTTGAAAACAGAGCGTTTGAAAATCATATGGTGTTATCCCTCTTGGAATTTTCCCTGGCTAAAACATAAGTCAACCGGGGTTATCAGTTACCCCTTGAGTCTTTAGAGATTTAATTTGGAACCCTAAGTTGAGTTTGTCAATGTTTAAAGTTGTGGCCAAAACATGGCTCAATAAACGCAACCAAACTGACACTAGATATGATAAAAGCAGCAAATTGCATATATTGATTTATACAAATAAATATGTTTATCGTTTTGCAGGGCATAGCCCTAAAGAATCAGACACCAGCTCGAACCCAGTCCAGTTCTCATATCCAGACGTCCCCGGAAATCCCCAAGATCCCCAGGCATAAAACCAATTGTCTCTAGAAGATCCATCGAAACCCACTGTGTCCGGAGGTATGACCTTTTTTTTTAATGGCACCCTCCCAAAAAAATACCCAAAACTGTGAAAAACTGCCAGGTTTTGCAGGGTCGACATGCCCTGAGCCTCTAAAGAATCAAAACACCAGCTCTGAAAAAAACAGTGTTTTGGCAGGACCTGATTCTTTAAGGACACCCTTCCCTGTGTCGGGAGGCAGGACCTGATTCTTTAGTGGCACCCTCCCCAAAATATCCCAAGTTGTAGGGTCGACAGGCCTGAGCCTTTAAAGAATCAAAACACCAGCTCGAACCCAGTCCAGGTCTCATATCCAGACGTCCCCAGGAAATCCCCAAGATCCCCAGGCATAACACCAATTGTCTCTAGAAGATCCATCGAAACCCACTGTGTCCGGAGGTATGACCTTATTTTTTAATGGCGCCCTCCCAAAAAATATCCCAAACTGTGAAAAACTGCCAGGTTTTGCAGGGTCGACACGCCCTGAGCCTCTAAAGAATCAAAACACCAGCTCAGAAAAAAACAGTGTCTTGGCAGGACCTGTTTCTTTAAGGACTGCCAAGGACCTGGTTCTTTAAGGACACCCTTCCCTGTGTCGGGAGGCAGGACCTGATTCTTTAGTGGCACCCTCCCCAAAATATCCCAAGTTGTAGGGTCGACAGGCCTGAGCCTCTAAAGAATCAAAACACCAGCTCGAACCCAGTCCAGGTCTCATATCCAGATGCCCCCAGGAAATCCCCAAGATCCCCAGGCATAACACCAGTTGTCTTTAGAAGATCCATCAAAACTCATCGTGTCCGGAGGCAGGACTTCATTCTTTGATGGCACCCTCCACCAAAGAACCGGACACCCGGGTCAAAGACTGAATACAAAGGGGGATATGTTGTTTACAATCAATTTTGATCAAATCAGAAAAATGAAACAAGAGGCAGCCAAAGACAACGCTTTGGCAGAAGCTTCTGCCATGACAAAAACAGAAGCCGCTAATCTGGCATGGGCAAAAGAAGGGCAAATTTCATCTCCGGTGTGCAAAGGAATCATTTTGGGTACGTTTGGTGTTTTTTAATGTTTGTTGATGTCCACATGGCTAACATGGACGCCCTATTTTTTAGAGGTTTACTTTTGTATTTTTCGTGTATTTGTTGTATTTGTTGTAGTTGGTTGCCTGGGCCATGATTTTTTAGATGGTCTTAGACCCCCTTGCATCCCAGGTAGCATTCTTTAGATGTGCCATTTCAGTAGTGCAAGGTGGACCTCCGTTTTTTGTTTAAAGAATGCTGGAGTCCATGTGAGCAGGATAATTGTAAAATGCCAGAATTTATGTTAAAACACCTTCCAGAGTTGAAGAATGTTAAAGATGTGCTTTCAAAATTCACCTAAAGATGCCTAATAAATTCTAATAATCCTAGTATGGACACAAATAAATAAGTCTATATGTTCTCATATGATTGCATGCGCATCTTATTGATGATGCTTGACTGCGCCGTCGTCCATTCGACTGCAACTTGGGTATCCAATCCTTTAAAGGGGCACCCCTTCGTGTGCAACTTGGGTCTCCAATCCTTTAATGGGACATGTGTGGCTACTGTGTGCAATCTTGGTTCATTGGCGTTAGATTCTTTAAGGCTTTTATTTGCTCTCGTTCGCATTCTTTAAGAGGCTACCAGTGGTCCCTTAAAGATTCAGGGGTCAGGGTGAGGACCCGAATTCCAAGGGGGATATCGTAACTTCCAAAAGTGCTCCAAACATGGTGTGCTTTGTACATTTTGACTTTGAAATGTGTTTCGCGCCACAACGGCGTGCACTTTTTCGACATCTCAACTTCCAAAAGTGGTCCGAACGTGGTGTGTTTTGTACATTTTGACTTGGAAACGTGCTTCGCGCCACAACGGTGTGCAATTTTTCATTTCTCATCTGGCCAGATGGCTCCGCACCCGCCGCTTTAGCGAGCCTACTTTTCAACCCTTTGGAGCCACAAATCATTGGAAAAACACAGTGAATCGCAACTTTTCTACCTCTTCGCGCGCCTGGATCTTCTTTCTTCCGAGACTTTCTCTTCTCTGATCTTCTTTCTTCTTCTCTTCTCTTCTCTGACTCTTCCCACCTCTGGTTTTTCATCTGTCCATATTGTCGGAAGTTTGACTTCTAAACTTCCCTCGAATATGTCCAATTACTTCAATAGTTAATAATTTTGCTATGGCAACATTTACTAACCCAAAAAATAATGACCACATCGCTTTCTGAGATGAAAACCGAGAATTATCCATTGTTGGTGAAATCCCAATAAAATCACATCCCATTATTATCCAATCTTTTTTAGATGACTTTACCATGAAAACTTCCATTTCTATGTATTTCTGTAATCCCCATAGTACACCATTAAATTACCGGGTGCAAAAAAACTGCGGGTGCGGAACACTTTTGGACGTTCAGATGTCGTTTTGCGTGGCAGGCGCAAGGGATTGTGCACCTTGTCAAAAGTGAGCAAAACGTGAGGATTTTGTAGCATTTCCAAAAACGATGGCAGGCGTGGGACATTTGAAGAGGATCTTCAAAGATGCATTTCGCGTGGCAGGAGCAGTACAAAAGACATGTTCATCAGAGATGTTAGGAAGTCAGCGCGCTGATTTCCTGAGAGGGGTTGCATTTTGGAGCATCAGATCTTCAGGTTTGTGAAGATGATTTTGCGTGACAGGCACAGCACTTTCTATGACTTGGCATCACTTTTTCGTTGCAGGCGCAGTACTTTAGACAGATGGAGTGGAAAAATCGCATAGCGCATTGGCACGAAGCCGTCAGCTCTGCATTCAACTCTCCGTTCTTGAAGGAAGTCCAAAAATTGAGGAAGTCTCGCAGAATTGCTGCATGTTTGACGTCAGCAGCTTGGAAAAATTGAGGAAGTCTCGCACAATTGCTTCGTTTTCAAGCTTGCAGATAGACAGAAAATTAGGTAGATAGACAACTACAACTACCACTACCACTACACTACATACACTACTACTACAACTCCAAATGCAACATGCTACACTACATTACACTACACTACACCAATAGAATCCGATTACACCACACTACACTACACTAATTACACTAATTGCACTAATTGCACCCAACAACAACAACAACAACAACCACCAACAACAACAACAACAACAAACAACAAACAACAACAAACAACAAACAACAAACAACAAACAACAAACAACAAACACAACAACAAACAACAAACAACAAACAACCAACAACCAACAACCAACAAACAACAAACAACAAACAACAAACAACCACCACCAACAACAACATCAACAACAACAACCAACAACCAACAACCAACAACCAACAACCAACAACCAACAACCACAACAACAACAACAATCACAGCAATCACAACAATCACAACAACAACAACAATAGCAAAAATATGAACAACAACAACTACTACTACTACTACTACTACTACTACCACCACCACCACCACCATAGCTACAACTACAATTGCACAACTACCACTACCACAGCTACAACTACACTAATTACACTGCAGCACGCTGCATCTACAACTACAACTACAGCTACAACAACAACAACTACTACTACTACTTCTACTACTACTACTACTACTACAACTACTACAACTACAACTACCACTACATTACACTACATTACACTAGACCACACTGCACTACACTGCACTACACTACGCTAATTACACGACACTAAACTACAACTACACTACTTGACACTACACCACACAAGACTACACCACACTATGCCACATTACAGTGCACATCACTACGGTACACTACACTAGACTACACTAATTACACCATACCACAACCACAACTACAACTGCAATTGCAACTGCACCTACACTACACTAATTACATTACACTACAACTACAACTCCGTTACGCTACAACTACAACTGCACCAAACCACACTACATCCAGCAGTTGTGCTGAGGTGACCACTGCAACCACTCCAAAAAACACAACTCCAACCACCTTTCTGTCCATCAGTGGATTCGCTCTGCCATCCGTGATTCACGACAACCAACCTCTCCTATAGGTTTCGTGTTTTTTGAAACTTCCGCCACCGCCTTGTGCGGTACTACTGGCAAGTAATTATCAGACCCCAATTGCAAACCAAATTGGCCCATCTCAGCAGATGTTAATCCTCATGTTTCATGGTTAACCGCTAGTTTTCAGGGTTTAAACCACAATTTTAATGGTTGACTACCCCATTACATCCCAGTTATCTCCCCATCAGGGGTTAAGCCTCCATTTCTCCATGAAAACATTTACAACCCCATTCTCGCAGCATGAATTTCATGGTTAAGTCACCACATTCCCACATTTCCCATCATTAAATCCTCATTTTTGATAGTGAACTCTTAATTTCTCTCAATTTTTCCATGGTCAATTCCCAGTTTCCCCGGATCTTTGCCAGTTTTTCCCATATCTTCCCCCACCGGTTTTCCCCTGCCCTTTAAGCGGCCCCGGCACCAGGAGCGCATGGCGAAGCTGAAGAGCGAGGCCCAAGTTATGTTGGGAAATAAATATATATATATTTATATATATATATATTTATTTATATAAATATACATATTGATGTATACATGGAACTCTCAATTGTGGAATATATTGTATGGTATACAACTTCCAGGAGGAAATATATTGGGTTTAACTACGTGCCAATAGTATATACATATATATATATATGTATATAGTAGATTGAAAATATGATATAGTTATATCTATCTATGTATATATATATATGTGTATATACGTAGCGTCGTCAATATAGAACACAATGGATGATATATGAATTGATAACTGTAAAAAATTGTAAGCATTCATAATTAAACATGTCAAACTGACTGACCCCTGATTACAAGCATCTCCTCTCCTCATGTAGCAAAATCATATTGGTGATTCCATGCTGTTGATGATTAACCATCGATTTTGCCTGGCAAAACCTTCATGTTTCATGGTTAAATCCTCCTTATACCCCTATCATTGTTGGTTTTACCTACAGATTCCATGTATATACCCACTATTATAGGAATCTGTTCCCGGCTATTTCCACAATTCAAAGGTTTTATCCGATATGACATCTCCCCAGTAAACATCCCAATTATATCCTCCTTTTTTGGCAAATATTCTTTGTTTTTCTCAATTGCTACTTTTGATGGTTATTGCCCCACTCATGTTTCTATTGGTGGTACAAATTCTTTTCTGGATGAAATATCATGGTGGTACAGAATGATCTACATCTATTCTGGATGATATATATCTATTTGGGGATATTCTATTTGATGGTTATTGCCCCACTATTCTATATCGCAATTGTATGCATGATTCTTGCTCCATGTCCACAACACAAAGCGTTTGCAGGGTCTCAAGGAGGCAGCCATCGTTTTTTCACCACCGCCCATCGTGGCATCCTTCGCAAAGAGGTGCGTTCGCAGTGCAACCCTGGGAGGCAACCAAAAAAAATATAGGTCAATCTTAGATGGATAGTTTGATCCTTTAGTCTTTTGGTATCAATGTTCGAAGGGACGCAATTGGCAGAGGGAAAGGACAACCCTCTCGTCACACCTGTGCTGATTGGGTGGCTCAAGACGAACGTCCCAAGGGAAGCTATGTCAGATGTGGCACCTTCGGCAAAGGCGATGGTGGAATTGGCCCAGCAGGACAGTTCACTTTTGACGCCAGAAGAGTGGAAGGAGTCTAAGGACCTCCCCAGACTCCCCAGGTTCGTGGCAATGCCAAGCATCTCGGCCCGAGCCTTCACGTGGCTTTGCTTGCTACGGGCAGGCATCGCCAAACAGATCGGGCCATGGATTGTCATAATACTAAGTTTTAAACCCTAATATAAAAAAACAAAATTTTCTATTTCAAAATCAATTAGATTTCCTTTTACGATCTAATTAAAGCATCGCCAAAAATTGGATTTCGAAGCTTTCCCCTAATAGTAAATTTAAAACCCTAATATAAAAAACTGTTTTGTTCTATTTCAAAATCGAATAGATTTCCTTTTAAAATCCAATTAAAATATTGCCAAAAATTGGATTTCGAAGCTTTCCCCTAAAATTAAATGAAAAACCTTATAGTTAGTATCAAATACATTTATTTTTCGACCTTAAAAGACGGACCTTAATAAAAAAACACCGGGGCTGACTAGTTTTTGTTTTATTAGGGGGTGAAACCCACAAATGGTAGCTTCATTTCTAAATTGTTTTAAAGGGGATCCATTAAAGTCAAATTGGCCAACCTCAAATTTTCCAAACTTGGAGACGGACCTTAGTTTTTATTTTTCTGGGGGTTTAGTAAGAGGGGGAAGGGATTTATTGCCAAAAATTGGATTTCGAAGCTTTCCCCGAATACTACATCGATTCTCTACTGACGAGCCAAGAATTTAATTTGTTGCAGGATATCTAAGGTTGGCCATGAAATCGGGCATGTAGTGAGGATATATGAGGATATGATAAAAACTGCTGATAGTTTATGGCAATATTCATGGAATATAATGGGTGCTGCATAAATGTCCATCCAAACTTGCATGTAATGGGATATAACGGATAGAATGGGTATTGATGGGAGTGGGGATATGATGGGACAATATACGGTTCAATTTTGTGCTTTCTTGTTAAAATTTTTGGATGGCCCATCAACACTGGGGTCTTGACCACCAGACATTGGGATTGATTCAGGACAATTTAAGAAAAATGGTGGTATATATAGTTGGACAGAATGGGGATATCATGGCGGATATAGTCGGGACATTAATGAGATATTACAGCAGATATTTGGGTGTCTTTTAAATTTGTGTTTTACCATTAAAAGAAATAGGGCTTGTACCATCAAGAACAGTGAGTTAGCGAATGAATGATGAAGATGAATGTGTCTGAAAAGGGTGTGCCGACGGGATAAATCCATGATATGGGTAGAATACTGGAATCTTGACGGGATACTATCAAAATATTGTCGAACAAGATTACACAAGGGTCTGAAACGGCCTTGGCCGCATCTAAGTGGAAAACATACAATGAGAAAGTACAGCAACAGCCTGGGCCGCTTCTAAGTGGAAGTCAAGAGCCCGCAAGGAAAGGCAAATGCGGCAAGACACTGAAGACTATTTTCCTAGGTCAATCTTTAGATGGGTAGTTTAATCCAGTACTCTTTTGGTATAAATGGGATTAATGATCTACTTTAACCAGCTAAGTTTTTTCATGTTTTGCAGGGTATCTAAGATTGGCCATGGATTTTCTTGGCGAACTAGGTCGCTTGAAAATACTGCACGGAGCCGACCTGCAGGACAGAATCGTCCCATTGGTTCCTTCTTGTCCATGAGTTTTGCTGATAGCATCGCATTGCCGAAGGCAAATACTGGGCCATTGGGAAGTTTGCGCTATCTTCTTTGGCGTGTGTAAAACGTTTTGCCCAACAGGGGGCTGAGAATGAGGAAACTTTGAAAGCCGTCACTCAGGAATTGTCCAAATACGCCAGTGGAAAAGGAAGCAGTGCCGTGAAGAAAGCTTTGGCAGAAGTCCAATCCATGAGCAAGCCTCGGATCAAGCCGCAGCAAGGAGACGCAGTGCATGCTCTGGGCATATAATGGATATTCGGGGTATAGCACCAGCCAACCATTTGATAGGGATACCAGTAGTACCGCACAAGGCGGTTGCGGAAGTTTCAAAAATAGGAAACTTATAGGAGAGATTGGTTGTTGTGAGTCACGGATGGCAGAGCGAATCTACTGATGGACCGACAGGTGGTTGGAGTTGTGTTTTTTGGAGTGGTTGCAATGGTTGCAGTGGTCACCTTACCACAACTGCTGGATGTAGTGTGGTGTAGCGCAGTTGTAGTTGTAGTTGCAGTTGTAGCTATAGTTGTAGCGTACTAGGTACTAGGGTTAAGTCCTTGCATCGTGTGTTAAGTCGTAGCGGATGAGCGTCTGCCTTGCGGAAAGGCATATTGGGGAGCATCATAGTATAACATATTGGATAAGTTATGTATATTGTTTCTATGCTTAGATGTGTGTCTGCCATGCGTCGCTTTTTTTCCTCGCAACATATATGTTTGTGAGGATTGGTAAGGTAAATATGATAGAATAGCATGAAATAGTATGTAAAGTGATATATTCTGGTGTATCACGTTTAAACATTTTGGGTTAGTCATGTATGTTGTCTTTGCTCTTGGATGAGTGTGTGCCATGCGGTGCTCTTTTTTTTTCGAGGTTCTTTGTCTATCAGCATTGGCCAGGATTCAAACATTTGGGTAAGGGTCTGTCCCGGGTAGTTTTTGACCTCGTTTGGTACCTCGTTCGGACCTCGTTCTGACCTCGTTCGTGACCAGCCTTCGTTTGTTTTTTTTTAGTATGTTTTGTTGATTGCTTTTGCTTGCCCTGTCCGTGACAGGAGCAGAACCGGATATATCTAAAACTGCTTGTAAACACATCCTAGCTGCGAAAACCAACTTTAATCTGACCATGGTTCCTGCGCTCGCGTTTCCATGGTGTTTGGCATCGCAATTGCCGTTCCTAGACATCTTCAAATCATGTCTGTGACATTGGGTTTTCACTTATGAACTGTACCCAACATATCCATCGTCAACACGCGTTTCCATTGTAACTTGTACACAAAACATATGTGCAAAACATGCCCTGGACATATACCTTTCACCGTCAGGCCATGCTAAACAGAACAACAAGGATCCTAAAACCCATTGCATCCCGTACGCGTTTCCATGGTGAAACCATAAAAATGCTATGACTTAAACGGAGCTGCTATGACTTAAAACGTTCGCAGCGTTTCCATGCGAAAACAAGACCCCTGCAATGACTGAAAACGAAATGCTATGACTTAACCCTTCCACTTGTAGTGCAATGTAGCGGAGCTGTAGCTGTAATCTAATGTAATTAGCGCATTTGCAAGCGCAGTTGCAGTTGTACTCGTGGTGTGGTGTAATTAGTGTAGTGTAGTGCAGCGTAATGTCGTGTTGTGTTGTGTAGTGTAGTGTGGTATAGTGTAGTGTAGTCTAGTGTAAGGTAGTGCAGTTGTAGCTGTAGTGTAGTGCTGTGTAATTAGTGTAGTGTAGTGAAGTTGTAGTTGTAGTGTAGTGCCGTGTAGTTAGTGTAGTGTAATGTAGTGTAGTGTAATGTAGTATGCGTAGTGTAGTGTGGTTTGGTGTAGCGTGGTGTAGTGTAGTGTAGTGTAGTATGTGTAGTGTAGTGTAGGGAAGTGTAGTGTAGTGTAATGTAGTCGTAGTTGTAATTGTAGTTGTAGTTGTAGTTGTATTTGCACTTGCAGCTGCCGCTGCAGTTGTAGTTGTAGCGTAATGCAATGTAATCAGTGTAGCGTAGTGTTGTGTAATGTAGTGCGGTTGCAGTTGCATTTGTAGTTGTAGTGTGCTGCAGTGTAATTAATGTAGTGTAGTTGTAAATGTAGTTGTAGCTGCGGTAGTAGTAGTAGTAGTAGCAGCAGCAGCAGTAGCAGTAGCAGCAGCAGTAGCAGTAGCAGTAGCGGTGGCAGTAGCAGTAGCAGTAGCAGTAGTAGCAGCAGCAGCAGTAGTAGTAGTAGTAGTACTAGTAGTAGTAGTAGTAGGTTTTTGTTGGTGTTGTTGTTGTTGCTGTTGTTGGTTGTTGGTTGTTGGTTGTTGGTTGTTGGTTGTTGGTTGTTGCTGTTGTTGTTGGTTGTTGGTTGTTGGTTGTTGTTTGTTGGTTGTTGGTTGTTGGTTGTTGTTGTTGTTGTTGTTGCTGTTGCTGTTGCTGTTGCTGTTGTTGTTGTTGGTTGTTGTTTGTTGTTTGTTGTTTGTTGCTTGTTGCTTGTTGGTTGTTGTTTGTTGTTTGTTTGTTGTTGGTTGTTGGTTGTTGGTTGTTTGTTTCTTGTTGTTGTTGCTGTTGTTGTTGCTGTTGTTGTGTTTGTTGTTTGCTGCTTGCTGTTTGCTGTTTGCTGTTTGTTGTTTGTTGTTTGTTGTTTGTTGTGGTTGTGGTTGTGGTTGTTGTTGTTGTTGTGGTTGTGGTTGTTGTTGTGGTTGTGGTTGTTGGTGTTGGTGTTGTTGTTGTTGCTGTTGCTGTTGCTGTTGCTGTTGTTGTTGTCATTGTTGTTGTTGTTGTCGTCGTTGTTGTTGTTGTTTTAAGTGTAATTGGTTTGGTGTAGTGTTAACCGATGTAATTAGCGTAGTGTAGTGTAATTAGATGTAATTAGTGTAGTGTCATGTAGCGTAGCATATTTGTATTTGTAGTTGTAGCAGTAGTGTAGCGTAATGTAGCGTAGTATATTTGTATTTGTAGTTGTAGCAGTAGTGTAGTGTAGTGTAGTGTAGTTGTAGTTGTTGTAGTTGCAATTGTCTATCTATCTGTCTGTTTGTCTGTCTGTCTGTCAGCTTGAAAACGCAGCAATTCTGCGAGACTTCATCAATTTTTGAACTTGACAACATCAAAAACGAAACAATTCTGCGAGAGATCCTCAAGTTTTGAACTTGACAACGTCCAAAACGAAACAATTCTGCGAGACTTCCTCAATTTTCGGCGTTGACAACATCAAAAATGAAACTATAAAACTGGGGGAACCGCAACAGGCACAAACAAGCGAAGCTTTGATCCTTTTTCGGCAGACACGTGACCCCCATTTGGATCGTCCTTAGCTTCCAGGCTTGCCTTGAGTCATGTAGCGAGCGAGCAATGAGATTTCACACCGCCCATACTTTATCGAGCTAACATGACTAGCAGCAAGTCGTGGTCTTCACGTTGCCTGGAATTTCCTTCTTCGGATAGCGACCAGTATCCTTGATTACAAACATGTCTCAAAAAGCTAGAATTCATTCTTTTGGTCATTGGATCGGTAATCATGTTCGTTCCTGCGACCCATCGCAGACTTCCGCTGGTGCGGTTCATGTCGTCCTTGAGAATGGCGAGGTCGATGGCAGTACGCTTGTCCTCCACCTGAGAGAAAGTGCAGACCAGCTTGTTGATACAGTCATAGAGCGACCGTGAGTCGACCACTGATATGTAGGGGATGCTGGTGAGCTTCTTCTCCCATTGATGGTCTTGCATGTCGTTTCCCATGAGCTCCAAAAGCAAGAAACGATGCCAATGAATTTGACCAACGCCATAAATCAGTGCTTGGCATTCCGCACTGAGGGTATTGACTGTCTTCCTTTTTAACTTTGTTGATTTCCATGACGTCACTGAAACCATGTGAGGTTGTTTCTCTGTTTCCATCCGTTTGTCATAAAACATCATGATAAAACCTCCTTGGCTACTGCAGTTGAGGAGCTTCAGGAAGGTGTCGTTGATCTCGCTGGCAGCTAACTCATGACCAGCTGGCTGTTTGCCAAAGTAGGTAGCTCCTGTCCATGAGGTTTCACTCCACATTCGTATACTGTTACCTTTCGTCCATTCATCTTCCAAAACTTCTCCTCGTCCACTTACTGTCCGTCGTCCAGGTTGTAGGCCATGTAAGTCTGGTCCATCCGTGGCTCCTGGATGAAATAGTGTTCTCCGTGGCGTCACATGGTGTCTTATCCAGTGAGTTGATGTTTCTTCCCAAAAATCTGTTGAGTTCTCCTCCAACTTGTCTTTGTCTCTCGCATTCGCCCATGAGGCATCTGTTGCTACGCTAACCCGCAAATTCTCGGGTTTGATGGGCATGATTTTTATCCCGCTCTCGGGATATTTCTTGGCTTCTGCTGTGATCGTATTGGCTTCCACGAGGTCTTTGACTCGTGGTTTTGGAAAGGCTTGTTGTAGTAGAGCAACACGTCCTGCTAGGTCAGGGCGGCTTTCTTTCGATAGCCATGATAGTGCACCGATGCTGGCACGGAGTTGAGAGATCTCCGAATCTGTGCAGAAGCTGTATCTTTGTCGTTTTCGGCATTTCTGAATTGGAATTTCAAAAAGTTTTTCTGCAACGTAGTGGGCTTGACTCACCTCGATGCTGTAGTCTTCCTTCTGCTCGAAGTACTTGCCTGTGAACTTGCCTTTGTCGAACTGGTACTTCCCAAGCTTGTAGTGTTTTCTGATCTCGGCCATGGCTTCCAAGTGTTCTTCGTCTCCACCATGTAGTAGATCATCGGTTGCAACTGCTATGAGTCCACTGAGATTTCCGTTCTTGTTGATCTTGTAGTAGATGCATGGGTCAGCAAGAGACTGACGATATCCCAGTTTGGTGGTGAGGAACTTTTGTAAGTGAAGGAACCAGGCCAGTGGGCCGTCGGTTAAACCGTAGCAAACCTTCTCTAGCTTCAAGAGTTGTGCTGGTGATAGCCCGGGGATGCCTTCTCGGGGTTGTGTGGTGTAGATGGTCCGCTGGATGCGGTCTCCTGAGTGAAAAGCTTGCGTGAAGTCCAGGAAGCCGAGTCGCCAACAAAAACTGGCTATCAGCTGTGCCACTGTAAGCGTACCTTCTCGAGTGACCTGAGGAGTTGCGGCTTCGATCTCGTCTGCTCCTTCTTCTGAGTATCCTTTCATTACATGCCTTGCCTTTGCTTTACATGGTTCTCCCTCTAGATCACCAGGTTGTCGATCTAGTAGAAGTCCTTCTTGACGTGCTGGTTCGACTTCGTGTGGTTCTAAAGGTTTGGCGGTCAAGACGAGCCTGCTTTCCATGATCTTCTCTGGCATGGTTTGTCGTATGCTGGCAGATTCTTCCACACTCAAAGCTCTGTAGGCCCCGATGTCGGTGTTGTTCTTGAATTCCTTCTTGATGGCCTGGTCAAAACACTTTTTGCTCCTTTCATCGAGTGCTTGATATCTCATTTCCTTCTTTTGTCTGCTTTTGAGGAGACTTTCCACCTTGGCAAAGTATATCTCCAGGTACTCTGTGCGGGACCTCTTTGTCGATGGTTCATCATGTTGATCTTCTTCATTTCCCTCATGTTCTCGTTTGTGGGTTTCATCCATAGGTTGATCTTCTTGTATGTTTGGTAGCGGAGCTGGAACGGGAGGATCTCGTCCCGATACTTCTGGCTGAGGTTCTTCGTAGTCAGGTGGTTTCACAGGCCAAAAGCTTGTGGTCCTTTCATCCGGTACCTTTTTATTGGCATGTCGAACTTATTGGTCTCTGGATCATCTCCAATTGTTGGGAACTCCTCCGGGTCAGGTGCTATTGAAGGTTCATAGCCGTCAGATTCTTCTCCTTCTTGTTCTCCCTCTTCCGGTGGTAGTGGATGATCTGACAAGTCCAGGTAGCCCTTGGTCGGCTCGGTGAGGAAGTCCTTCTTCATGTTCACTATGTCTTCTAACCATCCTGAGATAGTGAGGTTCTCCTCGGCGCTGGCTCTTCGGGTCCTCTCGGGGCTGGCTTTAATCAGGTAGCCTCGGTGAGCGAGCCATAGTGTGCTGGGCTGATCAATCATGACAACCCTAGCTGGTCCTTGCCAATATCCTGGATGAAATTTGAGCTTCTTGTCGGCGCCCATGCGATAGAAGTAGACCATCTCGCCGATCTCGAACTCGGTCAGTGGCCTCGGACCGCTAGAAATAGCCCTTCGTAGAGCATCGCTAGCATCGGCTTAGACGAATGCTGTGGCCGCTGCTTTCCTCATTTTCATGGATCTTTCAATTGACAGATCGCCGACTTTCGGATTTGGGTCGTGTGATCGTTGGTCATGTCCACCACTGAGAATGCTCCCTGGAATGTTTGGATTGAATCCGAGAACTCGTTGGCAAGGGCTGTATCCTCCTACTGACATCATGCGGTTCTTCATCATGCATGCTGCTCCTACTAACTCTTCCCATTCTTTCATGTCGGAACAGCTAAAGGAATCCATTGTCTTGAGAAGAATAAACTTGAAGCTTTTGCCGTGTCGTTCAGTAATTCCTCTCTGTTGGGGCATCTCGACGGCGGCTGGATCGATGTAACTGCCATCGGCCTCTGCTTGAGCTGCAAATTCGGCCCGAAATTCCCTGCCAAGGTCAATGGCCACCCGCTTCGGCGCTCCAAAGATTCTTGTCCAGTGTCGGTATCCTTCTCGAACATGCTGTGGTTTCTTTCCAAGCAGTGGTATAACTAATTGGAATTTTGAGCTCCAATCCACGATGTTCAAGGAGGGTCGTGTTTTTCCTCCTAATGTAGGAAGGTAAACGACATCCACGCCGACGCATTCGTTGAACTCCAATTCTTTTGGTGGTGCACTTCTCCTTGCTGGCTGGGTTTGTTTGTGTCTTTCACAGACGCTGCATTTCATGTTTCTGGCTGCCTCGATGATTTCCGTCTTGGCTTTGGCATATCGTAAGATTCGCAGGAATCTCTCTTTGGACGGATGTCCAAGCCCTTCATGGGCTCTCTGAAGCAGCCTGCTAAGGTTGAATCTGCTCGCCAGAGGTAGGTCTTTCCCTTCCTCCTTGTCTGGTACTGGAAGTACTGCCGCAGGATGCCCGTCAGAAACACAGGGACCTCTGGGTTCTTTATGGCGTCGAAGGGCTTGAGGTCCTACTGATACTTTTGAATCTTGACAAAGATCCTCACGTACGGGTACGTTAGGATGAGGTGGTTCTGAAGGACCTGCAGGTTCTGTAGGATCTGGACATACTTGATCTCCGGGTCTTTCATCGGGAAGATGCGGTTCTTCTCCAGGATCTTCTCCAAATTCTTCCATGATTTGTTGCCAGTCCTTTTCTTGATGGAGTACCTCCCATTCGATGCGGAGGAGATCGTTGATTTTCTCATCCTCCCCATAGATTTCTTCCAGGGTGTGTACTTGCACTTTTCCAGCAATTGTCTCTCCATAGGCCTTGAGGATGGTTTCCTTCAATTGTTCCGGGTATTGTTGGGCCTTTGCAGACCGGTTTCCTCCGATAATCATCTCATGTTGATGGCTGCCATCGCACTGTCTTCTCAAAGCTGTTGATAGGTGTTCGGAGTTGGTGAGAAAACCGGTGGACTTCCGTTGTGGCTGCCCGCTTTCTCCTCTGAGGCCATAGCAGCATTGATCTGCCTTGGACATGAAGGTAGTAGGGTTACGAAGTAGCCGTTCCATGGCACGATGTTTCCAGGAACTTGCTGAAAATGGGTGCTCGAACAGAAAGGTGATTCCGAGTTCAATGCAAAGTTCACAAACTGAAATTGCAAAAAGAAGAAGTTGGTTGCCCTCATGTTTCTTTTTCAAATAGGCTCTCATGAGTTCAGGAATTGTTTCACGTTTGTGTTTGGACAAGTTTTGCAACTGTGAATGCATCCGACATGGTGGTGAGATAACGACAAGACCTGGTCTGACCTGCCTAATGTATGACATGACAGTTTCACGTTTGTTTTTGCACATCAAATCATCTCCAAGTGTGATGTCAAATGCTTTTCCGGCAATCAGCCCATGTCTTTTGGCAAGTGGTCCAAAACAATTGGGGTTGTAAATTTCGGCAACAGTTCTTAATTGTTGATGACTCAGCCCCATGACTTCAGCGATCTCATGCGTTCTTTTGGACCCCCGGGGATGCAGCGTGAACTCGCTACAAATCTCCTGGTTCATATTTCGCATCAGATCAGTGACGTTGCTCCCTTGGCTGTCACTTTCGGAAAATATCAGTTGGATCTGACGCCAAAAGGCTACTGCTTGCTTTAGAGCAGCGCGTATTTTTCTACCCAGCTTCTCAGGACAGGGTTTCATCTCGGTCACTTTCGGTCTTTCCATTTCATGTACTCCTTGAACTCGGCGAACTCCTTCTCCAGGGTCGTGCTGCTGCTCGTGGCCTTCGGGTTTGAGAACTCGGCCAGGAGTTTGTTGCAGCTGCAGCATGTGGTCTTCCTGACAGACCCGTTGCTCCCCTTTCCATGAGTCTTCATGTGAGGGCATGCGTCCTGGACAATCTTGGTCAGGATCTCGAAGTCGGTCTTCGCTGGTTCTCCAGGTTGTTGTCGATGCTTCCAGCTTGTCACATCCTGCAGTGGTTGCACCATGCACCACTGAAAGAAGCGGCACTGTGTCCCCTGCTCCTTCATGCATCGAAAGAACATCCGATCTGGATTCTTCGAGGTGTGGCTGACGTGGATCTGTGATGGCATCTGGCACAGGCACATAGGACGTGGTCCGACCACCATCTCGATGCCATAGACCTCGTCGGCCGTCTTGCCCGTCTTCTCCACGATCTTCCCTTTTGCTGATGCCTTCTTGGCCATAGGTTTGCTCGTCGTTGAAGTCGGGCTCGGTGACTTCCAAGTCATGACTGAGACGGATTCTGACTCCGTCTCGCTCGTAGAACTGTCCTCCTCGCTGTTCTTGTTCTCGACGTTGTAGCTCCTGCGACTGATCTCCTCCATGATGAAGTTGTGGAAGTCCTCGAGGTCCTCGGTCTCCATATGACGAACTGCTTGACGTAGAAGACGTGGTTGATCTCGACGTCCTCGAAAGACCCGTTCGACCATCAGGTGGAACGGGATGAGAATCTGCAGCAGCTTCCTTGTCATTCTCGACCAGGCAGTGAAGGCGACCGGGATCGTCGGTTCGGCTCCCCGGCTGCGCTTGTTGCTGCAGGTCTCCATCATGCTGTTGGTCGACAACTTGACCGGTCTTTGCTATTGCGTCCTGTCTACCTGAAAGCTGAGCTGCGGCGGCAAATGGAGGGTTTTGCAAACGAAGAATTTCAAATTCTTGTGATTCATGAACTGCGGAAGAGTCTTGCCACTCGCCTAGGTGTTTCAGCTGTTCATTTGTGAAGTTCTGCAACGGAATACGGAGTGCACCAGTTGGCCCCAAATGAAGTGGAATCTGTTCCCTGCTGTCCCGAAAAACGATTGTCAATCCCTTGTCAGAGTCCAAAGTGATGTTCCCTTTGCAATGAAGTAGAAAACTCAAAGAGATCAGAAACGGCGCTCCAGAAGAGTTGTCTTGTTCAAAAATGGCTGGTTTCAAAAACGATCCCTTCGGTCCCAATGAACATGGAATATTTGCAACTCGTGTTGCCAGGAAGTTGAATTCCAAAAAGTCTCAGCGTCTCTGCCCCGATAGCCATGCGTTGACACCCAGTGTCCACTGTTGCACATGTGTGGTCAAACGTTTCAGGGGTCCTACAAACATTATTACAGATCCAATTTTCAAGTTCAAAAACACCGTAAACATTCTCAAAAACAACTGATACCTGGCCGCTGTCCATGTATGCTCGGCTGTCGCTACCATCTTGGAAAATGTCAAAACCTGTACAAAGCTCTAAGTGACCTACTAGGCTGATTTCAGCTGCTTCGGTCTTGGTCTCGTGAGCCTGCTCTCCGATGAAGAAGACCTCATTGGTGTTCTCAAGGTAGTTGGTTTCGCTGGCACGGCTGCTGTCAGATCGGTCCGACTTCGAAGGAGGATTACGGCACTCCCTTTTCCAGTGTCCGATCATCCCACAGCGAGCACACCTGGTTCGTCTCTTGAGTGCTGAGATGCTTTCATCGGTTTGTCGCCGACGATAATCTCTAGATTGGCCTTGGTGGAAATTCCCAGCAGCGGCTCGGCCATTGCCATACCCGCGGGCTAGCTCCCGACTCTTCTTGTTCTTGATCGACTCGGTGTAGCTCTTTTTGCGCTGCTGCACAAAAGTTGCCAGGATCTCTGCGGCCTCGGCCTCACTGATGATCTCCTCGTCGTCGACAGGCTTCTGCAAGTCGATGATGTGCGCCTCGAGCTCCTGAATCTCGTCATCTGGATCGTACTCATACTCAGAGACCTTGTCCTCTTGCTCGACCTCGTCCACTGTGTAGAGCAACTGCTGAACCTTCTTCTTGTCCTTGTCGGCTCCAAGTTCCGCGGCCGAAAGCCGAGTCTCATTTTTCCTCAACCAGTTTTTGATTGAGGATGTTCGGATACATCCATGAGTGAAGTTCAAGAGATTCTTGGTCTCCATGTCGGTGAGCAAGAGGGCGTTGATCAGCAAAAATCCCTCGTACTCCTCAGGCAACTGAATTGCATGTTGGTGTACTTTTCGTAAGGCGGTGTCCCACCTCGAGAAAAACTCTCTCCAGTCTTCGCCTTTGAGACGTCGTAGGTGGTATGTCACCCGGGACATCGCTGTCAACATGTGTTCTTGTTGATCATCTCCATACCTTTCAGGACGATTCATGTCATCCAAGAGCTTCTCGGCATTGGTTGGGTCCTGAAGCCACTGGTTGTCCTTGGCCCAGTGCTTGTAGACCTCGAACGGTGTGAGGCTAAGTGCCTTCAAAATCAAGGGTCCCCTCATCCTCGGTCTAGCTTTGGTCGTAGCTATCCAGAGTCTGGCCTTGATGTTGAAGTCCTCGAAAGGTGTCGTTCCGTCCCAAGACGGTGGTGGTCCTGAGGTTCCTCGTCCCTCATTTCCTTCTTCTTCTTCATCATCCTCTCTCTCTCTGGTTCTCCTTTGCCCTATCGGATTCAGACGTCCTTCGCGTTCCAGCTGTAAAAACCTCTGGAATCTAGCAAAATGGTCAGATTCGCTACCCTGGGCAATTGGAGGGCTGCGTCTTCCCGGTGAAGCCGCGGGCGATGTAGCTGGTGGCTCATCCAAATCCCCATCGGTCGGAACAGCCGGAGTGGCCATCTACCAGGGGGTCAAGTGTCAAGCCTCCAAAGGATCAAAACTCCCCAAAACCCGAAAAGATTAGGCCCGATCGAATCGGGCTCCGCTACCACTATAAAACTGGGGGAACCGCAACAGGCACAAACAAGCGAAGCTTTGATCCTTTTTCGGCAGACACGTGACCCCCATTTGGATCGTCCTTAGCTTCCAGGCTTGCCTTGAGTCATGTAGCGAGCGAGCAATGAGATTTCACAGAAACAATTCTGCGAGACTTCCTTCAAAAATGGAAAATTGAGTGCAGAGCTGACGGCCTCGTACCAATGCGCCTTGCGATTTTTGCAATCCACCTGTCTAAAGTACTGCGCCTGCCACGAAAAAGTGATGCCAAGTCATACGAAGTGCTGCGCCAGTCACGCAAAATCATCTTCCCAAACTGAAGATCTGATGCTCCAAAATGCAACCCCTCTCAGGAGATCAGCGCCCGGACCTCCGTCCTAACAGCTCTGATGAACATGTCTGCTGCACTGCGCCTGCCACGCGAAATCCATCTTTGCAGATCCTCTTCAAATGTCCCACGCCTGCCATCGTTTTTGGAAATGCTAGAAAACCCTCACGTTTTGCTCACTTTTAACAAGGTGCAGAATCCCTTGCGCCTGCCACGCAAAACGACATCTGAACGTCCAAAAGTGGTCCGTACCACGCAGTTTTTACACTTGTGACTTGGAAATGTGCTTCGCGCCACAACGGCGTGCACTTTTTCGACATCTCAACTTCCAAAAGCGGTCCGAACATGAGGCGTTTTGTACATTTGGCTTCGAAATGTGCTTCGCACCACAATGGGTGCACTTTTTCGACATCGCAACTTCTAAAAGTGCTCCAAACGTGAGGTGCTTTTAGCTTTTTCACTTGCTTCGCGCCACAACGGCGTGCAAGTTTTCATCTCTCATCTGACCACATGGCTCCGCACCCACCGCTTTAGCGAGCCTGCTTTTCGACCCTCCGGAGCCACAAATCATTGGAAAAAACACCGTGTTTGGCGACTTTTCTACCTTTTCGCGCACCTGCATCTTCTTTCTTCTGACTCTTTCTCTTCTCTGGTCTTCTTTCTTCTTCTCTTCTCTTCACTGACTCTTCCAATCTCTGCTTTTCATCTGTCCATATTGTCGGAAGTTTGACTTCTAAACTGCCTTCAATAATTAATGTTTTATATTGCGATTTATGGACAACCAATACAAATCTCTGTGCGTGTGTGTGTGTGTCTGAAAATGGGTTCTACTCCCAAAAGATCCATGCTTGCGGATACAAAGCGGAAATATCATGGAGTGTAACGGAATGCAAGCAACAACAATTATATGGGCTTGTCAGGCACTCTCATAATTTCAAATATGCTTTTGTTGGAGGATACAATGCTGTATGATCGTAAACTCCCCAATCTGCAGACATATTCCATGTGATTGGCCCATGTTGGAGGCAATTTTTTTTGGTATATTCTGAGAGATTCCTTCTCGTCATGACATGTAAATGTGTTTTAGAGGAGATGAAGTGTTGCTGACGTATACCCGTCATATCTACCTAGAACTCTTGGTGACAGTTTGCAGCTCGACCTACTAAATATCTATTCAACATTGGTATCTCAAAGACTGCAAGACGCACAAATCCCCATCACTTTCCAACACATGTTCCCATTTCTGCTGGTTGAAACATGAGAATAAGTCTATATCCCTTTTGCATCTGCATTGTCTGAGAAGTTGGTCTGAGATGAAGAGAATAATCCCATCACCCTAACATTAAACACCCCAAAAATGGTCCCAATTATGTGGAAATTCCCTATTAAACCATGGTTTCTAAGGGGGTATTTAACATTAGGCGGAAGGGATTAGAACCACAAGAATCACCTGCTTTGGATTGGATACTGCAAACCCAACTGTGTCTCCTTGCAAAACCATCCTTCATGAGATTTCATGAGATGAACAAGTATGATCCCTACAGGGTGGTGCCCCAGTTTGTTAGCTAAGTTGGTTTACAAGTGGTGTAACTACAACTATGTTGTTTGTTGGTGATATATGGAACTAGTTAATGGGATTATAACACACTTATACCCTGTGGAAAATTAACATAGATCCTGAAAATCACCAATTCTTAGTGGAAACTAATCTTCCAACCCCGAAAAATTGCAGGGTCGTCATGTTAATTTACCACAGGGTAATTGGGTGGGGCACCACCTTCCAATTACCCTCTGGTAAACGGTTACATAACTATGGAAAATCACCATGTTCAATGGGTAAATATACTTTTTCTACGGCAATTTTCAATAGCAAACGGTTAAATTACCAGAGTGTAAATCCCATGAAACCACCATTTTGTTGGTCAAACCCCATTAAACCACCATTAAACCACCATTAGTTTACCAAAGGGTATTTTTCAAAACCCCCGGTGTCGACGCGTTTCGTCTCCGTGAAACAGGCCCTTCGGCTTCACTGTTGCGAAGGAGCAGATGGTTCGATGGAGATTTCACCCTGTTTTTTTTTGCGGGGGATACACTAACAGTTTGCTATGGAAAATTACTTTTTTTTAATAGGTAAATCAACGAACTAAATGGTCCTTTTCAATAGCTATGTTAGTTTACCAGAGGGTAATGAAAATATAGAGATGGTGATATCCATAGAATGGTGCTTTGTTGGATATCCATCTTAAACTCTATCCATCTAAATCTGGGATAAGGATTATTATATAGAAATATGCATCTAAGTGGTGATGTATAGACAGATATATGATATATGCATCATTAGAAAAATACCATGGGATTCTGTGCAGAAAAAGACACATTTGGGATATTCACCATCATAAATTTGGTTAGTAGAAACATTGTAGAAACAATGGTTCTGGCTGAAATATCACTGCCTCACCGCGGCGTCACCGTAGACTATGGTTGATAGGCGGAATCATCCAAAATGACCTTGTTTCATGAGTGCGAATTGCTGGCATTCAGCCAGAATGATGGTCTAGCTGGTGTTCTTAGATAAATCCCCATTATGCAATGGGTTTTCTAGATTTAACCACAAAAGCAAGGAGACTTTGTGGGTATAACAGTGATGTAATGGGTATGTAACCAATGCTGTTCTGGCTGCAACGGTTTCAGATATGTGATTCATGGTCTTCAGGGAATTGAAGCCATCAATAAGTTCAGTTATTTTATCATATGTTCTCGACACCCTTGACAACACTGGTTTATGGAGAATGGGATGTGTGAAGTGATACGAGTATAAGTGTATAACCAACAAAATCTGTGAGGCTTTGCCCAACAAACAGGAGGGATAGAAGGCCACATTTGTGCTTTGTTGCCCATTATATAGCCATTAGATGCCCGTGTTCAAGCTAACATCGATCAATACTGTAGCACTGTAGCAAATTTAAATCCCTTCAAACTAATTTTGAAAGCGTTTATGCCCGCATTTCGTCCCACTATGTAGACGGTACCTCTTTCGGTTTCTGTTTCCAGCTATGTACCCAGTACATGTCACTTTCTGGCAAAACACAATGTGTATATATATATACACATATATATATATATGTAAATATATATATATATGTAGTTATACATATATATATATATAGTTGTACACATATATAAATATAGTTATACACATATATAAATATAGTTATATATATATAGTTATACAATATAGTTATATATATATATTTCCTAGTCAAACACTTTATTGGTGGTTTTACTTCCAATATCCCAATAAAATCACTATGTTTAATGGATAAATCATTACAAATCCCCCAATTTAGATACAATTTAGACCATTCAATCCCTAATTTTGCTGATTCGCTGTTATTTACTCCTACTTATACCCCCAGCATTTCCCATCATAAATCGCAAAAATCGACAATTAGGAACTTCACCATGACGAGGATATAACAAAATCAGGAATGGCCAACATATCCCCGTGTTATGAGCTGGTTGGTGGTTTCAAGCATTGTTTATTTTCCATAATATATGGGATGTCATCCTTCCCATTGACGAACTCCATCATTTTTCAAGACGGTTAAAACCACCAACCAGTAATAGCTTGACAATTGGCTATGAAATCCTATAGTAAATTGCAATCTCCCGACCCGGGGACCATCCCATGAATCGTTAGTAACCCTGGCTAGCAAGTCCCCGAACTAGGGTCATCCCATTGATCATTGGGTTTTAACCTTATTTGTCAACCAGGTAACCAGTTTTCGAGTGATCATTTTCAAAGTATCCAGTGTATAATGCCCAAGGCTTATCCTGGAGATTTGAAGCTCTAGCTATTGGTATTGCGACTTTTGCCCAGTAGTTCGCAGCAACTGCGGCGTCGCACAATAGCCAGCTGATTCTTCTCCATTCACTTCACTCACAATAGTTTTGAGCAGGTGTGCAGCCAGATTTTCACTTAGATTCCTGCTAGCACAGTTTGTGATATTTGGAATGTAAAGATGTAGCACGGGTCCGAGCTTCAAACAGAAATGAACACTTGATCCATGTATGATTGTTATGATTTTTATCCATTGTAATTATGGTAACTTCCATTATACATGATAGATTGATAATCATCATTAATGACATCCATTATCAATGTTTTTCCAGTGTTTTTTTGACCAATGGATTCACTAATCGATTCCAATCATCCCAGTTACTGGATGTTTTTTGCCAAAGTAGAGTTAAATTATCACCATAGCTAATCCCATGAATCCATCCAGTAGGTAAGCACCATTATCTAGATTATGATATATTATGGCTATTGGGGTAGTACCCTCCCTACTTAAATAAACCATAATAAACCATGGTTTACTAATCCAGTGTTGACATTGATTGCCCATTTCTGCTAGGACGCCGACCTGGGTCTGAACTACGTCAACGCCAGTAACGGCCTGGCGCGCGCGCAGGGCGTGCGCCCCGGCGCGCTGCTGTCCAACATAGGCGCGGCCCCGCGCACCGGGCACTGGCGCTGGGCGCAACGGTGAAACACGTGACATTCGCAACCGGGAAAACGGGCGCTCTGGAAGAATTTGCGACATCACGTGGCTGAATTTGGTTGGTGGTTTGGAACATAAACTTTATTTTTTCCATAGTTATGGGAATTTCATTATCTCAACTGACGAACTCATATTTTTCAGAGGGGTTGAAACCACCAACCAGCTAGCGATGAAGGAATTGACATCGCCGGTCGCAGTTAAATACATGGCGGAACGTTCTACGTGGAGGGCAGACAATTTGAACCACGTGGAAGGCAGGCGCAAGGAACGTCGTGAGCGGGACGCAAACACTTCGCGCATGTCAGTTGCAATCGGGTACACGGGCATAAGCACCCAAACCACAAGGGGAAAATGAGGGTTTAAGTAGCAAAAACCCTGTGAAATCGGGATTTGACCATGAAAATTTGGGAAAAGGTACGATTTCAGCACTAGAAATGTGCATAAAACCAGCAAAACTTGGGATATTTAGCAGATTTCGATCAAGCAAGGTGGCAAAAATGAAAGGTGGGTATCAATAGTTGATGTATCTGATTTAAACGGTTTTTGGTGGAAAAAAAGGGAGGTTCAACCCTTGGTGAGAATATGATTGGGATGTAGTTGGATAGGAAACCATCAAAAAATAGGGATTTAAGCAACAAAGATAGTGATAGAACGAGATATTTCCTGGGGATATAATGATTCTCTGGAAACCTACAAGGCGGTGCCCCAGTTCGACAAAACAATGTTGGGAAACATGAATACCCTCTGGTAAACTAACATAACTATGGAAAGATCCACCATGTTAAATGGGTAAATCAACTATTTCTATGGCCATTTTCAACAGCTATTTTGACATAACCAGAGGGTAATTTGATTGCGTTTTTGGTGAACTAGTCGGGACCGCAGTGTAGCGAAGAAATATGGGAGAGTTAAACCATATCTGGTTGGTGGTTTGGAACCATGGATTTTTTTTGACTTTCCATATATTGGGAATGTCATCATTCCAACTGACGAACTCCATTATTTTTTCAGAGGGATTCACTCCGCCAAACAGATATTTCTGGACGAAGCTTAACTACGCATGTTGGTTTGTGTGGGGATGGATGTTAACAAGGGGCATATATTTCGGATATAAGTTGATTGGTATTGATCCTATATTGGAAATTATATATTATTGCAATGCACCACATTAAAAGAAATTTGGCTCAATACTATGGGCACTGCAAGATTAATGATACTTCTGGTTCATACTATGGTAAGTTAGTGAGAAACATACCAACCGTTATTAGTGTTTTTAGCCATTTATATCCATCAATACTGGTGATATTGATGAGCATATGATGGGATAAGAACTTTCACATAAAAAAACTCAAGGGGTCACTTTAACATGGTTTTTTCTTGTTTTAGCGAAACTTTGGTGCAAACTCCATGACATATACAACATGATTGACTTTGGCGCGAACCGCGGATGACATGGTTCAAACCTCCCAATGACCAACATCAGCAGGATGGACTCGTGAAAGAAGCGTTTCTTTCAGAACTAGCCTCTGGTAAACATACAAAAAACAAAGGAAAATCAGTACTTTTGATAGGTAAATCAATGAACTAAATGTGCAATTTTCATTAGCTATGTAACAAATTACCAGGGGGTATGTTTTGTTTAAAAAACATGATCGGAAATCATTGGATACCAAAACTACAGCTACGAATTATGTTCATCTATGTCCCGGAATTTGTTGAAAGGAACATTTAGACTGAAACCTTTGCGTTGGGTTTATATAAGCACCATGGTGTCCTTTCAACTATTCCCTCAATTCAATCCACTTCTATCTGTTTTTTTATACACAACCAATCCACTGGAATCCTCGGGTAAAAACAATGCCATGTTTACCTCCAGTCATCACCATAGGTGCTATGTTTACCGTCAAAAATATGGGTTGGTTTATGGCATTGTTTTACCCACATTCATATCCATTATAATCCCATTATCATCCCATTAATATCCACTATTATTTCATTAATATCCCATGCATAGCTCTTTTTTGTTGGTGAAAAATCCCAATACCCTAGATATATGATATATATATGTGATATGTATATATATATATGTTGATATATGATATATTGGCTGGTTTTTCCCACGCTTCTGTGACAAAACAAACACGAAACGCTCCGTGCAGGCGGCACCGACGTGAGCAGCCACAAAATCGAGCAGGTTAGGGACATGTTGTTGAAGGCACGTCCGGGAAGTTATTTGGATTGGAGCAAGGCACCTTTTACATGTTTTACATAGTTTTACTTTGAATTTTTGATGGCAAAATATGGAAAGTTTACTGTAGGTTTACTGTATGTTTTCCGTGAAATCGTCCCAAGTCGATTTTTTGCTGTATATGTTGTGTCACGGCAGGTAGCTGATCCCAGACAGATCCGATGGATTCAAATCGTTGAACACTCAACATTTGATGGTTAATAACCATGGTTTATTGATATGGTTATTGATGATTACTGGTGAAAAATGGGTTTAACCATGGTTATTAATGGTTATAACCAACCAGTTATGTTTCATATTCTAAATTAAACTGATGTTTAAAACATTGAAGGACTGTTTGTTACAATGTTGGTGCTTGCCATTTGGGGGCATATCGTGGTCCACTTTCAGACCGACCAAAACAGATTGTTGTCCGTTTTCCCATATCATTATATTATCGCATTAGTTTGTATTTGTTTATTCAATCATGATCCCATGTTCACATGATAGTTGTGGTTGGCCCATATTATGTGGAGTCATATCTATATTCTTTGCATGTGCACGTATAGATGCATGTACGGTTTTATCTATTTACATTCGGGGTGCTTGGCAAATATTTATATATGCATCAAATGTATACCATAAATATCATTATTCCCATACTTCTCATCTATCTAAATGTAGTCCTAATTGTGCTCATAAGATATTACAGTATCATTTTGATTAAGGTTCTAGTTAGATACCAATAACATATTATCAGAATTGATATGAAGTAAAATATGTTCATTGCTGTATTTAAAACAATTACTTATATTTATATAGGTAAACATTGTATTGTCTAACGAGATATTACATGACATGACATGGTGTTCCACTTGTGCTCCACATGAATGAACAGTTTGTCATAGTGTTTTATATATATAAGATAGGGACTATAGTTTATGTAACAGTAACATTTCTACCTTATACATATAATCATATGAGTACATTGTAGCGTAATGCTTAGAATTATAGCAACTGCTATATGTTTCTTGCTTATATATCCTACATGTTATTCAATGGCTAGCTATAGTATCTCTTGTATCTCATATATCTCTGTACTGTTTGTAGTCATAGCCATAGTTAGGGATGGGTCAAAACCTATTATTACTATATTTTGGTGGAATAAGCTTCCATTAACCAGCTACTGTAGGGTACCTATGGTCCCTATTGGTCCCTATGGTCCCCAGGTTTGACCAATATCCAGTTCATCCCCACCATACGCCAGGCCGATGTGCCGTTGAGCGTTCACTTCGAACAAGCACGTGGCCTCCCGAACGCGGTCGCTTGGCGTTGCGGCTGGTCCGACATGGAGCAACCAGCCCAAACGGCAGGGATTTACCGGCAAAATGTCGGAGTCATCATCAAACATATATATATATAGGATCATATGGATTTTCAAACATATATTGTAGTGTAAATCATAAGAAACAATTTATGTCTGGATATTTTAACAATATATGATTATATATCCTCAAAAAATCATGAGTTTCCACAGTTGATCAGAAACAAAACATTGTTTATTTCTGGTCTATAGCGGTTCATAGCGACCAAAATATCTGAGGTTTACCAACAAAAATCGGAGTTGATCAGCGAAAACTGGATAATTCCCCGCTGACCTCCTTAGAGAGTTCACCAAATCAGGGCCCGAAAGTTATGATACAAGGTGGTGCCCCCAAGATAGCTAAGTTGGCTTAAAAATCTAATAACTATGGCTTATAAGTGATATATCTATAGTTAATGGAAACGTTAACTATGATTTCCACCGTTGATAGTTGAATAGCTGATTGAATGAGAAACCAACTATCAACGGTGGATTTTCCATCGATATGGCAAATTACCAGATGGTTCCATTATATGCCAATTGTTGGTTACTAGGTCAATCTTAGATGGGTAGAAACTAATCCCGACTAGTCTTTTGGTATGAATGGGAATATCTACGGTCACCAGCTAAGTTTTTATTGCAGGGTATCTAAGATTGGCCATGATCGACGCCCAGGCTGGCAAAGGAGATCATCCCCATGGTGGAATATACTCTTCAGTAAATCATGAGGGTATTTCTTGGTATAGTCCATTATATACTACTAATAATAGTAAGAGTAACAATCATCATCATAATATATAACTTTGGGGTAAAGCAATGTCATAGACATAAACCACCCATGACTGGGAATTTATAGCACCTATAAAATGGTGATGACTGGGGTTTATGGCATTTGTTTGCATTTGTACAGTAGACCTTTTTACTTCCCCGTTGCTTTGCCATATCATGTCCTTAGTTTATCTGGGCTAAATCCCTATCTATTGCTCTATATTTTATTCAGATCAGTCGTCAATTTTCAGAGCGCAAAATGGAGGTTAAATCCAACCGTGTGCTTAACTACATTTAATTACCTATGATTATATGGGGGGTTCCATAGTCATGGGGATACCCAATAGCTGGTTGGTTTATTTCAAATCCCAATCTAAAATGGATGATGACTAGGGGTAGCCCCATGACTTAGGAAACCTCCATATTCCCTTACATCCAATTATATCCCAATTATATCCCATATAAATATAATCTGTTATATTCCAGTTAAAAATTCTGTTATATCCCAATTATATCCCAATTATATCCCATATAATCCCACATAATCCTGTTAAAAAAACGCGAAATCTCCAACCTATATCCAAGGGGGCCCACCTTGTACCAATTTTTAGAACGCCTTATGGATGTTTGCAGTGGGCCGCCACAGTACATACCCTCTGGTAATTTGTTACATAGCTATTGAAAATGGCCATAGAAATAATGGATTTTCCCATTAAAAAAATACCATTTTCAATAGCTATGCAACAAATTACCAGAGGGTATTGCGATTTAAGAAAGGACAATGTGCAGCTATCATCTGTGACAATAGCTACAGGCTAGTGTATAGTATTCATCTCCTGGTTGTAACATTCAATAATATCCCATTCACTACCAACTATTGCTATTATGTACGTACTGGTCAGAAGAAAGTATTAACTATGAACTGTTAGATAATCTGTTTGGTGGTTTGGAACTTTTTTGTCCATAATATATGGAATAATCCTTCCCATTTACCAATATTTTTCAAGATGGTTAAAACCACCAACCAGGATAATACTTGGATGTGCATCCTGGTTAGGATTTGGTGAATTTCGTCCATTAATCTAACCCCTATTTCGCCCCATACAATCCAGTGGGGATATTCCATATATCTCATGGGTTTGTTTGATCCATTTACTAAGTGGGGCCCGCACCCCCTAGTATCCCATTATATCCCATAGTTAATATCAGTTAAAATGCCATAGGTACATAATATCCCATATCTTAAATACATGTAATACTGGTACATAGAATCCAATTACCCTCTGGTAAACTAACATAACTATGGACAATCACCGTACGTATATCCACTATATAAGCCAATGTTCAACAGTTATGTTAGTTTACCTAAGGGCAAGCCATTATGAATGGTTAATGATGATTAACCAGCTTATCATAAATCAGCTATAAACCACGATCAACCACGAATCATGTTAATTTCAATAGGCAATAGTTATGTTAGCTGATTATCTACCAGAGGCTACCCCCTAGTCACTATCAACCAGTGATAACCACCACTATCAACCCACTAGTTCTGTTACCAGAGGCTACCTCCATCGGTTATCGCCACCGAGTACCGAGTACATCAGGTCACTGGTGTCCTGCACCCCGTGCCCGACGAAGAGATGCCCATGCCGCCCGAGGAGATAGGCGCGGCCAAAACACGCCGGGCTGTGAAAATGGCGGACGTTCACCAAGAACCACAACGTCACCAGGAAAAGTCATGCAGATTTCAACAAAAATAGCCAATGAACTGGGAAAATGTTGGATTTAAGCAACAAACATGGGGGAATTTACCTGATTTCACCATGAAAGTTGGTTTAACTACCCAGAATTCACCAACAAAATGTCGGATTTACGCTCTGGCAACCCAACACAGGGAAAATCACCACTTTTGACATGTAATCATCTACAAGCAAACTACTTTGATTCTGTGCATCTTGAGGTTTGCTTAGACATAGGTCGGAAGATGTTGGATGAGAAGAAGGAGAGTCCGCTTGAATTCCAGGAACTTCTGGCAGCTTCCTTCGCCCTGCAACATCCCCGCTATGTTTACCGCTGGCACTGGGCATCCCAATTGGCACGTGCAGCCCGACTCAGCCATGCTGGGTAGATCAGGAAAGCCCAGCCCCAAGGCGAAAGGAGCCTCTGGACTTGGTTCTGGGAATTTGTGTCGTTTTGATTTGGCCCAATGCCAACACCCTGTGAGTCACTGCGCCACCTTGCATTCAAATGGTTTCACCATTTTGCAAAAAGTGCCCGCATGTTTTTGGCGAATGGAAGGTTTGTTGCGGTCCAAGCACTGCCTTTTGTTTATTGAGGCAGGGACTGTTCTGGGTCCTCTCCCCTCTTGCAGTCACACTTATAGGCATTTATATGACTGGTTCAAACAGTCGAAATTGAACAAGGTGACATCTGACAATAACCATTTGGTGAGGTCTAGATATGCGGGAAGTTTTGATGATTAGTCCAACAGCTATTAACTCTTCTAGTGTAGCTGGGATTGTCAAAGAATTGGGTATATCGAGCCGGTACATCTCAAATCCAGTGGTTTTTCATCATTTCTTGAACAAAAATTGCAATTTTGGGCTATACTCCCTTTGGCGCAAGGCACGGGATTTGATCTCGGGCAATGTAACCTGGCTGGGGAATCCACATCTTTTTCACAAGAATTTCATCTACAACTAAAACTGGGGAAGTTTCCAGTGCCATATTTGCTTTGAAGACTTGGAGATGAAGAAAAATTGACCTTCAACATGACCTGACACTTGAAAAACAAGACATGATTTGACCAAACACAATCACTTACACCCTCCGGTAATTTGTTACATAGCTATTGAAAATGGCCCATTTATAGTTGATTTACCCATTAAAAAAGGTGGATCTTTCTATAGTTTTTTGTAGGTTTACCAGTACAAACCAATCGATCCCAGAAATCAGTATAAATCATTGCCAGTGTGACTGGTGGCCCAGCAGGCCTTCACTGTGCCCCATAGATGGCTAAGTCGGGTATAGCAGGTATCTCTAGAGTTAGACTGGGGATCTAAACCACCAAACATAACAGAGGATTTGGCCCCAAGACCCCCAAGGGCACCAGTTTTTAACTGCAACCTCTCATAGGATCTGGTTGGTGGTTTCAAACATTTTTTACTGTTCCATATATTGGGAATAGTAACCCCAACTGACTTTCATATTTTTCAGAGGGGTAGGTATACCCCCAGCCAGGGATTAGTTAACTAGTGAATAAAGTAATTGCACAGTAATGACAGGAAACCCCGATACTCAGGGCTTTTTTAAGCCCAGATCCAACAAAACGCGCCGCAGACGATGGACCCATGGTCGTTCCACCACCGGTGGATCTGGACATCGATTTGTCACTCGGTGGACGGGGGAAATCATCACTGGTCAGATCCTTCAAGTGGTACCCTCTGGTAAACTAACATTATTAGCTATTGAAAATGGCCATTTCGTTCGTTGATTTACCCATTTTTAAAAAAAAACAAAAATTATGTTTTGTTTCCATAGTTCTGTTAGTTTACCAGAGGGTACTCAGGGGATTTCACCAACACAAACTTGCCTTGGGACCGAACATTGAGCGTGGCGGAGTGCTTATTCAGCTTTGTGAGGATGTAAAAGAACATTGCTAGAAATTGTATATTGGTACAGGGTGGGGTCAGCAAGATAGCTATACTAGTATAAGTTGCCTTATAAGTGGTTTAACTCTGGTTTATGCTAGATATAACTATAGTTAATGGATGTTAATGGGTTATTAGCCATTTATAACTTGGGGGCCCCATCCTCATCCTGTAACTCATAGAAGTGATTTTTTGTTTTTTGATGGTGAATTCCATTCCATTGGTGTTTCAATGTTTATGGTTTTCGCTGCCTAGAAAATGATCTGTTTTTTGGCTTCTTCCGGACTGTGCATTCATTTAGAACCACTGTTTCATAGCTTGGGCTGTGGCTTCAAACAAGTTGTGGTGCATGCTACTGTACCGCTGACCCTGACGTTTTATTGGCTTTCAGGTCTTGCGATCGCATGAACTTGTCATGTGAGTAATGCCCCCGATTCCATGTCTTGGTTGATGTTTTTATGTGGTTCTTGTATTTTTTTGATGAGGAATATAATCCACGAACTGGGAACCCTTCTAAACCAACCAGCAAAGCCATTCCTGCAAATATCAACCAACCAGTAGCCGCACAGAATCGCATTGGCTTCAAGGAAAAGATGTAGGAACGCTCCATATTTGGATGACCAAACCAAACAGTTTGCATTGCAGTACTGTTGTTTTCCTTTAAACCAGCCCAGTAAAATCTGCTGTGGCTACCCTCCGGTAATCTAACATGGCATTGGACAATTCCCCCATTTACAGATGAATTTCCCACTAGGGCATCCATTTGGGGGAATTCCTAGCTAGCCACATTTGATTACCAGAGGGTAAACCATTTTTGTTATTTATCGTCAAGACCCATGTTGATACTTGAAGTCCCCATGCTTTCTTAAACCAACTCAGTGGTCCTGCAAGTCAAAATCCGCTTTTGATTCTGCAACACCATCCCTGAAGTCAATATATTTTTTGATCAAATCATTCAGCGTTTCATCGTCAAAACCCATTTCTGCATTTACAGTAGTAAAATTCCACTTTGGTGATAAACAAAACACCTGTTTGGTAGTCAAAATGCACGTTCATGGTTTATTTTAGACCTCCTTTCCGATAGTCAAAATCCACTTATTGATGATTCAAACTAAGTCAACCTGGGTTACATAATGTTACATACTTTAGTATTTTAATCTTTTGCTGTAGGAAAAACTATGAATCAGATAAGAACAAAAGCAAGCAACACGTCGATCGAGGTCTCAACCTCTGGGTTTGACCTTTGACCAGCGCCTCGTCGTGCAGACGGTGCAGAAGAACTCTCAGGCGCGGACGGCGCGGGGCGTTTCGCCGGGGCGTTTCGCTGCAAAAAAATGGCTGGTTGGTGGTTTGGAACATGACTTTTATTTTTCCATTTATTGGGAATTTTTATTTTTCCATTTATTGGGAATTTCATCATCCCAACTGACGAACTCATATTTTTCAGAGGGGTAGGTATACCACCAACCAGATGGTGATTTTCCTGAGGGAATTCGGGAAAAGGCGTGACTTATCCATTCAATTGATCAATTTGATCCAACAGACAAAGGTCGATGATGAGATGACGAGCTGGTGATGGAAACTTTGCACAAGGTGGTGCCCCATAGTTAGATAAGTTTGTTTATAACTCCCATACTATAGTATTCATGGGGTTTATCAACCAACGTTCACATCACCGGGAGAGCACCATCCTGCAATTGGCCTCGGGAGATTGGATCAAGTCTGAGAACACAGCGACCTCCGGCCTTGCCCTCCTTGTTGGATGACATCGATTGATGTTAGAGATTTACATCCAGAAAGAAAAGGCAAAACTTGGGATCAAAGTGAGAAGAAATGAAGTTTACGCAACTATAGTTGGGATATGTTGACTCAGGATTCAGAGTTCGCAATGACCCCTGGGCTGTGTTCAATTGGGATGTTCATTACCATGACTCTGACCCTTTTTGTAGCAACATCCATAAGTAAAAGATTCCAGTCAACTAGCAAAATGACAATCACGTCCGATTTTCTTCGGTCTGGTTGAAAATTTAGGGGATAAACCTAAACTCTTAGCGTTGATCGTATATAATCATGATGTGGGTAAACCAATGCCATCTGCACCATCCCCCAGTCATCACCATTTCTATAGGTGCTATGTTTACCATTCCCAAATGGGTGGTTTCTGACATTGTTTTTCCCACATTCATATCCATCATAATCCCATTATCATCCCATTAATATCCATTATTATTCCATTAGTATCCCATGGATAGCTCCATTTTTGTTGGCAAAAAATCCCAATACCATAGATATATGATATATAATGGGTGGGCTTATATCTAAAGCTCTCGTTTTGACCAGGAAATTTAGCCACCCTTTATGGCCTCGAAGCAGCCAGGCGTCTCGCTTGGGCATTGGACCCGGTTGGCAAGTGCTAGGCAGCCATGGGCTGCGGATTGAAAGCTGTGCAGATGGGTTTTCGGTTCAACCGCGAAAAGAAGGATGTTAAATTGTGAGTGCCAAAGATGAAGCTGATTGAAGGAAGATGGAGATCGCAATAGATGGAGATTCAAACAAGAGACAATTATGTCCATCGACTTTGACAAAAGGGCCGGGTTCAAAAGGTGAGAAATTCATCAGCAAATCAGCAACCGTTATTGCGATTGACCAATACATGTGAGCACTACCTAGCAAAGATTGCGCCAACAAAGAATAGGGTAGTTGATGGTAATGCTACAGAACATCATTTAGGAGTTCTTAAAGACCATACTCTCAGGGTCTCAGGCTCACCAACAGAAATAGTATCCCTGGCTAACCATCTTCAAAAAGAGACTCTGTGCTTAGAGCATGATTCGGACCATGGGCTGCTCATCAGCAGCTTCAAAACTGCCAACATTTGGGTGCTCATCAAACAATAATTCAGCTGCCTGGTTGCTTCACAGGTTTAAATCCGCCCACACCGCTTTGGCGGTGAAGGCGTGCTTATTGGGGGGAAACAGCTACACTAAATGCTCAATCACATTTGTTAATATAGCAGTCGCTATATCAGCTTTAGCTGGGGGGGGGGCCAAAAACGGTTTCGCACCGAGACCAGACCCCAAAAACGGTTTCGCACCGAGACCAGAATACGGTGGTGTTTTCGACATTTTTCGAGGATTTTTGGGTGTCTGAGCGCAAGAGGGTATTGAAATGGAATTTTGGGTCATTTTGGTAGCTTTCCGGCAATGGAAAAACGGCCAAAAATGAAAAAAACATTGTACATAGCAAGATTTTGCAGGGTTTTTGGATGCCAGAGCATTGAAAACACTGCAAAAACAAGTGTTTTGGACTGACGTTATAGCAAAAAACGTGTAAATTACCGTATGCTTGACTGGAAACATTACAAAAACACTGTCAAAAGCAATGTTTTGGAAGGATTTACTGCCTTTATGGCAAAAAACGTGTAAATTACCGTCTGTTTGACTGGAAACATTGGAAAAACACTGTCAAAAACAATGTTTTGGAAGGATTTCTTATATATATGTTGGAGTTGGCTACCGGCATTGGAACATGGAAAAATTGAAGAAAACACTGTAAATAGCGGTATTTTCAACGGTTGGGGAGATAAGGGAATTGGAAGCATTGTCGAACATGATGTTTTCGACCGGTTTTATGGCGACAAAAGTGTAAAGTACCGTGCTTTGAAGGAAACCATTGCAAAAACATGGAAACACATTCAAAGAACACGGGATTTGGGGGACTATCTAGGCGTCGTTGTCTAGCTATTGAAATTCCGCAGCTTGGAGAGCCTCCAAGGGAGGGAAAAGTGAAAATTCCATAGCTTGGGAAGCTGTCACGGCGGGGAAAAGTGAAAATTCCCTAGCTTGGGAAGCCCCCACGGGGGGGAAAAGTGAAAATTCCCTAGCTTGGGGAGCCCCCACGGGGGGGAAAAGTGAAAATTCCCTAGCTTGGGGAGCCCCCACGGGGGGGAAAAGTGAAAATTCCCTAGCTTGGGGAGCCCCCACGGGGGGGAAAAGTGAAAATTCCCTAGCTTGGGGAGCCCCCACGGGGGGAAAAGTGAAAATTCCCTAGCTTGGGGAGCCCCCACGGGGGGGGAAAGTGAAAATTCTTAGCTTGGGGAGCCCCCACGGGGGAAAACCACCCTTAGCCCCTTTCACGGACCGAAATAAACCTGCGGTGTGGGCGGCCACCCCACGCGAAGCGGGGTGAATATGACTATCCACCGGAGAATGGGATGATGACCCGTTTGTGGGAGTGGCTAAGAAGGAGGCATAGCCCAAACTGAAAATGTGTAAGCAGAAATGTGTATGCATGTATCACATCTATATCAATATACATACGTACATACATGCATACCTACCTACCTTCCCTACCCTAACCTAACCTACCTACCTACGTGCATGCATGCATGCATGCATATACACATGTGTATATATATATATTATATATTATATATATATTGTATATATATATATATACATATTTATATGTGGAATGATGATTTACCTGCGTAAGAATGGGGTGTCAACAATATTCGCACCAATCCCCCGCGGACTTTTTGTTCGCCAGACCAGGTCTAGCAGGCGACGAACTCAGCAGCAGAAAGGAGTTGGAGCAGAAGTTGGAGGCGAAGATCGGCGATGTTTCGCTGCCCCATAGGGATTAAAGCTTGGTTTGTAGGTAAAAATCTATGGGAATCAATATATCTATGGGATATACCTATAGTTATTGTTTAATGGAATTTGATGGGATTGAATGAATTGTTTTTGCTGATTTATGATAGCTAACCTAGTTTATAAGTCCAATAACTTGGGTTTATGGTAGTTATATCGAACTAGTTACTATGGTTGATAAACCACCTTGTGGTACCACCCTCGTTTGTAGATATATCTATGGGATTTGCTATATCTATAGCTGGTTCAATGGTGGATTTGATGAGAATGGAATTCTTAGCTGATTTATGATAGCTAACTTGGCTAAGAAAACCTCAGTTAAACAATGGTTTATGGTCGTAATATCGAACTCGTATTCAGCTCCACCAACACACATCACTGGGGGACCTCCTGGAGAAACCTGGCCCAAATGCTCCATGGTGGTATTTGTTTAACTGGGTGATTTATGGGTTACCCGGCCTGGTAAACTTACAAAAAACGATGGAAAATCACATTTTTTTATGGGTAAATCAACGATTTCGACTGGGCCATGTTCCATGTCGCTTTTTGTATGTTTACCAGATGGTAAATGTTGGTCAACTTTTGTCAGCACCATGAAGCATATGGGTTGGCTCATTGTAAGGCTCTACGAATACGCTTCAGTTGATGATCGATTCATGACTATTTTTCGGTTTTTTTCGATGGGAAACCCACCATTAGCCAAACGAAAATTGGGTTGCTCCAAGCTCCTGTGATAGCCACAGGTGGTTCATGGGTTATGTGAGTGATTGGACCTCACTAAATTGACCCCTCCCCTGAGGACATAGCCCCAATATTGGGCGAAAAGAATCGACACCATTTTTTTCATCGGAAGGTGAGGGAATAATTCACTGGTTGGTGGTTTGGAACATGATTTTTATGAATTTCCATATATTGGGAATGATCATCCCACCTGACTTTCATATTTTTCAGAGGGGTTGAAATCACCAACCAGTTCATATCTACTTCAAACTTACTTCTTTTGGAGCGTATCCAAGATTGGCCATGACTTTAGCAACATGATTGGCTTTAAAAGGTACGATGTTGATGAACTTATACCATCCTCCAATTTGGCTGGAGTGCATTGGGGCTTTGATTTAAAGCCAACTCATGCAGAAAATTCTTGGGAAACGGAAAAACCATTGGTTTTTTTACCAGATGTTTAGTCAAACTCGAAGAATGTTGCTACAACACAGAAAAAACATAGCACCCTCTGGTAAACTAACACAACATGGAAAGATCCACCTAATTTTAAATGGGCAAATCCTCTATAAATGGCCATTTTCAATAGCTATTTTGACATAACCAGAGGGTTATTTAGAATATCTTGGAATATCCCATCGATCACCTTCAACCGATCCCAATTTTCGATGTGGCGAGTTGTCTCCCAGATATTTGTTCTCCCATTGCACGTTTTTTCGTGTTGTCCATTTACATCCCCAACCGCAAAAAAAATGTTTGTAGAAAATACAAGGCTTGAAAAAGTATTATATATATATATATATAAACTATAACATGTAAACCCACCTTCTAAGGCATTTCGGCGCGCTCCTCTTTGGAACGGTTCGCCGATGTTTGTTTCCATCAATCTGCAGAATTCGCATTTTCACGGGATCAGTAGCGAACCCAGCGTGCCGATATTCGACGGCTTTACCATGCCTCCAGACAATCACGATCCGGAACGCAATGCATTGTACAAGCAGCTCCAGTGCCGCCCTCGCCAGGCAGGAACGTGCACAAAAGGGAAAGCAAAACCGGCAAGACCAAGAAGATGTTTTTCTTGGCCAAATCTGCAAGTTGTGAATATGATCCCTTATGTTCCATCGTATATCATACTCATATTCCATTATATCAAATTCATAGTTCTGACTATATCATATTCATACATTCATAGTCATATATCACTATATCATATATTCACATATATTCATAGTCATATATCGCGTTGTGACTATATCATATATTCATATATTCACATATATTCATAGTCATATATCGCGTTGTGACTATATCATATATTCATATATTCACATAAATTCATAGTCATATATCGCGTTGTGACTATATCGTATATTCATATATTCACATATATTCATAGTCATATATCGCGTTGTGACTATATCATATATTCATATATTCACATAAATTCATAGTCATATATCGCGTTGTGACTATATCATATATTCATATATTCGCATATATTCATAGTCATATATCGCGTTGTGACTATATCGTATATTCATATATTCACATATATTCATAGTCCTTTATCGCGTTGTGACTATATCATATATTCATATATTCACTTTTATTCATAGTCATTTACCGCGTTGTGACTATATCATATATTCATATATTCACATATATTCATAGTCATATATCGCGTTGTGACTATATCATATATTCATATATTCACATATATTCATAATCCTTTATCGCGTTGTGACTATATCATATTCATATATTCACATATATTCATAGTCATATATCGCGTTGTGACTATATCATATATTCATATATTCACAAATATTCATAGTCATATTTCGTGTTGTGACTATATCATATATTCACATTTATTCATAGTCATATATCGCGTTGTGACTATATCATATTCATATATTCACATATATTCATAGTCATATATCGCGTTGTGACTATATCGTATATTCATATATTCACATATATTCATAGTCCTTTATCGCGTTGTGACTATATCATATATTCATATATTCACATTTATTCATAGTCATATATCGCGTTGTGACTATATCATATATTCATATATTCACATATGTTCATAATCCTTTCTCGCGTTGTGACTATATCATATTCATATATTCACATAAATTCATAGTCATATATCGCGTTGTGACTATATCATTTATTCATATATTCACATATATTCATAATCCTTTATCGCGTTGTGACTATATCATATATTCATATATTCACATAAATTCATAGTCATATATCGCGTTGTGACTATATCGTATATTCATATATTCACATATGTTCATAGTCATATATCGCGTTGTGACTATATCATATATTCATATATTCACATATATTCATAGTCATATATCGCGTTGTGACTATATCATATATTCATATATTCACATATATTCATAATCCTTTATCGCGTTGTGACTATATCATATATTCATATATTCACATATATTCATAGTCATATATCGCGTTGTGACTATATCATATATTCATATATTCACATAAATTCATAGTCATATATCGCGTTGTGACTATATCATATATTCATATATTCACATATATTCATAGTCATATATCACGTTGTGACTATATCGTATATTCATATATTCACATATATTCATAGTCCTTTATCGCGTTGTGACTATATCATATATTCATATATTCACTTTTATTCATAGTCATTTATCGCGTTGTGACTATATCATATATTCATATATTCACATATATTCATAGTCATATATCACGTTGTGACTATATCATATATTCATATATTCACATAAATTCATAGTCCTTTATCGCGTTGTGACTATATCATGTATTCATATATTCACATATATTCATAGTCATATATCGCGTTGTGGCTATATCGTATATTCATATATTCACATATATTCATAGTCCTTTATCGCGTTGTGACTATATCATATATTCATATATTCACATAAATTCATAGTCATATATCGCGTTGTGACTATATCATATATTCATATATTCACATAAATTCATAGTCATATTTCGTGTTGTGACTATATCATATATTCACATTTATTCATAGTCATATATCGCGTTGTGACTATATCATGTATTCATATATTCACATATATTCATAGTCATATATCGCGTTGTGACTATATCGTATATTCATATATTCACATATATTCATAGTCCTTTATCGCGTTGTGACTATATCATATATTCATATATTCACTTATATTCATAGTCATTTATCGCGTTGTGACTATATCATATTCATATATTCACATATATTCATAGTCCTTTACCGCGTTGTGCAGGGGCGTGCCCAAAAGCCAAACTGGGGCTGTCATTGTGTAGGAAATCAACCTTGTTTTTGTTTCACCATTACGGATTGTAGAGCTAATGAACGGGGATATCAAGTATGGGTATATATCAACTGGGTATATACGCGAAACACCTACTAGCAAGAACGGACATCATGGATTTCGAGGTCCTCGAATGAATGATTGCCTGGAATGATGAGTGGAACGCGTCAATGCGAGGAACTATTCATATGATATATCAGCAAGTTGGCTACAATTTCGTGATAGGCCTTAGGCATATATGCCAACCATAGCGGGCTGCTTGTCATCCCGTTATTCCTGGTAGATGCCAGCAAGACTATCTTATTAATATGGTATTCCCATTATTAAAGCCATTTACGCACGGATTTCGATCCCATTATGGTTGGCAGATGTTCTCATTACTCTTTCCTCGGTCTAGCATTCTGGAGCTCTATTGTTGCCGCTCTTGGCCCCACGGGACCAACAGCATCCGGCCGCAGGCCGCAAGTTTATGATGGATCTATCAATTCCCGACGTGCAGCGTCAATGGGCATTCTACATATCTAAGGCATAATCGCTTAACTACATTTCAGCACGTCCGTTTTTCCGCCCATCGTCTGGAAGGGATGTGGATGTGAGGGAGCGGAACGGAGTGGAAGAGGTGGTCCTAGATATTTGATTTTGCTTGGCCGCATCTTACACATACAGATAGTATAAATATATATATCCGAATAATTTGATGGACGAGGGCCGTTTTCATAAGATTTCGGTGGAAGAGATGGGTACAGAAAGAAGGATGAATGGGGGAGGGAGCAGATGGCTCTTAGGGTGCTGGCAGGTGCTGGAATGAAGCACACCCGAGGACATTGGCGGGGACAACGATATTGCAGTGCAGAGCGGTTTTGGCCATGAACCAAACGGGAGCAGGGTAGTGCAAAACACAACAAAAA